CAGTGTTAACTTTTAAAATAAATTAAAAAATCCAAGCCAGACACTGATGGCTCATGCCTATAATCCCAGCTACTCAGGAGAAAGAGATGAGGAGGATCATGGTTCCAAGACAGCCTGGACAAAAAGTTTACAAGACCCTATCTCAAATTGTTTTTAAAGCTAGGTTTGGTGGTACATGCTTTTCATTTCACCTATGGGACAAAGTATAAATAGGAGTTCCATGGTTCAGTCCAGCAAAGGCAAGAAGTGATACTCTATCTCAAAAATAACCAGAGCAAAAAGGATTTGAGGTATGCTTCAAGTGGTAGAGTACCTGCTTAAGCAATTATGAAATCTATTGGCATAGTGATTAGTAACCATTTCAATGTAACAGTGGGATGGCTGCAAAATCCATAGTACATTTGCACAGCATGTGCACTGCACAGATGAAAAGGTAACAAGAAAGATTAATAATAAGGAACAAGCTTATAACAGAAAATGTGTCAATAGAAAAGAATGGTAAACAACTCTTTGTATTGTGGTTCTAATTAAACTATCAAACGAGATGCAGTCTCAGACATGCACATGTAAACACTCTTACACCAAAGAATGTCTTCTTTGGGTATTGGAAAGTACTGTTTGTTTGTTTTTTTACCTTTTCTATAGGTTTCTGTTTTTTTATCCTTTAACAAATTAGCACATATTTCTTTTAAGACGAGAACTTAACTTTCAGAGGAAGCAAGTAAATAGATAAAATGAAAGATATAAACTAGTTGATTTCTTAAGCTGTACTTTCTGTGATTTAGATTACAGTTACTAAAAAGAATTCAAAAAGGGGAAACTGAATGTTGTAGATAGAATCAACACATTTTATTGATTTAGTAGATTGCAATTATGAAGTGGTTGGTTTGCCTGGAGGCCTTTAAATTATGCTCAAACTGTCAGAAATTGGAACATTAAATCCTGGTAGACAGGGAGTCTATGTTAATTATCTGCTCTTAAAGTAGTAACTACTTCCTTTGGATATCATTGCCTCCAATGAAACTAATTCTCTCCACAGCCACTGATTGCTATCTGCAGCCATAAAGGAGGTTTTACTGTAAGGGTTCGTAGGATGTAGTAGTTAGTAGGGGGCTAGTGAAGCAATTGCAAAGAGGGTAATGTTTTGTTAAAATGTGAGAAAGTGTATACCATAAAGCAGTTAGATGCAGGGTCCTGGAGTTGGGTAATCTGGGCTCCAGCTGTCTTCAGCCTGATCTTGTACTGACCATGGGATCTACCACTTCCATCTATGCTCTCTCGGCTAGCTGTTGCTGGAGGACCCAGTCTTCCTCCCTGACAGCTCAGTGCCCCTTGGTGTGGTGGATCAACTTACATGATGTACAATTTGGATTCAATTCAGTTGTCCTGTGGATCGTTATATGGTTCCATGTTTATGCTTGAACATTTTTAAATTTGAATTTTTAAATTCAAAGTGTATTCTTTTTATCTTCATGGCAGCTAATTCTATAGTCATTACCCAGGCTCTGCTGATGAAACAATGTATGTTGTTTGATATTGAACCTTTTTTTGGGGGGGGGTCTCCGGTCGTGGGCCTGAATTCAGGGCCTGGGCACTGTCCCTTAGCTCTTCAGCTCAAGGCTAACACTCTACCACTTGAGCCACAGTGCCACTTCCGGCTTTTTTTTTTTTTTTTTTGCTTATGTGGTGCTGAGGAATTGAACCAGGGCCTCACGCATGCAAGGCAAGCGCTCTACCACTAAGCCACCTTCCCAGCCCATTGATATTGAACTTTTAAACTGTTATTCTTGCAGTCTTTCTCTACTTTTAGTTCTTCTTGGCTTTGTGTGTGTGTGTGTGTGTGTGTGTGTGTGTGTGTGTGTGTGTGTGTGTGTGTGTGTGTGTGTGTGTTTCTTTTTTGGTCAAGGTTAGTGTTGTAGTACTTGAGCCACAGCTCCACTTCTAGCTTTTTGATGGATAATTGGAGACAAGTTATAACTTTTCCTGCCTGGGTGAGGTTTGAACTGTGATCCTCAGATCTCAGCCTCCTGAGAGGATTACAGATGTGAGCCATCAGCACATGTCTGCTGCTTGTTTTGGAAATAGTAGAGTTCAAGTTTTTACCTGTACTAAGACATGAGGAAGAAACACATTCTGATGATTGTTGAACCTGATTTTTGGCAGTTTTTTTTAAAAAATATATAATTTTATTGTTATTATTAAGGTAGAGATAACCATTTCATCTGTAGGTAATGAGTACAATTCTTTTTCAGACAATGTCATCCCTTTCTTTGCTTTGGTGAGTTCATCTGTAGGTAATGAGTACAATTCTTTTTCAGATAATGTCATCCCTTTCTTTGCTTTGGTGAGCCTAATTTTGCTGTGCATATGAGGCCTAATCTCTGCTATTCTGTTTTTCCTGAGGAAGCTTTAATCTTTTATTTTTTGATATATTTCATAATGATAGCATCACATTTATATGGGGCTTTCTGTATTTGTTTATTTTATTTCGTTTTGGCTATGCTGGACTTGAACTTGGGGTTTTCAGCTTGTTAGGAAGTGCTCTATCACTTTAGTCATGCCTTCCCCCATTTCTTTTCCCATCATAGTTTAGATGAAGAACATGTGCCACCATACTCAGTCTTTTATGGTGAGAGGGAGTCTTGAGAACTTTTCTGCCCTATCTGGCCTGGACCTTTATCTTTCCAAATCTTAGCCTCCTAAGTAGCTAGAATTATAGGAATGTGCTACTGCTCCCTGCCCTTGTATGGGGCTTTATAATAAAGAAAGTATTTCCACACTGATTATTTCCTTAGAGTGTTTATGTGGATTTCACTAGATCAAATCTCAGAAAGTCATGTTTCTTTCTTATTTCCCAGTTTGGAGACACACCCACTTCTCCTGTCTCTGAATAGGTTTCTTTTCTATATGGTCTTAGATTGCAAATGTAAACAAAAATGTTACTTTGTTGTGAAAAATTCAACTATCACATTTGTGGTTTTGTACAAATAAGCCAAACTGACTCATCCTCAGGCAACATGGTCAAGGGGAGGGTGTGAACAGGTTTTTTTTTTTTCTGACTAACTCTATAAAACCAGGCTAGTCTGTGAAGTGCACACTGTCTGAGGTGCACAGGCAAGGTGCTGCTTGGAGAGTAAAATAGTTCTAACCGTGACCGGGCCTTAGAGGTAGTTAATAGAGGCATTTGTAAAAGCAGCACAAAAATATCTATTTACTAACCAAAGAGAAGATTCTAATTAAACTAACACTTTAAAATTGAAGTTTTATCTGCAATGAAGACAATTAACATGATGATAAAGAAAAAATCCCAGGGGCATTGTGGAAACTGGCTGGTTCATTCTCTAATTTAATTCCTGCCCAAAGTAATGGCATTGCCATTCTACCTTTCCATCATAGTAGAGAAAACACTGTTTGACACTTCCTGTCTCTGGTGCTCCAACTTTCCAGTTCTTTGATGTGGTGTTTCCCAGTTTGTTCCTGAGCCAGCCAGTGTAGTGTCTCTAGAGTTATCAACTGCTCTGAGTTTTTTTTTTTTTTTTTTTTTTGCCATCAGCTGTAGTTCTTCAACTTCTCTACCAGGTTTGAAAGAAAATGGTATTTTTCAAAGTGCTCTCTCTGTTTTCACGGTAAAGTTTTTGTTGTCACAAGAGGGGAAACAATCTAGCCATTGCACTCCTGTCTGGAAGAGCCATTCCTGTTCTTACTATCTTTATGGGTTCATCAGAGCCTCTACTCGCTTCTAGTCACCACTTTCCTGGCAGCCATTGGAAGGTGGTGATAGTTATGAGTAAGGTCTGGTGGGAGGGAAGAATGTCAGAGACATGTCTGGGTAGACCCTCTGACAAATACTTACTTTAGTTGTCTCTCACTTGTTTGGATAAATGTGTTGTCATCATTAAAATCTTATTTTGAGCAGCCCCCCCCCCCCCTTTGGTACTCTTAGCAAACTGTCATTGCTTTACTTCAAAAATACTTTGAATTTCAGCCTATATTTCATTACATTTTACTTTGGATGCAATCATTTCAGTTTCCAAGAAGAGAAATTAAGTATGCAATTGTAAAAGGCTAAAGTAGAAATGAAAGCTATTTATGCAAATTAGGTACATAATAAAGTAATGGCATTGTAGATAATATCGATATTGTCTGGGTTGAATATACAGGAACACATACCGCGTCATTAACTGTATCCACTGAGGCTCTGTCACTTGATCATGGTCTCTTTTGCACATCAACAAGAATTACATGTACATGGAGGGAACAGCTGATCTCTCCAGTTCCCACTTCGGTATTTCTTAAGTAATTTCATTGCCTAGCAGAGTTGGTCTGGGTGACAAATTGCTAAGCTTATTTCTTCACTGGGTTGTATTAGTTCAGGAGTTAATCACGTTTGCAAGCAATGTGCAAATAATCCTCCCAGCTCTCTGACATGAATTAGTTCGCAGTACTCATTTAACAAATGAGAAACGGGAAGCAAAAAGCTCCCTGTAACTTGGAGCTCAGGGGATCATCCGCTGCTGCTGCTGCGTGGTTGCCCCCAGCTGCCCCGGGCTTCCACCAGTCTCCTGCGGGACCACACAGTTGACATCCGATTGGGATCTGCGGATCATCAGGAAGCAGAGGAATGAAGTGACCTGGGCCTGGAGGTCAAGTTAGTTTATTTGTTTTTAATTTAGCTGAAATGATAGGCTAGTTGAAAGATCCCTTTGTCAGTAGCGACCTTTTGACTAGCAGCACCCCCCAGACCCCCCTCTCCTTCCTCCACCCTGTCTCCCCGCTTGCAGGATTAGAAAAGCACTTGGAAGGCTCATTAATCTTGCCGGCGCTGTCAGGAGTGATCAGCGGGTTTTATTAAATCTCCCAGGACTGACTGAAAAGCGTCCTTGTCTGGTTCTGAATGAAAGGGGCATGGTAAGATCTTGGGGCTCGCCCTGGGGACCCCTGGCCCTGCCCCGTGGACAGCCATCGGACCCTCCCCGCCGAAGCCCAGGGGCACGCCTTTGTTGAAGGACTCCAGCCGTCGCTACAGCCACTGGGCCCTGTCAGCATGAACGCTCCACGCCGGGCCGGGCCCGAGGCCTTGCTGCTGCTCTTGCTCCTGGACTGGACCAGCTCCACTTTCATCACTGTGAACCGAGGGATGAGGGTGATGAAGGGCAGTTCCGCCTTCCTGTCGGCAGAGGACCTGAAGTTTGCCATCCCCAGGGAGAAGGACGCCTGCAAAGTGGAGGTGGTGAGGAATGAGCCGATAACCCAGAGGGTTGGAAAGCTCACCCCACAGGTAGGTCCCGGGCGAGAGTCTCTGTCCCTAGTTGGATGGGTGAGACGGGGAGCAGGTAGAGGTCTTCTCTCAAGCGGTCACCAAGGTGAGTACTGTAAGATGTTCACCCGCGTGCTATCCCTACTGCTTTCCTCTGGGAGGTGGAACTATGGTTTGCACCGTTCTGAACTGATTTCAGAGAACAGGTCTGCAGTGGGCAGGCTCTGTTCCACATGGGGCTGACATCTGTGGGGCTCCTGATGTCTTTAGGTTTAGACTAATGTGGATGCACACATTCTTCATAACAATTCCCATCTTTTTAGCTTTTATTGAAGAGAACTTTTATGTATCTTGACCTTGCAGGTTAGCTAAGGATGCATTACAAAACAGAGTGTAAGAATGGTTCAGGTCTCTCATTTTAGGGAGCAAAAGAAGGGGGGAAGGAGGGAGAGAATGTGTGTGCAAGAAAGAAAGGGAGAGAAAGATAGAAAGAGAGAACACAAGCAAGCAGGACAGGACAAACTCGTAAGGGTTTCAGTGGACAACTACTTGTAGCATATGCTATCATTAATCTTTAAGGGATGAGTCCTGCCCTGAATTATCTTACTCATTGCCAGTCAGGGGTGGCTTTGCATAAGATATAAAAATTGCAAGACATTTTTGAGATGTACTTGTGACTTCAGAAAAGCAAAGGTTAAACATGAAGGCTTTTTTTGTTTATTAATAAAAGAGAGAGCTAAAGAACTATAAATATTCAATTTCTTCATAAATGTCTGCTTTAATATTTCTCCTTAATTAAAACCTCAGGGACCTCTTTATTTAAGGATATTCTATTGTCATTTCTTTTTTTTTTTGTCAGTTTTGGGGCTTGAACTCAGGGCCTGGACACTGTCTCTCAGCTAGCTCTTTTGCTCAAGGCTGTCACTCTACCACTTTGAGCCACAGTGTGACTTCTGGTTTTCTGGTGGTTAATTGGAGATAAGAGTCTCATGAACTTTCCTGCCTGGCCTGGCTTTAAACCTTTATCCTCAGCTCTTAGCTTCCTGAGTAGCTAAGATTACAGGCATGAGCCATCAGTGCCCAGCTAAGAGTTACTGTTTAAATCTAATTTTCATACACTTTTTTAAGGTATTTCTTTTCATATATTTTAAGGGAATGGTTGACTTTGCATACAATAGTAAATTGCTTCTGATTGTGTTACTTGTTCTTGCCATAGCTTAACTTTACAAATGATCTTAAGAGTGTTCAACGTTGGATAGTATTGCTGCATCTAGAGAATGGACCATTCCCAATCCTAACTAGGAACCTCATTTCCTCTCCATTTGGGTATACAAACATGTTCCATGAGGTTACTCCAAGTTACTGAGCATGGAAGAGATGTAATAAAGAGTTTTAGATAAATGCTAGCTCAAATTGCTATCCTTAGATATTTCTCTTACAACACATAAAATTACAGACAAACTCAGAAACACCAAAATACTATAGAAGGAAATTTCATCTTGAGGCTGTTCATGATATGATAGGAATCAAATGACTCATTCCAGTTTCCTACGAGACTCTGTTTAAGAATTTAAGACTTTTTGAAGAGTTAAAAAGCTACACATGGGCATTAAAAATGTTAGAATATACTAGTGGCTATAGGTGTTTCAACATTGTATTCCAAAGTGTTCAGTAGTAGTAACTTCTCCTGACTTTCTTCCAACATTTTATGCCCTGTGGAAGTATGTGTCAGTCAGGGAAAAAGAGAGACCTGGTATATTAGACTTTAGTGTCACTGTAACCAAGATATACCTAAGAGCACAATTTGAAAGGAGGAAGAATTTATCTTAGCTCTCAATTTCAAAGGTTTCAATACATATGGTGGGCACAGCAACTTGCTTCTTGGCAGCCAGGAAGCAAAGCCTAGAAATAACAGGAAATGGCCAGAGCAATCATCAGCTACCAGGAAAATTCTGTTCCCTGTGACCTACATCCTTCAACCAGGTCTACTTGCTATAGCTCTACAACTTCCTACTAGTCAATTCAAAAAAAAATTTTTTCCGGTTCTGGGACTCAGGGCATGAATACATGCATGAGTCACAGCCCTACATATATAGTAGAGGGCCATCTTGATTTAATTGTCTTTGAAAGACACAGACACACCCAGAGGTGTTCTATGTTAATATCCTACCCAGAGGTGCTCTATTCTTTTTTTATTTTTAATATATATTTTTATTGTAAAGATACTGTACAGAGGGGTTACAGTTACATGAGTAAGGTAATGAGTACATTTCCTATCAAGCATTGTTACCCCTCCTTTGGTTTCCCCTACCAATCCTTCCCTCCCTGCCTCCCCAACTATCGTAATGTCCTAAGCATTTCTCAGTCTAATCAAGTTGACAGTCAAGATTAACTATGGCATCGAGATAGGGCATCATGGAGCTCAAATAAAGCCTGAGGCAATGGGTTCTCAACTATAGGAACCAGAATTAAGAGCAAAATGAAAATATTTATAGTTTTGAGGTGCAGCAGCATAGGACTCTAATTCTAGAAGATTAAGTTCTTTGGGAAAGCAAAGACCTATGGACATACCAATACATACTGATACTGATACCTTATAAAGACTGATGGACTGGACTGATAATTTGGTTCTCTTTCTCTCTCTCCATATGTGTGTATACATACATATATATATAATATATATATGTAAATATATATATAAATGTTCAACACTTGTATAGGAGTTAGTCTGATTACTTGGAGTAGGAGGAGCAGGGAGAAAGAAGAAGTAAAATTCCTACTGGCAGTTCCCAGGAGCAAGTTGTCTGTTGTCCAGCTGTATTTCGCTCAGACTCAGGAGGAAGGGGCCTGCTGTTCACTGGTTCCTTTCTTCTCTTAGAAGGCAGTTTGAGAGGATCTATTGTTACATAGGCCAACCTCCACCTTAGAGAGCCTCTGACTCCTTAATCCTCATGGCCCTCACTGAAATGAACAAAATTGTCTCCATGATTTTTGTCTTTTGCTGTTTGTTTTTGTTTTTGCAGTATTGGAAATCAAACCCAGGGCTTTACTCCTGATAGGCAAGCACATTACCACTATGCCCAGTCCCTATGGAGTTGGATGGGGTTTTAGTGATGTTTTAATGATTCCAATTATTCTACCTGCTTTGAAAAATAAGAGAGCAAAAGAGATTCAAATGACCAGAACTAGATTAAAAAATATATATGGTCACAGGGATTAAGGGTTGGAATTGACCTCCAATTTATCTACATCTCTGTTTTTAAGGTAAAAGTCTAGTTATTATGAAGTTAATATGGAACAGAAACAGCACAATAATGGGGCTGATAGGAAATTCTTTAGCTGATAGGTTAGGAACATCCCAAACACACAGACACCTAGTATATTGTACTCTCTCTTTCTCTTTTTTTTTCTCTTTTTTGTGGGCCAGTCCTGGGTCTTGAACTTAGGGTCTGGTCTCTGTCTCAGATTTTCTTTTGCTCAGGGCTAGTGTTCTACTACTTGAACCATAGCTCCACTTCTGCCTTTTTTTAAAAAATCTTTTTTCTTTCTGTAGTTTAGTGGAGATAAGAGTCTCACAGATTTCTTGCCACAGCTGGTGACCCTCAGATCTCAGCCTGCTGAGTGGCTAGGATTACTGTGTGAGCCACTGGCACCAATTTTATTGTGTTCATTATTATTATTATTATTATTTGTCAGTCATGGGGCTTGAACTCAGCCTGCTGTCCCTCAGCTCTTCAGCTCACGGCTAGTGCTCTACCACTTGAGCCACAGCACCACTTCTGGTGGTTTATTGAAGATAAGAGTCTCATGGACTTTCCTGCCCGGACTGGCTTTAAACCACAATCCTCAGATCTCAGACTCCTGAGTAGCTAGGATTGCAGGTGTGAGCCACCAGCACCCTGCTTTGTGCTCATTTTAAGTAGAATCATATCCTGCATTCTCAGTGTATTCCTAGAAACAAATAGGATGCCTCAATTGGATTTACATAATCTAAAGTGGATATGTAGTTTATATCTTCTAAAATTTATTCTATGTGTGAAATCTACTAATATGTGGAGTTCATCAATAGTTAAATATAAAAACTTTGTGTAATAGGAAAGTTTATAAAGTAGGAAATATTTCTTTTTTAAACTTTCAGGTGACGGTTCTTTTGTGTGTTTATTTTGGTGTCTCTTAGCTTTTCTCCTCAAGGTTGGTGCTTTACTCACTCCAGCCACTTCACTGGAGTTCTACTTCAAGCTTTATTCACTTGAGCCGTTCATTTGAGCTCCACTTTAAGCTTTTTTTTGTAGCTAATTAGAGGTAAGAGTCTCATGGACCTTCTTGCCTGGGTTGGCTTCCTTATTTTTCAACCTTCTCAGTAGCTAGGATTACAGGCATGAGCCATCAGTGCCCAGATTATTATTATTATTATTTCTGGTAATTTCAATGAAAACAAGATTTCCAAGGAAGGTCTGAGAGTGGGAAAAATTTGTTCTTGGTTTTTAGTGTCTGGCTCAGCTCTCCCCAGGGATGAACCATGGCCAAATAATGTATATGAGGGCACAAACACACACACACACAACACACACAACACATACACTGTCTAAACACACATAAGGACACAAACACACACACACACACACACACACCAGCACACATACACCGTCTAAACATGATGCTTTAATGGAGCTTCAGAATAAGCTGTAAAGCTAGGTTTATGTGAACCTACTCCCAGGGAGGGCACCGTATTAACAGCACCCTGCTGTGTAATGAGCAGTTTCATGTGATTTGTACAGAAAATGTTTTGTTTAACATCTGTTCAATTAGTGTTTTCATTTCATTACTGAAGTTTTCCGTAGAACCAACAGGTTCATTTTCCTATTGGATATTCAGAAAGGGACTGCAATGAATGCATCCCAGTACCTTCTGTTTAGTTAACCCCTGGATATCATCAATTAGACAAGGTCGATAGGTTTTCCTTGTTTTTCAATATGAGGCTTGGTCACACCTGGTCCACAGCAAGTTTCCTGGGTGAAAAAATACCTTAGTTTAGTGCTGAGCTTGCTTTCTTTGGATAAGAAATACAGTGGTGAGAAAATATCCTTAGTTTCAACCAGTTTACTGTCATTAAAGTGAGTAATGAGTTAGGAGTGTGTGACAATTTAATTATAAATTGTAATTGAAAAGCAGTTGAAGTGGAAAAAACCAAAGCTAGACAGTAATTAGAAAAGGATTTAACTCTCCTTTGTTTTAGTTAGTAAATTTATGGACAATTATGGTTGTCGCCTTTTATAAAAGGAAAACATATTAGGAAACATAAAACAGATGTTTCTTTTAACAAAGCAGATTGTCTCTTTATTACCATGACTATTTGTCTGTGATACGGAAAAGGGCTTCTTTTTATCTTCTTCCTACTTTCCAACTAAAACTAGGAAGCAGTAATATCTATGGAGCAAGAAATTTATTCTTATTAGTGATCATTCCTTCTAAGTGTAGGTCTTGTTTGAAAATGACTGAAGCTGAGAAAGGTACAGAGAAAATACTATGAGCTCCAGAGAGAGGGCATCTCTCAGAATACTAAGTCAGATTGGCAGAGGGGGCAGCAGAGGGACATGATACAGGTGGAAGGGAAAACTTCTTTAAAAACTAGGATTCCTTAGCTGGGTGCTGGTGGCTCATGCCTGTAATACTAGCTACTTAGGAGGCTGAGATCTGAGGATCACGGTTCAAAGGTAGCCCAGTCAGGAAAGTCTGTGAGACTCTTATTTCCAATAAACCACCAGAAAACCAAAAGTGGTGTTGTAACTCAAGTGGTAGAGCCCTAGCCCTGAGCTGCAGAGCTGAGGAACAGTGCCCAGACCCAGAGTTCAAGCCCCATGACTGATCAAAACAAACAAACAAACAAACAAACAAGCTAGGATTCCTCAATAAATCAGACAGGTGATACAGTTAATTATAACTTAATTTACATACAAGAAGTTGTCTTTAGAGTCTGTGTTTCATGGGCCATTTGTGCCATTCATAACTAGTAAAGCCATTAATGAGAAACAACTGTGGATTATGTTTGACTCTGGCCAACCACAGAATGTCCATGGCTGGTAGTTTCAACTTTGAATTGTGTCAGTGTTCTCTGCAAAAGAAAGAAGAGGTGGGTAAGCTAACGCATGTGTTTCTTGAAATACATGGAATGATTTCTAACTGAACTGCTATAAACTCCTAGAGGAGTTAAATAAAAATTTGATAAATGAGAGCATCTTTAAAAGTACTATAGTCTATCAAAGGACAACTATTTGGAGAAATAAGTATCTCTTAGTTTCTTTGCTTGGCCAGTTTGGATTCATAGTTTAGATACTAACAAGACAAGACACAGCTGTCTAAGCAGGATGGTGAGTGGGCATGGGCACAGGGCAGAGATGTATATTTGTGATTGATCTCTCCATCCCCTCAGTCACACTACACTCAGAGACCACAGGTTTTCTGAGCCATAATCTAGCTGGGAAAATGGAACTTTGCACCAATTTTCTTACAGATTTTTTTTTCATTTCTTCACATGAACTAGGTCTTTGACTGCCATTTCCTTCCCAATGAAGTAAGGTACGTTCACAATGGGTGTCCGATCCTTGATGAAGATACTGTGAAGCTTAGGCTTTACAGGTAAGTGGCATAGGAGCTTTGCTGATATTTCCAGATCATTGTGCTGTGTTCTTCTCTTTTGATGTGTGCGTGTGTATGTGTGTGGAGGATGACTTAATAGATTCCAAACAAGAAAGTACTTGATAGAAATTGAAGGTCTGAGTGGTTGAGGTAAGAATGGTAGCCAATTTCCAATTGTCTTCATAATTTCTATAAATGATTAGTTTTATTCTCTTTCTCTCTGGTGTTCTTGCATAGGTATCTGGAATTCCAACTGTAAACTTGAGAATCAAGTGGAATATATGTTTCAAAACTGGATGGATTTTTTTTAGATTCCTAGCTGTTTAGATATAAGCAGTGCAATAAATTCCTTTTTAAACATTAAATAATATAAATGTCTTTAAAGTCAATATAAAGTTAAATGGAGTGGTCATATCATGCAGCAAGTCCTCTACTAGGTGTATCTATCAATACACATTTGCACCTAGGAATATTAAAATATTATTATAGTATATTAGCATTATAATAGAGCATTATATTTTATCTTTTATTATAACATACAATATTATAATATATAATATATATGAGAAATAAAAGCCTATGTATATAAAAACTTGTGCATAACAACATTCTTCATAATAACCAAGAGTTGAACTAATCCACCTGGTGAATGGTATGTCCATACAATGGGATATTTAGGTGATACCTAGAAGATGCTTCAGCTAGAATACTCAGAGGACCAGCAACATGCCTATTCTGCTCTTAACCTTTTCCCCAGTCCTGTTGGCAAACTCCTGTTCTGTTCTATACCTCAGTTTCCTTACCCGGAATATGGGATGAATGATTCTTGTTATAGAATTTTATGAGCAATGAAAAATATACTGCTGAGAAGACCTGCAGCATAATAAAAGTGCATTAACTCATAATCCATGACTGCATTATTAATATATACTCATCATTTCTTAATTTCTCACAATAAAGGAAATAACAGCCCTAGAACCCTCTGCAAACACCCTGAGAACAGTCACTAGAGGGTGGAAGAGAAGGAAGTAACAATTACTGACAAAATTTACATGGCAAGTTCTGAGCTGTGTACCCAATCTGTTCCTAAGCCAACACTTATCTCGTGATATTTCTGAAGAACAAAATGACCTGTATACTTCATAAGCCCTTCCTCCTTAAACCCTGAATTGATACTTGACCTAAAAATTATACAGGCTTCATGCTCTGACATTTCATATGCTTGGATATGTGACTTCTGAATTCTCAGAAGTCCTTCACTAGAAGTGTGGATAATGAGCTTGAGAGCAGGTATGCAGACAAAGATGGCTGGAGGAAAGAGTGGTAGGAAGAGAGACAGACTTCAAGGCAAAGAAAAGAAGGGGTAAGAATAGAGGAGGAGATAAAATCCAAATTCCACCTGGTATGTAGATTTTCTGAAGGCCAACATTTAAGTTTCAAGGCACGTGCATAGATATCAGAAGAACTTAAGCATCTGTAGAGACTTCTTTCTCTGTTCTCAATACAGATTTACTGAAACAGACACATTCACGGAAACCTTTGAGCTGCAGGTCCATCTCCTGGAACCAGACTGTAACATCATCCACATGAGTGACAAAGTGCTGGAGGTGTCTGAGTTTTATGGCCTGTCCAGAACCATCGATAAGAACCTGCTCAGCTTTGATTATGACAGGACAGCCAACCTGGAATGTACCATCAGGCTAGACCCCCTGACAACCCTGCTGCCAGCCCATGGACAAATGGTTGTGGTGGAACCTCTTCCAGAAGGACCTCGTGGAGATCAGCCACACAGTTTTTTCCCCGAGTCCCGTATGATATCTTTTAATACTGGTCTAGTTGTTACTAAAAGGGGCCAAAAAAGGGTCATATTCCCTTTATGACAGATAATTTACTTATCTAACATGATTTTTAGCTGATTGACAAGTGTAGGTTAGTGGTTAAGAGTATAAGCGTTACAATCAGAAGGATCTGGATTTGACAACTGCTTCTGACGTTTAGTTTCTGTATATTATTTTATCTCTCAACTTGTCTAAGCTTCTGTCAGATATGGAAAGGTAATATCTGCTCCATGGGGTTGTGTTGGGGTGGGGGAGTGAATGAGATCACACATAACAAGTCCTTAACTCAGTATTGGACTCATAGGAAGTACCCATTCATCATCAGCTATTAGTAGAAATAACAATGGCTGTGGTAGTAAGCGTTGTTTTTACTTACATTAAATGTTGTTGGGCTATGATCTAGTTTGAAGTAAAACTAGTTAGTAGCAGTCATGGTCTAATCAGTGAGAGCTGATGGGTCATGATGCTGTTATTCACTGAGTCAGAGTACGTATTGTGGATACTTCCTATATGTATAATAGTATTGTAGGAACCACGGGCAGATCAGGAAATACAAAGGGGTGACCACTGTTACTACAGTAATGATTTAGGCAGAATATTTAAGGGATGGTTTAGTAAAAAGACCAACTGGACCTAAAAAGATATGCATGCGTTGAATGTGTGAAGACCTTATAGAGTGGGATCATGAAATTGATACTTTAAAGGAAGATTGGAGCTAAATTCTGGAAGGCCTTCAATGAGCTAATTGGCTTATTTGCCATAGGTGTCTAGGCACCAGAAAGCATATTCTATCTTTTTTCTCTCAGCCTAACTCTTGGTAAAGAAGGCCTGATGAAACACAGTCAATTGTTCTTTCTCTTGCAAAGGAAATTATAAGCATTCAGAATAACAGCCATTCAGTGACTGACTTGAGAAGTAAATATCACGTTCTTGGGGCAGTGAGAGAGTCTCCAAAAGAGGTTTTTCACCTTTACAATTGTTGTGTTTAAGTGGCTGCCACTAATGCAGTGTTGTGCATTTCTAGAACTGGGAACAGAACTGAAGTGTCCAGGTGGAAGCTGTGCCCTGGGATTGAAGAAAATAGGAAGTCTCAAAGTGAGCTGTGAGGAGTTCCTGCTGATGGGGCTTCGTTATCAACATATGCAGCCCCCCTCCCCCAACATTGATTATATCCCCATCCAACTGGATCTCATGGACAGCAGGAGTAAAATCGTGTACAAGGTAGAGTTTGAGGCTGTATTGTGTTGCCAGCTCATTTATGGGTGATCAAATTCCACAGGGCATTCAGGCTGGCTCTCATGCCAGGGAGAGTACCTATGCTATTGAGGATGGCACCGCTAGGATGTCAGAAGCTACAGACTTGTTTGTTCTGTTCAAGTAGTCACTTTGTATATGATATTAGCTTATACTTTCCCTCTGGTTCTGTGTTGTTAATGATCCTTAGGAAGGACAGGTTGGTTACATGTTAACCATCTTCCTTCTTTGCCTCCAGTACTGTTTTATATCTATGTTGGGACTTAACCCAGTGACCTATGGAAGTGACCATTGAGCTATTCTCCAGACTCCTCCAACACATTTTAGCTTGTCAGTTTATTCTTTGTAACCCCTTCTCTTTGATGTCTCTTCTCCTTGACTCCACTCTGTAAAGTCACAGGAAACTAGGAAGGAGAAGTACCTCAGCCCCACTTTCATGGTTATATCAAATGACATCATGTTCTCTTTTCAGACTTCAAGATGGAGGGCTGGGTCCCACCAGAGGGCTCACAAAGCCTTTCTCAATCTTGTAATCTTTATACATTTTCTCATGACTTTTGTTCCCGTGGTCTTTTCATACTGAAATGATGAATGAAAGATAAATCAGCTTATACAATAGTTAACATGCTGTTCTCCTGATTTGCTTATTTGGAAAACTAAAGCAACACTGCATCAATTGAAGCAGCTCAGACTTTGTGATGATGTGAGATGATACAAGACAACATTTGGAAAGACTTCTGCCTACATGGTAGCCTGCCAACTGGGATTTCTCCTAAAAGGCCTAGTCAAATACAGAATGTTCTTACTCCCAAGAAACTGATAATTCCTGCAATGATAATGAGATTACACAACAGGCCCACAGAATTTTAGAATTAAGATCTACAAGTAAAACTGAGGTAATTCTAGTTTAATTGATCAGGTAAATTAGTTTAGGAGCCTTTCAAAGGAGAAATTTACGTGGGCATGAAGCAGGCCCAAATTGCCTGAGCTCAAGTGTTTACTGGATTGGCTAGGTGACTTTGAACTTTATGTCCATGTTTTATAGTAAAATGAGGATAACTCATGAGTTACTCTCATGAAGTTATATTCAGAAACACTACCTTCTTAGAGTAGTTGAAAAGATTGAATGAGATAAGGAGACAATATTTGTAAAATGTTTCATATGAAGCCTGTACATATTGAGTGTGTATGCATATTTTATTTGTTTTAATATCCACCACATAATGAACTTATAATTGCCAGTTTGGAATCATTCATATAGTTCATGTTTCTTGTTTTATTGTGGGGCTTCAGAGAAATCATGAGTCTTTCTCAGTATACATGGCTATTTTATGACTAGGCCAGGACCAAAATTCTAGGCCTACCATCTAGTAATAGACAACATTTGCTTGTTTTGACACAAAATGTTCCCTTTTGGATTTCTTATCCCCATTAAGGCAAGACACTTTTGGGCTGATTTGTCTTGTATTTTTCCTTCAATATATTAAATTAGGTTTTATTTATGCTTATAGGTCTGTTTCATTAGGAAGTGATCCCTTTAAATGACCATCATTTGCGTTTTATGTAGCCAGTGTTGTCATAAAGCAAATTCATTTGTGAATATGAGAGAGAGTTTATTTTGTATGTGTTCCATTCCTGGGCTTGAACTGAGGGCCTGGGTATTGTCCATGAGCTTTTGTGTTCAAGGCTAGCTCTCTATCAATTGAACCACAGCTCCACATCTGGCTTTGGGGTGTTTAATTGGAGATAAGTCTCATGAACTTACTTGCCTGGGCTGGTTAAAATTAAGATCTTCAGATTTTAGCCTCCTAAGTAACTAAGATAACAGGTCTGAGCCATGAGCACCTGGATATATGGAAAAATATTAAATATATACAGAAAATATTAAAGAATGGAGAGAAAAATAAGAAGGAAAATCAAGTTAGTGGTATTGATACCATTTTTATACACAGAGATAGACATACACACATACATACACACATACACACACAGCAGGCAACAGGCATACCAGAACTGCTTCTGAATTTACCCTGTATGTGAAATTTTATATCTTGGTTTTTATTGTTCCTATGGTTGTGTAGTTCATGATCATCTAGGGATCAAATGATCATTCACCTGTAATTTCTACATCTTTAAAGGTTTTTCTCTTTAAATCTGCTTTTTAATTCACCTGAAATACATTTTTTTTTTGGGTCCGGTTGTGGGGCCTGAACTCTGGGCCTGGGCGCTGTCCCTCAGCTCTTTATCTCAAGGCTAGTGCTCTACCACTTGAGCCACAGCACCACTTCTGGCTTTTTTCTTTTTGCTTATGTGGTGCTGAGGAATCGAACCCAGGGCTCAGGCATGCAAGGCAAGCGTTCTACCACTGAGCTACATTCCCAGCCCCTGAAATACATTTTATTGTACAATGAAATATCTAAATTTGCAACAGTATTTCTTACAATAGAAACAATTGATTGTAGATGATTCTTCTATTATATAGAAAGATATACTGGGTACTAATTCAAGGCTAGTTCTTTTGTTCCTTAGCTTTACCTAGTTACTCATTATTCTAAATATGATAGATCTGTGGTACATCACAATCAAGTTCTTCTCCATCACTTAGTTTAGAGTTTTCCTACACTTTATCACTTATTGTTAGTTTCAAGTAATTTAAAATCATAGGTTTTTACTGTCATCATTATACTAAGTAGAAATAATTTATGTTCGTTTTTTTGAATAAAAATGCACCTAAGGATTTTTCTTACTACTGAGTTAAAACTATAAGTACATTGAGAAAGAGAATATTAGAACATTCATCTATTGAGTCGACTCACTAGGAGTGCTGTCTCTCTCACTTCCTATGCTAAATCATTATTTTATGTGCTTTTGTAAAGTTTGTCATTTCCTTCATGAAAGTTGAGCACATTTATTAAATTAGTTCTGGGCAGAGTCAATTCTTTTGTGTGTGTGTGTGTGTGTGTGTGTGTGTGTGTATGTGTGTGTGTGTGTGTGTGTGTGTATGTATGTGTATGTGTGCTGGTCCTAATACATGAATTCAGGATCTGGGTGCTGTCCCTGAGCTTTGTTACTCAAGGCAAGTGCTATACCATTTAAGCCAAAGCTCCACTTTGGCTTTTTAGTAGTTAATTGGAGATAAGAGTCTCAGGGGCTTTCCTACCCTAGCTGACTTTGAACTGTGATCCTCAGATCTCAGCTTCCTGAGTAGCTAGGTGTGAGCCACTGACACTTGACTTGGGCAGTTTGTTTTTGTGACATTATTGTGAGCAGAATCTTTTCCCCTTGTGTTATCTTCTCCTTGGTAATTGATGATAAAGAAAAAAATCTTTTTGGGGGTATAATTTACTTTTATCTGGCTTCTTTCCTGAATTCAATTATTTTAAGAAATTTTAAATTCTTTGGCTGTTCAAAGACCATAATTACATCTTTACTAATGATTATAATTTTGTATCTTCTTTTTCTGTAATTATTCTTCTTACTTCTGCGCTAATCCCCACCGGTTTTACTAACACAATATTAAATATAATGCTGCTTATATGCATATTTGTCTAATACATTTTATCCATCTCAATCACACACATGGTCTTTTCTAATGTTTCTTGCCTTGAGTTTGTCTTTGTTTGAAATAAATGTAGTCACTATGTTTTTTTCTGGTAAATGATAAATTCGGATTATCTTTTTACTTTTAATCTTTCTAGATGATTTTCAGTCTCTTTTGTGGGCATACATATGTAACTAGACATTTTCACTAAATTTCAGAGTACTTTTCTCAAATACAGAAGTGTGACTACATTTATAGTAATGGATATATGTGGATTTGTCTATCTTCTTGTTCTTACTAATTAAAAAATTACCCTCCTAACATTACAAGGTCCTGGGCCTTGTTAATTGGCACCACAAAAAGTGTCTTGCAAATTAGATTATGTTTTTGTTGTCTTTTTCTTTACTATTTCTTTACTTTATTTTACTTTATGTAATAAATAATAAAAAAACTTTAAAAATTTAAAACAAAATAAATAATAAAATTCCTATTTATTTATTTACTTGTTGTTTTTAAAGTTAAAAAAAAAAAGTCAGGTACCCATGGCACACACCTGTAATGCTAGGTACTCAGAAGGCTGAAATCTGAGGATCATAGTTCATTCAAAACCAACCCAGGCAGAAAAGTCTGTGAGACCCTTATCTCCATTTACCTACCAAAAGCACTAGAAGTGGAAATGTAGCTCAGGTAGTAGAGTTCTAGTTCTGAGCAAAAGTATCTTAGCCTATACCCTGAGTTCAAGCCCAACTAGCAAAAACAAAAAGAAAAAAAAGTAAAAAATAAAAGGATCTCTTGGTTTCTTTCTGTATATGATGTGTATATATGATATGTATGTGTGTATATAAGCATATCTATGTTATATATGCACATGCAAATACTTATATATGTACATATACACATACATGTATATATTTATATATGGATATATGTAGATTGATCCAACTGATCTGGAAACTGCTCACCTTCAGGGTTTTGTTCATTGCCATTTGCAATTTCAGTGCTGGCATATGGTTGTTATAGATGATTGTTTCAGGCATATGGTTGTTATATATTATTATTCTTATATCATGAAGTAAATGCTTTTGACATTTTTTTTAAGAATCTTATAAATTTATTAATAAACAAATTGTACATAATTGCATTAATTAATTATTTATCAGTTTGTTTATAAATAAGTCAAAGCATCCGAGTCTTAACTTTGGCAAACACCTGACATATCTGACAAGACAATAGGCTATGGTATGCCATTGGCTTTTGACATTTATATTCATTTTGTGGACACATTTAAGTAATGTGTTAATTTAGATTTAACTGTAGACTCAAATCAGTATAGTGTTTAGCAACAGCCCTTTAAATCATGATTTTAAAACCATTTATGTTTTGAAATTATGCATTTTCATTTTTTTCAAGTGTGAAGAATAGATACTGTAGTTTCTGGGATCTCTCAGTGTCTTGTTTATTTGTCTTTGTCACCACATAGTGGGGGGGGTCACCTCTCTGATTTTCTATTTGGTGTTTCTCTTCTTTCAGGCCTTGTTGGCTAATGCTTTGGGGGGAGGGCTGGAGAGGTCCTCTCTGCTCAGGCATTGATGGATATAATTGTATGCTCTCTGAGTCTGGCAGATGTTTTGAGCCCCTTTGTTGTCTCGTGGCAGTTTTGTGGTTTCTCTGGAGACCTCCCTCTTGGGACTGTCTGTCTTGGGAGGACACGTCTAGCCTGAGCAGTCACTTGTAAGCTCTCCTGTGCTCTTTAGGAGATGTTTTCTATTTCCAGCTTTATGCTGTGGGGCTTGTGGCCTCTGAAGGAGACTCCCTACAGGTCAGGGTCCAGGATGACCCCAGAGCAGCACTTTGTCCCATAAAAAAGTACAGGTCAAATCCAGCACAGCCATCATGATTCTTGTGCTTTAGGCCATTTTGCTGAATTGTGTATGAGCCCTGAATTAGTGTTCTGCATGTTCTACCTGTAAACACATTTTAAGCTATCTCAAGGAAACTTCCCTCCTGACACCTGAGAATAGGGAGGCAATGTTGACCCATCCTTCCTGCTTCTTGGGAGGATGAAGTGTGAGCATCAGGGAAGTGGTGTAGCCTGACCCAGCATTTCCCTCCCCCACCTCCACCCCCCGCCCCTGTTTCTGCTTTCAACATTTTAATACTCTTACAGTAGAGCCTGGAACTGATTCTAGACCATTTGTCTTGGAAGTTTTGAATATAGCCTCTGTCTTACATTCACTTTGAAGTCTGATGTTTCTTCTATTTGAACTTCAGTTGAGACCGAGCCAATAAAATAGAATTTTAACAGAGGATCACTCCTAGTCCAATATCCAGAGTTCAGCAGCATAGGACTAAGGTGATGTTGAAAATCAAGCTTAATACTGTCAACAATGGGACACATCAAATCCTATGACAGCCAGCACCTACTGCTCTGAGCACTCTTCCCTTTTACCTCTTATAATGATGGATCCTATGAGGCCCTCTCCTGGTGTCTTCCATTTTCTCTTGCTCATAGCTCCTGTGTTTTAGAAGTACGCATTTCCAGTTTGAGAAGTCACTTGGAATCCACCTGCTCTATTAGACAGCTGAGCAACCCTCCTTCAGTTGCAAGGGTACAGGGTTAGGGAAACATTTTCCTTCATCCTTCTTCTACCCTTTTTAACACACAGAGCACGCTGGCTGGGGATATGGGTTAAGGTGGAGCTCTTGCTCTGCATTTCCAAGGCCTGGACTTAATCTTCAGTACCACCAGAGTGGACAGGGAGGCTGGCTGAAAGCTAGTATGTTTGTGCCAGACACTGCTGAGCACTTCTCATTGACTGTTTCTTTTAGTCTCCACTTGATAATCCTCGGGGGTCTGGAAGTACCATTTATAGACAGAAATGAGACGGGTTAGAGCACTTGTCTCAAGTCACACCAAGAGTAAGTATTGGTGATAGAATCACAATGCTCCCCTTCTTGATTCTCATAGGCAGCCAGGCTGCCTCAAAGTTGTCACCTTCTTGTACACACCACTAACTTTCTATTATTTTTCTTTTGTACTTCCTTTCTTCTTCAAAAGTCTGAGAGGGCGTGGTTGCCTGTCTTCATCAGAGCTGGTATTCCAAACCAGATTCCAAGGGCGGCGTTCATGGCCATGTTTATTCTGGAAGTGGACCAGTTCATCCTCACCTCTCTGACTACGTTGGTCCTGGACTGTGAAGAAGATGAGACCCCTAAACCCTTGCTGGTGTTCAACATCACTAAAGCTCCGCTCCAGGGTTATGTGACTCACCTGTCAGATCACACCAGACCCATCTCCTCATTTACCTGGAGAGATCTCAGTGACTTGCAGATTGCCTATCAGCCACCAAATAGCAGCCATTCTGAGAGGAGACATTATGAGGTACAAAGGAAGAACACAAAGCTTTCAGCCCCATTTATATGCAGAGAGTTGTTCAAGAGGCCACTTTCACTAGTCCTTGGGTACCCTGCTGTGTGGACTGTCTCAGAAGATACAATTGCTGTAAATCAGGGTGTAAAGTCAATGCTAGGATGAGTCAGGCAGGTGGTACAAAAATGAGCAAACCTGTACAGAGAGACATTGATATGGTAACTGAGGAAAGAGCATCTGCCTGAGTGAGCAGCGTGGTCCAGCTTAAACTGCTGGTCACCATGTAGAATACAGGCACACCCTATGCCACTCTGGCTCTCATTAGTCCAGAGAAGTTGGAGATATAGATTATTTTTGTAAAATTTTTCCAATTTTTAAATACAGAAGACATAATTGTTACATACAAATTGTTACATATCTTGTGTCAGTTACAAAATATGTCTGAGGCACTCATGTTTGAGAACTATTGTCCTGCAACAGTCTTTTTGTTTTACATAGATGCAATAGTTTTAGATGAGTTCATTCATCCGGGGCTACTAAATAAAAGGTATTTTATGCAATCTAGGCAACAGGGGTTAGCCCCAAGGGCAGTCAACAGAATTCAAATTATAAAGGTGGGATTGGCCCTTGGCTTCTTTTAGTTCATGAGAACAAAAGTATCTCAATATTTGTAATAGATCCAGTGGAATGAGGATTGACATTTAATTGTTACATTTCAAAATAGCTAATGTGACTTTTACAGTTTCCAAAACAAAGATCCATCCTTTTAGAAACCCTTAAGGCTGAGATTTCTTAAAATCAGTAATGATTATGTTTTGGTCCATATAACACTCTGTGGTAGGCACTGGCCTGGGAGTGGTAGAATGGTAGCATCTTTGAGCCTCTGCCCACTACTATGCTAGTAGCAGACCTCTCCCTACTGGCTCATCAATGAAACCATTCCCAAATATCTCAAGGGACAGAATGGGTCTCCTTAAGAACCACTGCCACAAAGGCTCTCTCCTAGAGGGAGATTTGAGTGCTCTGATGTTGGATTAGGACAGTTTCCTTAACAAATGAAGGGAACACTTTTCCAATGAATTTGCTAGTTTCAGATTAGTTCTTTTATGGAAAATAAATCTTTTTTTGGCGGGGGAAAGGGGGTTGGCCGTGGGGCTTGAACTCTGGGCCTGAGAACTGTCCCTCAGCTCTTCAGCTCAAGGTGAGCGCTCTACCACGTGGGCCATAGCACCACTTCTGGTTTTCTGGTGGTTTATTGGAGGGGATAAGAGTCTCATGGACTTTTCCTGCCCAGGCTGGCTTTGAACTGTGATCCTCAGATCTCATCTTCCTGGGTAGCTAGGATTATAGGCATGAGCCACAAGTGTCTGGCTCGGAAAATAAATCTTTTAAAAATACTTAAGAACTAAGGAACAAAATCTGGAACTTGAAAAGTGAAATCAAGTTGTCAAAAATAGAGGCAAAGAATGGAGTAGTAGACATCAGAATCTGGGAAGGGTGTGGGGAGGGAGGATGAAGAGACCGGTGACTGGATTCAGGGTCCAATGAGATGGAGAACTAATTTGAAGGTCAACTACACAGTGGGTAACTAGGATTGACAACATCTAATTAAATATTTCAAAATAGCTACTATGGAGGACTTTGCATATTCCCCACACATGAAAATAGTAATTATTTGAAATAGCTATAATTTGATCATTGTATTTAATGTTAGAACTAATATTTTTGTTAAATATTAAATTATTTATTAACTAATATTGATTTATTATTAATATCAGTTTATAATTACAATTAATAATTACCCTACTTTGATCATTATAGGAGACATGTATTACAATGTCAAATACACCATCCAAATATGTGCAATTACACACCTATCAACATTTTTATTCTCTTTTTTTTAATGTCCATCTGGGGCTTGAACTCAGGGCTTGGGTGCTATCCTTGAGCTTTATTGTTTAAGGCTAGCATTCTACTCCTTGAGCCACAGCTCCACTTCAGCTTTTTGGGGGATAGTTCATTGGAGATAAGAGGCTCATAGATTTTTCTGCCTGGGCTGGCTTGCAACCCTCAGATCTCAACCTCCTGAATCTCTAGAATTATAGGTGTGAGCCATTGGTGCCTGATATCCATTCAAATAAAAAAAATAATATTTAAAACAACAATCAGAAACAATACACAGGGTTGGAAATTTAGCCCAGCTGCAGAGCACTTGTCTGGAATGCATAAGGTCCTGAGTTTAATTCTGAAATAAATAGAACGCCCCTCAACCAGAAAATGACCAAATAGCAATATATTCATATGATGCAATATTTAACAGTTAAATGGAATGCGCAACAGAGAGCTATGGTGTCACAAATGAATCTTAGGATATAACATTTAGAGAAAGAAGCCAGATACAAGAGATCATGTGCTGTATGGTTTCATTGAAATTCAGGCAAATCTAGAGTGACCGAGAGCAGATTATTGGTAACTAGGGGATGTATGGAGTACTTTGAAACTTCTTTATGTGATAGCAGTACATCTTGGCAAATGTGTTAGAAACTTTGAAATGTCTACTTAAAGTGAATGATTTTATATAATGGGTAAAATTTGTTTCAAATGGTTATATAGAGAAAACAATTTCAAAAATGGAAATCAACTTCACCATTAAAAAGAAAGCAATCTGGAAGCATCTTTTCTCTGTAATTGCATCCCAGAATTAACCTGCTTACACACACCTTCATTACAGATTGAACTGGAGGTGTTGGACTTCTTCTTTGGGAAGAGTGCCCCCATCGTAGTCCACATTTCCATCCGAACAGCAGACACCAATGCTTCCCGAGTGTCCTGGAATACAGGTGAGAGTCTCGAGGGGCATCACGTGACACAGCCCATAGGGAATGGTGGAGAGTAGGTTGTTTTATTTCCAGCTCACACACATAACTGAAACCCAGGGGGCCAAGGACATCAGGTAATTGTTTCTGTTTTTGGTGATGGTGTACTGCAATCTGGTATCCTTTGTCCCGTAGCCATGTTCTTTCCTCTGCAGGACATCAGTCCAATGACACCTTTCAGAAGAGTGAAGCAGAGAAGTGTCTATGTATGGTATTACCACATAGGTGATTGGGAGCAAGAAGGCTTTCAGCTCAAGTTGTTCAGAGGGATGGGAACTAGGAGCAGACTGGAGTTCATGCTCCTGTAATATGTTGCACAGAAGCCAAAATACAGGAACGAGAGCCTAAGCAGTGTTGTCTTCATAAACTGCTTCGTTAAATGCAACTCCGTTGTACTTAAAGATACTAAATAAAGAAAAAAAAAGGCCTCTGCACTGCCACTCAATTCTAAGTGGATTCATAATGACATTCATATATGCAGATCAGATGTAAATGTAGACTATAAATGAAGGTGTTTTTCTTTTCATTTTCACTAATCATATTGATAGTATTCCAAACATACTTAAAAGTAAAACATGACTAAAAGTGATTATGGGAGATTATTTCAGAGGAAAATATGTCTGATTTAATGTTGCAGCCTTGATTTGTAATTCTGTGCCCATTGCTGACCTCTAGTAAAGGAATAATGACATAAAAGAAGGAATTTTCACTAAAGTGTAGTATTTGTACACTGTGTCCATCGTTGGTTTTGGGTGTGGAGGTGGAGTAATGTGTGCTTATGAGTGCTCTGTGGCACCTGGGTTTGTTAGGGGAACTCCAGGAATGGATTTGCTTGCTTTGGATTTTAAAATGGTTTTTAGATGAAGTTTTGTTTATTCTGAACTTAATATATATTGTAATTGAAAATTTAAAGAAGACAATAAATAGAATCAAGATGGTTTGTTGTAGCACCATGAAGATACACTGTTAATCATTTGCTATACATATGTCCAGTTTTCTTTGGGTTCCTCTGTGGCATCTCCATCCTTTGTCATGGGCTGAATTATGCGCTCATAGATCAAAATCCCAGCACCACCCCAAAACAAAAATGAACATCTTTCCTCAGGTTTCCAATAGGTACAACGAGAAGGTTTTGTTTCCTTTAGTTACAGAAGTTTCTTCTTTTTTCAAAAAGAAAGTTTCTTCCATATTATAGTTTAAACTGTCCTTCTTTATAAAGGTGTATATATATATGTATATACATAGATATGCATAAATGTATACATGTATGTATATGCATATATACACATACATACATGTATACATGCCTATATATACATATATACTTATATATGAATATCTATATATGTGTAGAATGTCAGACATCCTACATCTAACATCATTAACTGTTAGGCACAGTGTCTCTGTACAAATGTATTGAACCACTTTATATTTTAATATTTGATCTCATAAATCATATGTAAAAGCATTTCTGACTCTTATCCACTGAAACTTTGAAAAATTCTGTGTCTATATTTTAAAACAAAAGATCACCGTGAGCATGGCATGTATTCTTTCCTTGGTTTCTGGCACCATCATACTTAAGGAGACGTTAAAAGGGATTTGTGGAGATAAGGGAAATCTCCATTCAAGGCCAATGTACGGGGGAAAAATGTACAAAATAATTGTAAGGGAAAAAATTCATCTCAACAAACAAATGGTGGTCATACTCTAATAATAACTATGCAGTAAGTTTTAGGTTGGAGGATTTCAGTCACAGTTAGATCCAAGCAAAAAGTGTTAAGACACTATCTGAAAAATAATTGAAGTAAAGGGGCTAGGAGTGTTTCTCAAGCAAGAACAGGCCCTGAGTTAGAAATCTAGTGCTGCTCTCTCTCTCTCTCTCTCTCTCTCTCTCTCTCTCTCTCTTTCTCTCTCCCTACATACCTATGTATGTATGTATGTATCCATCCATCTTCCTACCCATTACATATATATGTATGTATTCATCCACCTACCTACATACCTATTTATCTACCTACCTACGTATCTATCTACCTAATCACAAACTATATTCAAGTTTCAGGAAAAGCATTTGGAGATACAATTTTCAGATAGTTTCAAAAGTAAAAACTCATGACCCCTTTTCTTAAGTTGGTATGTTAAGTGCCACAGAACTTTACAAAAGACTTCTTGTGTTCTGCTGTAGGTCTGGACCTCCTGGAGGGGCAGTCTCGGGCCATCACCTGGGAACAGTTTCAGATTGTTGACAATGATGACATTGGTGCTGTCCAGTTGGTCACTGTCGATGGCCTGCGGCATGGACGCCTTACCGTAAGAGGTGACCAACCTGTGCAATCTAAAAAGGAGCACGGAAATATTTTCTTTAAAAGCAAGTCACATGCAGCACTTCTTGAGCCCCATGTCATATTTTAAATATTTGGAGTGCTTAGAACCATCAGCTCAAGTCCATGTGTGTGCATCTTATGCTGGGCTCATTACTTCAACCTCATTTTTGCTTTTTGGAAACCACACAGAACTCCTTCTAAGTTAACTGCTTATCTTTCTCCAGTTGCATGACAAAATATTTCCCTCTCTTCTGCTTTAGAGAAAAACATTGAAAAACATGTTTTTAACCTTACAATAATACTGATGCTATTATGTTGTTATTGTTAGTTGCCATAGTTTAAAATTAAAAAGAATTTATAATTAATTATAGGGAGGATAGTTGACAGGGTAATAGTCCTAATAAAATAATATTCATGCTTTATGATAATATACTTTGTTTTTTAATAAGTTTTTTATTGTGAAAATACTGTACAGAGGGGTTACAGTTGCATGAGCAGGGTAATAAGTGCATTTCTTATCAAGCATTGTTGCCTCCTCCTTTGTTTTTCCCCTACCATCCCTTCCCTCCCACTTCCACAATTACACTTTCCCTCCTATAATTTGTTTTTGTTATAAGCTCCAAGGATTAAATTAATTCAACAAACCCCTTAGTTTTACAAACTGTAAAGAAGAGTTATTTGTTGACATTTATGACTAAGAATTAATAAAATATAAGAAAAGATAAATTCTGAGAATTTCCTAGTCCACTGATTCAAATGCCAGTCTCTCCCAGAAATACTGTCCTCACAGAACCACTCAGATATAAGACTGCAGTTTCTTGCTTCCCTTGGGCCGGTTAAGTTGACATAGAAAGTTAATCATTTCAGTTTATTATTTTGCAAAGAATAGTTAAAATAAATCAAATGTGCCAGTCAGGTCCACACCACAAATTATTGTTAACACCAGTATTCAACACCAGAGCTCACAAAACAATCTATAGTTCTTGACTTAGGATTTTATTTTTTATCTCATGAGGTGTTCATTGGAGCTTTCTTTTTAACCTATGAAACTTTGAACTTATGATGGTTTATGGAGTAGGATTCTACTGCAAGTCAAGCAGGATCTGTGTGTTTCTTCCATGTGACGGTATTACCTACAAGTGGTCCCACTTTTCCTACTGCCCTCCACGTAGTAATGCTTTCCTGAAGCTGCTGCCTCTTCTCCCTGACTGAGTTGGGCCCATCTCTACTCTCTCTACCAGGGGAGAAAGGATTCCTCTTCACTGTGGCTGATCTTCAAGCTGGAGTTGTTCGCTATCATCACGATGACAGCGACTCCACCAAAGACTTTGTGGTATTCAGGATATTCGATGGCTTTCACAGCACCCGCCACAAATTTCCCATCAATATCTTACCCAAAGATGACAGTCCTCCATTCCTCATAACCAATGTTGTGATTGAACTGGAGGAGGGGCAGACCGTCCTGATCCAAGGGTCCATGCTGAGAGCTTCAGACATGGACTCCAGTGATGACTACATCTTCTATAATATCACAAAGCCCCCACAGGCTGGAGAGATCATGAAGAAGCCAGGGCCAGGACTGATAGGTATGTTCCAGGCAGTGAAGATCTAAAATTTTCTAGATATACAATCTTGGATGGATCAACAATTTCTCTAAACCTCAGGCTTCCCTTGTGTAAAATTGGAGTAATAATTGTATCTTATTTCATAAATGGGATGTCTACTTTAGGACACATTCTAACAATGATTCCAGCCAACTCACAAGATATTTTTGACTTTTCAAATAAATTCTAGAGCTGTGCCTCCAGCTAACCACTTCAGTATAAAAAGTTAGTTGGACTGGGCACAGATGCCCTTACACCTGTCATCCTAGCTACTTAGGGCCTGAGAATAGGAAGATCATAATTTGAGGCCAGGTCAAGCAGAAAAGTTAATGAGACCTCTTCTCAACCCATAGCTGGGCACATAAGTGCATGCCTGTCATCTTTACTTTGTGGGAGGCTGAGATTGGGAGGATCACAATTTCAGGCCAGCCTTGAGCAAATAAGTCTGTGGGACTGCCTCAATAAAAGAAGCCTGGCATGATAACTTGTTCCTGTTAGCCTCGCTAAGATGGAGAGCCCCAAACAGGTGCATCTCAGTCCCAGTGTATACCTAAGCAGAAGCAAGACCTATTGCATGAATAAAGGCCAGAGGTGCCACTCCACAGTAGAGTGCTTGCTTAGGTAGTGCAAAGACTGAGTGGAAACTTCAGTATTGTCAAAAAAACCAAAACCAGGGGCTCGGAAGGTGGCTCAGTGGTAGAGCACTTGCCTTGCATGCTCGAGGCCCTGGGTTCGATTCCTCAGCACCACATAAGAAAAATGCCGGAAGTGGCGCTGTGGCTCAAGTGGTAGAATGCTAGCCTTGAGCTGAAGAGCTGAGGGACAGTGCCCAGGCCCAGAGTTCAGGCCTCATGACCGGACCCCCCCAAAAGAAAACCCACAAACAAAAAACAAAAAGTTAAGGTTGTCACTTACTGTGATGGGACAAATAAATTGGAAGAGAGATATTTGGCCTGTTCTTCATGATTAATAAATGCCAAGAACAGCATTTGCTTACATTTTGATAGAATCATTTAAATTACTACTCCTTTTGTGTGTGTGTGTGTGTGTGTGTGTGTGTGTGTGTGTGTGTGTGTGTGTGGCAGTTTTGGGATTTGAACTCAGGGCCTGAGCACTGTTCCTGAGCTTTTGTGCTCAACGCTAGTGCTATACCACTTGAACCACCGCTCAACTTTTGCATTTTTGATGTTTCATTGGAGATAAAAGTCTCATGGACTTCCTGCTTGGGCTGGCTTCGAACCTCAATCTTCAGGTCTGTCTCCTGAGTAGCTAAGATATGGCACCTAGCCATAATTACTTCTTAAAGGAGATAGTTGAGAAGTATATAAAATAGGGCTGGGGTAAGTAATGTTACTTTGTATATTTCAGTTAAGAATATGTTTCTTGGAAATGTTTTCCTATGCTAATTTTTCTACACATTAAGATGGGTTGTGCTGGTGGCTTACACCTGTAATCCTAGCTACTTAGGAGACAGAGATCTGAGGATCACATTTCAAAGCCAGTGAGGGCAGGAAAGTTCATTAGCCAGCAAAAAGCTAGAAGTGGAGGTGTGGCTCAAGTGGTAAAGCACTAGCTTTGAGCAAAAATCTAAGGGATAGTGCCCAGGTTTTGAGTTCAAGCCCCAGTACTAGCATATACACACACACACACACACACACACAAACATACACACACACAGAGCAATTTTAGTTTTTCTGCTTTATTATTTATAAACTTTGCTAAAAACACTTAAGGCAAATATCTTGGATTCCTCCGCATAGTAGATAGAGAAGATTTTTGGAGATAACTCTCAGGTCATTGTCATCCAATACCTAAATGTGTGCTTTGTGACCTAATAGGCTACCCTGTCCAAGGCTTCCTTCAGAGGGATCTGTTTAATGGAATCATTTCCTATCGTCACTTCGGTGGAGAAATATTTGAAGATTCTTTTGAATTTGTCCTGTGGGACAGCCATGAGCCTCCAAATCTGTCAGGGCCACAGGTGAGAGACCATTTCTGAACATCTTCCCAGAGTTTTATATACTGATAGCAGCTCCTGGAGGTTTTTTGTTTTTTTTTTTAATTGTGAAAATACCCTACAGAGGGATTACAATTACATGAGCAAGGTAATGAGTACATTTCTTATCAAACATTGTTGCCTCCTCCTTTGTTTCCCCTTCCCATCCCTTCCCACCTCCCCTATGCCTACCCACTCCCCTTCGTTTTTCGACATAACATCTTGTACATTTCATTGTTGCAATGGGGCCACCTATATCCCTATTTAAACAATTTGTTTTTTTCCCTTCCCCTCCACAAATTATACCAACATCAAATACAGTGAAAACAGGGGTTATACTGTGGGGAAGGGACATACAAAGCAACAAAGAAATCATCTTATAAATATGTTAGAAACAAAAGTAAGAAAGAAAAACCATTTGAGTCCTTATCTTGGGGTTCATTTAGCCTAACATCAATTTATCTGACCTTTTCTGCTTGTCTCAGACATATACTAGTTATTGCAAATAAAGGAAACCATGGGGCCTATGTTTCTTTGGGCCTGGCTTACTTCACTTCATATAATTTTTTCCAAGTCTTTCCATTTCCTAACAAATGGGGCAATGTCATTCTTTCTGATGGAGGCATAGAATTCCATTGTGTATATATACCACATTTTCTTGATCCATTCATCTACTGAGGGGCATCTGGGTTGGTTCCATATCTTAGCTATGGTAAATAATGCTGCAATAAACATAGTTGTGCTGGTAGCTTAGTATGGTCTTGTTTGTGATCATTTGGGTAAATGCCCAAAAGTAGGATTGTTGGGTCATAGGGGAGCTCTATGTGGAGTCTTTTGAGGAACCTCCATACTGCTTTCCAAAGTGGTTGAACAAGTTTACACTCCCACCAACAATGCAGTAGGCTTCCCTTCTGTCCACATTGGAGTTGTTATTAAGAAGTATATGAAACAGGTTTTGAGTTTCAAAGTTTGAGAAGCAATGGATTAAGTAAAGGCAAGGCAATTTCTTCGCAATGACATGATTTGAACACTTAGTTTTCTAAAAATGTTTTGCAATTTTCTCTGTATCCAGTGTCTCTAAGGTTACCTCACCATTTTTTTTGCCAGTCCTGGGGCTTAAACTCAGGGCCTAGGCACTGTCCGTGAGCTTCTTTTGTTCAAGCATAGCACTCTACAGCGCCACTCCTGGCTCTTTCTGTTTATGTGGTACTGAGGAATTGAACCCAGGGCTTCATGCATGCTAGGCAAGCACTCTACCACTAAGCCACCTTCCCAGCCCCTACCTCACTTTTATATTGACTACCTCACCAAATTTATTTGCTTCCTAACACCCAAGAAAACACTTATTTTATATGTAGTGGTAGAATGATAGATTCTGGGCGTGGGCTGTCTGAGATTTCATCCTGGTTGTGACACTAACCATCAACCCGTGCTCCCGTTTCCTTATCTGTAAACTAGATGATGATACTAGAACCTTCCTCACAGAGTCATTGTGAGGGTAAGTGATACAATTTGTTCTGTTACCTAGTGAACAGTCAATAAATAAATTGGTTATTATTGTTTTGGAGATCTAAATTTTTTCTTTTTTTAACAACCACTAGAAGTTATTATTTAAGTCTATACAAAGCACAAATGGGATGAAGCCAACATTATCATATAAAAATTACAGAAAATGTAGTTTCTGGACAGTTATAAAAGGGTAAACTCCTTGAAGTGTTTAGAAGTAGGTTATTATTCTTTGAGATTCACAAAAGGGACGTTTGACATTCATGATCACCTAGCTTTGACGTCCTTTTTGTTAGAAATTTATACCTATGATTTTATATGTGGATGCAAGTAATCTCAGACTTGTTCTAGAAAGATATAGAATTGGCGCTACTTTGTCATGTAATGTCTTCTTATAGTCATATACTGATGTTAGCCAGTACATAGAAGACTGAGGTATTCATCTAATAGAAAGGGATGATCAGAAAGAATGATGTCAGAAAGCTCTAAGTCAGTAGGAAATGATTCCTTTTAAGATTAAATGGAGAATGAAGGAGAGAACTCTCTGTTTTGGTTGTGTATGTATTCTTTTAAACTAAAAGTCAACTCATTCTCAAATAGCAGCCTCTTCTCCACATCAATGCATTATATGCTATTTCTGTATCTTTGCTTGAGACCATAATTAATTTCATAGTTCAAAATGTCAGCTATTCATATGATTTACTTCTAAATCTTCTGTATATGTTTTCAACCCAAGGTGTATGTTCTAGAACACCATATCCTTTTTAGTAGACTTTGCAAGCAGAAATTTTAGCAATTTATTTGTTTTTTTTTTATTTGTCTTTATCTTTTTTTTTTAATTTAATTTTATTTTATTTGAGAACATACTGTACAGAGGGGTTACAATTACATGGGCAGGATAATGCATACATTTCTTACCAAGCATTGCAGCCTCCTCCTTTGTTTACCCTTCACCTCCCTTCCCAGCCTCCCCCCTCCCCTCCACCCAATCATACCCGCCCTCCCCCCCCCCACACCGACATTGTAAAGCTGGTTTTGACATGACATTTTGTACTTCTCATTGTTGCAACAGGTCCACCTGAATCCTTAAACGACTTGTTTGTCCCCATCTCCTCCACATGTTATACTGACATCAAATATAGTGAAAGCGGGGGTTACACTGTGGGGGAGGGACATACAAAGCAACAAAGAAATAATCTTATAAATGCGTTAGAAACACATGCATGAAAGAAACAAAAACATTAAAATACATATTTAAGGGTTGGTTTTCCTAACATCACATTATCTGACCTTTTCCGCTTGACTCATACCTATACTAGATATTGCAAATAAGGGAAACCATGGGACCTATGTTTCTTTGGGCCTGGCTTCTTCACTTAATATAATTTTTTCCAAGCTTTTCCATTTCCTAACAAATGGGGAAATGTCATTCTTTCTGATGGAGGCATAGAATTCCATTGTGTATATATACCACATTTTCTTGATCCATTCATCTACTGAGGGGCATCTGGGTTGGTTCCATATCTTAGCTATGGTAAATAATGCTGCAATAAACATAGTTGTGCTGGTAGCTTTAGTGTGGTCTTTTTTGTAAACATTAGGGTAAATGCCCAAAAGTGGGATTGCTGGATCATAGGGGAGTTCTATGTGAAGTCTTTTGAGGAACCTCCATACTGCTTTCCAAAGTGGTTGAACGAGTTTACATTCCCACCAACAATGAAGTAAGGTTCCTTTCTGTCCACATCCCCTCCAGCATCTGTTGTTGTTAGAGTTCTTGATTTTTGCTGTTCTAACTGGAGTGAGGTGATATCTCAATGTTGTTTTGATTTGCATTTCTTTTATGGCTAGGGATGTTGAACATTTCTTCATGTGTCTATTGGCCATCCTTCTTTCTTCTTCAGAGAAGCTTCTCCTTAAGTCTTTCGCCCACTTATTTATTGGGCAGTTGTTTCTTTGAGGATTTGTTGTTGGGTGGTTTAATTTTTTGAGTTCCAAGTATATTTTAGATATGAGACCCTTGTCCGTTGTATGGCTAGTAAAGATCTTCTCCCAATCCGTGGGCTTTCTATTGATCTTGCTAGCTATGTCATTTGCCCTGCAGAAGCTCTGCAACCTTATGCAATCCCATTTGTCCAACCTTTCTTTGATTTGTTGTGTTTCCGGGTCTCTATTCAGAAAATTTCGGCCTGAGCCAAGGAGACCTAGGGTTTCTCCTATTCCATCCTGTAATGTTTTCAGAGTGTCTGCTTTGAGTTCAAGGTCTTTGATCCATTTGGAGTTGATTCTGGTGCAGGGTGATATATAAGGATCTAGCTTTAGTTTTCTACATGTAGTTAACCAATTTTAGCAATTTATTTGTATGTGTATCAAACATACAAGTAGTGATGCCTTGATTTCTCTACTAGGAAAACAGAATTATTAGAAATAGAATTATTTCTAATAATACAATGTTATAAAAAGATAATTACTAGAAATAGAATTATTTTTAAAACTCAGGAAGTTACACCAAACTCTTCTAATTTTTAAAAAATGTTTGCTCAGAGACAGAATAAATAAATAGAGACAGAGCCAAGCACCAGTGGCTTACGCCTGTAATCCTAGCTACTCAGGAGGCTGAGAGCTGAGGATCGAGGTTCAAAACCAGCCCAGGCAGGAAAGTCCGTGAGATTCTTATCTCCAATAAACCACTAAAAAACCGGAAGTGGAGATGTGGCTCAAGCAGTAGAGCGCTCGCCTTGAGCTGGAGAGCAGAGGGACAGCACCCAAGCCCAGAGTTCAAGCTCCATGACCGACAGAAAAAAAATAAAATAAAATAGAGACAGAGAGAGCAATAAAAATCTACAAATTATGACCTGTGCTCATGAACCATGTATTCTCTAGTTTCTAAGTACAGTCACATCCCAGATTTGACCAAATGAAGATAGAGAATATTAGAAAAAAGATTGCAACTGTACTGAACATGTATAAACTTATTTTTCCTTTTCATCATTCCCTAAACAATGGTGCATAACTAATGTGTACAAAGCATTTACATTGTATTGAATATTATAAGTAATGTAGAGATGATTTAAAAATACATAAAAGTGGTTGGTACACTGTACCACTGAGAACAGTAGTACATGCCTATAAATCCAAGCTATTCAGAAGGTTGAGGTGGGAGGGTCATGAATTTAAGGCCTGCCCAGACAACATAAGACCCTGTCTCAAGCCAAAATAGTAAAATAACCAGTACAGTATACAAGAGGATGTGCATGGGTCTATACAGATAGGATATCAGTTTACATAAGGAATGTGAACATCCCCAAGAGGTCCTTGAACCCATTCCTTATGAATACTAGAAGATGACTGTGTTTCTCCAACTCAGACTGACACGTACCTATTGCATTATCTGACAAGTCTACATATCTACCTCAAAATACGTATCTGCACAAAAAGAATATTTCACTTATTTCTCCAAAAACCTGCACAAAACTTTTGTACCTAGTAAGGTTGAGAAAAACTAACTTTGGAAGTAGTTCCTAGGAGTGAGAAGTAATAGTGGATATTTTCAAAAGTAGATGAAAAATAAAGAGCAGGCAGGAATCAGAGCCCAGGGAGAGGCAGGATCGGGAATTCTGGCCCACAAGTCAGTCAGCTACCAGCTAAAAGAGTATGAGATTGTAGCCGGAATCTGAAGGTTGAAGTCAGTCTTTGTCATTTTGTAGGCTGACCTCTTGCTTTGTGTTCTGATCCCTTATAACTCTGTGTGTGCTTTGACTGGAGATGCATTGGGAAGGATCTGGGGGGACAGGCAGTGGAGAAAGAGTCTAGCATTTGTTTTGCATTCTTTGCCTGGGAATGGATGTTTAATAATGCCTTTTGTTATACCACATTTTAGTACAATGAGAAGGCTTTATTTCTCTGAGGAGTTTGTTAAAATATGGCTTTCTTACCCATAGATATTCACACAGTAATTGTTTGCACATGCATAAATATGTAAAAACATATCAACTTGGGCAATCATAAAGCATGTTGAAAAATGTGCCCACCAAGAATTACTACAGGGGTATAAAAAAGCATGCTTGTACATTCTTTTTACATAAAGAATACATCGGAGAATAAATTAGCATGGAAAATGGTCTCTTTGAAGGCACAATAACTATTGTTTCCTTATTAAATCCAGCTTTTCAATTAAGTGGCGACTCACTGATCCACACTATGACTAGGAGGTCCCATAGAGAATTTCTGAACTTTGTAGATTAGCAAAATACTATAATTAGAAAGAAATGTCAGAGATTCCGGGAGACTTGAAAAATGACTGCCATTGTGCTCTTTTATTTTGATCACTGTCTTTAATTTTTAATTATTGAAGTGCTTCATAATAGATGGTAAATATGCTGTAAGCTTTTATAAACATAATAAAAGGAGACAAGGAATTAGTTTATTGAGCATCTACTATGTATTAGGTACTCACTGCACTATTATCTTGCTTGATCATGACAATATTTCTCTCTAACAGTCATTGTAATAGTGCCTTTTGGCTGGGTGCTGGTGGCTCACACTTGTAATCCTAGCTACTCAGGAGGCTGAGATCTGAGGATCATCATTCAAAGCCAACCCAGGCAGGAAAGTTCATGAGACTCTTATCTAACCAGAAGTGGCACTGTGGATCAAGTGGTAGAGTGGTTGTCTTGAGCTGAAGAGCTGAGGGACAGCGCCCAGGCCCAGAGTTCAAGCCCCATGAACTACAAAAATAATGGCTTTTGTACAGAAAAGGAAAAAATCTTTTTCCCAAAAGGGTTATAGTTTCCCCTAGGAACCACGGCATAGAGGTTCATAAGCTGATGTTAAGTCTTTATATCATAGCAAAAGTTTAACCATGTCAGTTTCTGCTTTGTGTATCAAGTGAACAAATTCTGTTCATGTTCAAATTGTATATTGGGATCATCATTTTAGACAAAATTGTCATTGTTAATCTGTGCCTTACTGACATCTAAATAAATCAGAAGTTTAGAAACAGTAATTCTATGTGGCAGACTGAAGGTCTACATTGCCAAGCAAGGTATCATTTCTAGAGAGAGGAAATTCTAGCTTTCATATTTATATGGATGTATGTAAAAATATATATAAATACTAGCTTTAACATATGTATATACACACATAAATATGTATGTAAATACATAGCATGGAATAAATGTGGTGATCAAAGCTGTTTGGCCCATGCTCCTTACCATCTAGCATAATCCAAGTGGGTGAATGTGGTTTGAAGTCTGCCTAAAATCACAGTGTCTGTGGACTCATTTAGTTAGCAATATTAATGAATTGACTTTAAGCAACAAGGTTTTGTGCCAGATGTTGTACCTACATTACTGAATACCTACTATCTACACAGTGATATTTGATCTTTGTAGAATTCCATGAAGTTGTTAAGATGCTTAAATTACAAGTAAGAAATATGACCCAGAAAATATTGGGTCAAATGGCTGCTAATGTGTAAATAGAACACTGAAAACTTTAAATGCTTACTATCAAATTTTGTGTGATTTGTGCTTTATCACAATGATGATGTCATGGAATGTTAAGCCTAAGAGAAGATTGACATGCAAAGTACTGATACAAGGCAATGAAATAAGTGTTTTATTCGAGAGATTTAGTCATCCATTCATGCTGCCTAAACAAAATGCCAGAGACCTCATGGCCCTAATCACCTCCTGAAAGCTCCACCCAGTACTGAAGAACTGAAGAATTAGGTTTTACCATGAATTGCTGAGGAGGCACAAAGTATGGCGTTCATAGTATGGCCAAAAATATGCAAAATTCAGCAACAGTTTATTCCAAATGAGAGACTGGATGACATTTTGAGATGAGCCATTGGAAAGTGAGTGAGGCTCATATTGCTAGAGAAAGCAAGAACAAAACATTGAAGATTAAAGAAGTGAGGTGGTTGTTAGCAGAAATGTCCTTGAAGGCAAGGTCATGATCCACTGTGCAAGAGAACTGTCAGATTCATGTGGGAAGACAGTGAAAAATAACAGAGCATGTCTAACCTGTGAAAGATCTTAGATAGTGTGTTAAGGTTCTATACTTCCTGGGTAGCTAAGTTTGTTGAGGTAGTGAATTAATTATGTAATTTAAACATAATGCTAGAGGTACGAAATGTGGATATCAATAAGCTTAGCATCGACAGAAGTCTATTGCAATCATATGAGAAAGAAATTCTGAGAGCTAGGCCAGTAGCAACAGACTTTCACTAGGGGTGGGGCAGCCTTTGTGGAGGGAATTTTACAGTAGAAACCCCATGCTGTGCTATATATGGATAGAGAATGAAAAACCAAGACTTACAAGGTTTCTAGGATAGACTAGAAGGAGGCATCTATGAAAGCATGCATTATTGGTTGAAGAGAGATAAAATAAAAGCAGGAGCATATTGTATTTTATGTGTACTCCTAACTGGATTAGTTATAATAGTGTTACTAATATTCTTTAAAATGTAGGATACAATGAGTATAGGATATTCTGTTTTTATCTCATACCCACTGTTGCTCCTGAATCATTTGACCGAAATGCACTATAAATGTCAGTCATGCTACAATCACGAGGTGGGCATGGGATATTCTCTCTGATGTAGTCTTGGTACTTCAGTGAATAATACAGATATTTTTATTTCAGATCGTGACAATCCATATCACTCCAGTAGATGACCAGCTTCCAAAAGAGGCTCCTGGAGTCTCTCGACATTTGGTTGTTAAGGAAACAGAGGTGGCCTACATAACCAAGAAGCATCTACATTTCCTAGATATGGAATCATGTGACAGAGAGCTGCTCTACACAGTAACAACACCTCCATTTTTCTCTTTCGGCCCCAGGTATCTTTAGAAAGTCGTCAGATGATCTGTCAGTCTTTGGTTTATTGACCAGAGTTAACCGTATCCTATATAAGTGCTATGATTCAATGGCTTCATTGATCAGACATGAATTTATACCCAATTCTGCAATTCTTTTTTATTTTTTTTCTTGTAAATGTCTGCAATTACTTTATCTCAAACTTGTCTTGTGCTTCCCTTCAAAATCTATATTAATTACTAAGTGACCTGTGACTTGTAATGTTTTCAGCATAGCTAGCCTTAGTTATTTACTTCCCATTTCTAAGGGAAAGCTTATTGTTCTTGTTAACTAAGTTTAATGGGGGTTTTTAAACATTAGTTTTAGATATTACAGGCCAAGAAATGGCCATATCTATGATCTCAGATGAGATAATTAGCATGAATGTTGCGTAGGCCAGTGATGTGCACATGCTAATGAGGAAATATCTGTTAGAATGAGAATAATGATTTCTTTTCCCTATGACAGAAAACATTTTTGGGCATACTTTTTGTAGTCCTGATGAGTAATGATGATAAGACATAAGGCCATACGCCCGCAGTATAAAGATAATATAACGAATGACCATTTTTGAAAAAAAAATGGTCATGGACTCTTCAATTTGTTTTTTTATTTCATTTTATTTTTTCAAGACAGAGTCTCACTATGTGTTTCAAGCTGGGCTCACACTTGTATGTCACCCAGATTGATTTGGACTTCTCTCTTCACCTGTCTAGACACTCCAGTGCTGGGATTATAGGCATGTGCTACCATGACTAGCTTTGATTAATTTCTCTTAGCTGGAAAATTATCTGATGTGTATTTCTCTTTAGACACTCGGATGCTGGGAAGTTATTCATGGTGGACAGCATACCGAAGCTAACCAAAAACCCAGTAGCCCTGGGATTAAGGTCATTTACTCAGGTATGTTGACTTATACGATGCTATCAAACTTGACGTGAGTGTCTTCTGAGACAATATGGCATTGCTTAGTTTTGCACCTGAGAATCTGACCATTGACCTCTGCCATAAAACCCTGATATCTTTATTCTTTCTGCCACACATTTGCATTGACCATATGAGTCTGTTGAAAGTGCTTTATAAAGTTGGATACGATCCAAAATCTTGTTATAATTAAATTCAGGTTTTTGCATTGTCTTGCCAGCAGCAGGACTCATTCAGGGTCTCCTATGCTTTTATTTCACCCAATTCAGCTCCCTCGGTATTTTACTATATATATATATATATATATATTCCCCATTAGTTTCCAATGGTCGCCATAATGAAGTGCCACAATTATGTGGTTTTAAAACAACAGATTATGTTCTCATTGTTTTGGAAGTTAGAGGTCTGAAACCATGGTATTGTCAGGGTTGTGTCTTCTCCCGCCAAACCCTGTGGAATAATCTTTCTGGATTGTCTTTAGCTTATGGTGGTTTGCCAGCAATCCTAGGCAATTCTTGGCTGGCCAATACATTACTCCCATCTTTGTCTGTTGTCACATGACAGCCTTCTTCCTCTGAGTCTCTCCTCCTACCATACAGACACCATACTGGATTAAAGGTCTTCCCTAGCCTAGTATGACCTTCCTGTAACCAATTTCACCTGTAATGGCCTTATACCCAAATAAGTTCACATTCTGAGGTGCGCTGGATTAAGACGTCAGTGTCTTTTGAGGGGAATCATAATGATCAGACAGCAGAAACTTCTGTGGTTTGGGATTAATTATGCCTAATCTCCCTGTTGTTAGAGGTTGTAAATGAGTATATTAATCCCACATGACAAGTGCTATTACTTTGCTCATTTTTACAGGTTAAAGAGAGTAGCATGACCAATATGTAGCTATTATGTGTGGAGTAGGGTTGAAATACAAATCTGCCTTTTATAAAGTTGACTGGCTTCAGTGTTTGACTATATTTACGTAATTTCTTGGTCATTTTTTCCTCCATATATAAAAAATGTGATTACACACCCCAGGTGTCTGGGTTCTCAGGGAACTGTGGGAGAGACCTCCATCTTGAATGGGACTTTTCAGGGACCATACTGCATCTGCCTCGGAATGTGTGTGGTCTATCTGATGAGGGGTATCATGGCTTAGGGAACCCCTGCTCTGGGGGGTTGGAACCCTGGGACCCTTTATCAGTTTATCAGTTCCGTCTCCACCCAACCCTGTGAGGCAGGCCAGAGAAATAGGCTCGCTCATCATCCTCTCCACCCTGCCCCCCCCCCCCCCCCCCATGGATCAAGCACTTGGTACTGTCAGATAATTGTATACTTGTTCCTCTCTGCACTATTTGCACAAATAATCTATAATTACACTTGGAAAGTACTAAAAAATAAAAATAACATTTTCCAAAGAATGTGATTAGTAACTTAGAGACTTGGGGGAGTTTTTCAATTGATGTTGAATTTTTCATTTATGATGTTGAATGTCAATTAACACTATGGTTGATTTGAACCTAGGTCTTGGAAAGTTTCAAATTCTTTCACATTAATACCCATAGATGCATCTGAATTTACTTTGCAGCATGCTGTGAACCATATGAAAGTGGCCTACATGCCCCCTATGCAAGATATTGGGCCCCATCTCCAGCACGTCCAGTTTACAGTTTCTATCAGTAACCAACATGGTGGCACTTTGCATGGGATATGCTTTAACATTACCATTCTTCCAGTGGACAATCAAGTTCCTGAGGTATGTACAATGTTTGAGATGGAGGATGAAAAGGAGGGAAGGAATGAAAGAAAAGACTAACATTTTGTTTTCTAATTGAAGTGTAGGAGAAAAGTAAGAAGTGGGAGGTAGGGAAGGGACTTTAAATGAACTTTGCATTAAAAAAATGAGATTTTCCAGTTGTTAAATTTGGCACTTGTTTTTTAAAGCTTTATCAAAAATCTCTTCATCTCCTTTTCTTTAGGGCTGAGTTTCACACGGGGGGAAGGGAATTAAATTATGGGTCTCTTAGCAACCAGAACTTATTTGCTTTTACCGCAGGCCAACCATGCCGCTATGTAATCCAAGGAAGCTCTTTAATTTTCCCAAACGAATTATGATGGGACTCTTTTGTCCTGCCCTATCTCACTGCCCAATGTTTATGTAAGTCTCACAGACCTTGAGTCTTTCTTTAAAACTGAGATACAAAAGCAATGGTACTTTGTGCCTCTTTTCTGTGAGGCTGAGGTTTGCATTAAGAGTTTGTTCTCACCCCCCACCCCTGCCCCTTTTAGAGTGCTACACTTTGTTAGTATAGCTATTATTGGGAGCACTTTTATCCTTAAAAGTGGAAAGATAAAAGAACATTTCCTAGTCACTATGTAGCAGAGCCTCATCTCACAACCATCTCTGGTGGTCTTCTTCCTGGTCATTTCTCACTCTATATCTATTCTTGCTTGAGGTTGTAGAACAAATGATTTATTTGATGGTCCACCATACAGAAGTAGTCTGATAGGTATAAAGAATATTTTATAAAAAGAAATTATCAACATTTAAAAATCCAAGAAGTTTTCTGTCATGTTTGACTTGAGATTTCTCTTGAAAAATATAGAAGTTCTAGCACTACTGAACTCACCTACCTCATGCAGCTGTGGGACAGGGTGTGATCTCTACCCACCAAAGTCTTCATGAACATGTCATCATACTCATTTGTATCATGGGGTTGGCCTTGAAGGCTAACAAGCTTGCAATGTTAGGTATGAAGCACATCAAAGGAATCTAAAACTAGCTCTAATCTAAAACGCTCCAAGGCATCTAAACTGGTTCCATTTGCTTCTGTGATGCCTTTCTTCTCAGAGACCAGGCCATGTAAAAATGTGATAAAAATGGTGTAGGATGTCTATAGAGTTAACTTAATTAGATTTTAGTCAGATCAAACTTTTCTGTGTGTAAGAGATACTGGCCCTAAAATAGCTGAACTTCTTGTCTTTCTTTCCATCAATGCCTAAAATATTTAATAAAAATAAATCCTTATTAGTCAACTGGACAACTCTAAACTTGTGTGTGTGTGTGTGTGTGTGTGTGTGTGTAAGTATTGGGGCTTGAATTCTGGGCCTCGTGGTCTGGGTCAACTTTCCTACCCTGCTCCCATAGCTAGTACTCTACCATATAAGCCACACTCTACTTCCAGCTTTTTGCTAGCTAATTGGAGGCAAGAGTCTTATGGGTTTCTCTGTCCTGACTGTCTTAAAACAATGATCCTCAGATCTTAACCTTCTTGAGTAGCTAGGATTATTGATGGGAACAACTGGCCCCTCAGGCCTTAATATAGTCATGAAAAAGTAATTGGCCTATGAAGATGGTACTAGAAATTTTGCAATTAGCTTTGGGTTCAAGATTCCTCATGGAGCAAGGCTTTGCATATTTCCTTCCTTCTTTCTAGGTCTTCACCAACTCTCTGAGAGTGGCTGAGGGAGGTCAATGCATCGTGGACACAGAGCACATCCATGTTTCTGATGTGGATACCCTACCGGACAATATCTACCTCTCTCTGACGGGGACCCCGCTGAGTGGAAGGGTGGAGCTGAATGGATTTCCCCTAAATCCAGGGGATACATTTTCTTGGAGAGACCTTCATACCTTAAAAGTTAGGTTAGAACATTTCCTGGATTTTTTCCCCCTTTATTTGCCTTAGCTCCTCATCTAGGTCAACTTTGAGGCAGAATGAGAGAAAAGAAGTTTTGTTCAATTCTTTCAGGGATTCTGGCATGTTGCTTCATACTTTCAAAGGTTGACTGAAAACTAGAAATGACAGATTTTTTTTGTTTTCCTTCAGACATTTTCTTTATCTCTGGTTTGTTTAGTGAGGATGACTTTGCAGGTATGTGAACAATAAAAATTAATTACTACAAATATTAAACTTACTGTAACTGCACATACCACAAAGTAGATGATAAGGACTAAAAATTATGTATGAAACTAATATACATAATTGAACTTGCTCTAAGGAAAACCAACTTTATAACCCTGAAAACTCTGGGATAGAACCATGCTGATCAATGTCTTTAGGGTAAGCATTAATTCCATTCTATGGGGTAGGGGTTTGGAGGTGAGCATGTAGGGTCCGAATGGCTGGTCCGCCATGGAGCACTATTCAAATTGTGAGAGCCCGGGATAGAGATATCCTGCCTCTTGGTCCTGTAGTATTTCTCCTAACCTTGATGTCTTTCATTTCATTTGCTGAATTCAGTTCTGAAAGAAACTTCTTTTGCAAAGTATAGTGAAACATTTCTAGAAAACAAGTCAAACTACTTAGGGGAAAAAAAAGCAATGATCAGATAGAGTAATTTCTCCCTTGAAAATTTGAGATATTAACGGAAACTCTGGCCCACTTGATAAAGTGTAGTAGGAAATATTAGGCATCAAGCTTGGTTTGGCTTGGTTTTAGACTTGACTAGGAAGTTCTCTAGGAACTAGGATTGGGCATAAGAAGATAAGTTTAATTCTGATAGTTTTGTTATATCATTGGTTTATACTTGTCTATTTCTTGACCTCTTTCCAGTAGGTGAGCAGTGAAAAACATTCACCTATTTTGACTAAAATTTCCCTTTTGCCCTTTTGTGATTTTGTTTCTGAGATCTTAGCTCTCAGTCACATGTTAAAAAGGAATTTTGTTTAGGCATTCTTACTATGAGTAAGTAATGGATAGAAGTAAAATACTATCAGTATTTTCTAGAACTATGTGTTCAAGCACGTGTCTAATGATTTGTAATTAGCTTGAAAAAATTTTAATCTTCATAGCAATCAAGTCTGGTAAGGTGGATAGTTTTATTCTTATAGTTGTCTTCAACTTAACAAAGATATTAGGAATTTGCTAGAATATGGAGTCAGGCTCTTAAAGATCTGTTTAACTACACAGCATGCCCTGAATGTGTATTGTGAAGTCCACTTGATTCTTTCAGAGGTACTAACAGAATAAATAGCATCACAAATCTATATTGTAGAAGTGTGGCAAAAATAAAGTACAAGATGTAGTGTGGTACAAAGGAGAGGTGAGATAGTGGTGGCGGTAGTAGGGACAAAGGAGAAATGTGATGTGGGTCTTCCCTGGCATTGAAATAGAATCCTCTATCTGAGTTTCTATGATATCTATTGGTGACACTATTTCGAGCAAAATTTAGCTCTATTTTTTTTGATAGATGAATATTTTATAGGTTCAATATATTGTAGCATTTTTTCTTTTGTACCTGTCCTGGGGCTTGAATTCAGGGCCTGAGTGCTATCCCTGAGCTTCTTTTGCTCAAGGCTAGCACTCTACCACTTGAGACACAGCTCCACTTCTGGCTTTTTTTAAAGGGTTAATTGGAGATAACATTCTTATGGGCTTTTCTGCCTGGGCTGGCTTTCAACTGTGATCCTTTAGGTCTCAGCTTCCTGAGTAGATAAGCTTTCAGGCACTGGCTTCTGGCAGGAAAGGTATTTTTAAGTCTGGGAGAGATTTGAGGTTCTTTATAAGTTCAGAACAAGAAATCTTATAAGTGGAAGAGGGAAAATTGTGGGAAGGAGCCACTGCACAATCCATAGATAAAGGTTTTAGAGAAGAGCTTAATAAACCCAGAGCACAGGCAAAAAGGATTAACTTTAAAAGTAGGAAAGGAGGATATCATCAAATTCACATAGACCCCTACTTTCCCCTGTGTACTGTTCAGTCTTGGGTTTTCTCTCTCTCCCCAACAGATATATTCTAGATGTTAGAAGGACTATACCAAATGGTTCTTCTTATCACAAAGCAATAGAAATTTATATTTGAGGAAAAATTACTAATACTTATCAATACATTTTCCCAGGGTAGAACAATTTTACATTTCGGTATACTTGAATATGCTTTTGTTTTCTTATTTCTTATCATTCACTCATTCATCCATTCATTCACTCATTCATTCAGAGAACAAATCTAGAGCCACTGAGGAACTCATGTTAGGAATCTCAAATTATTCTCACAACAATAGGAAGATTACTACAAATCTTATCCCCACAGGTATCAACATGATGGATCTGAGGTTCTTCAGGATGACATATGTTTGGAAGTCACAGATGGCAAAAATTCAGCAGAATTTGTTCTACATGTTGAGGTGGGTATAAAGTTTTATCTTTGAATGGTTGTGGTTTCACTTGTAACTCCAGCTGTTTGAAATGCAGCTGTTGCTCATGGTGGCTCCAAAGAAACTTGTTGAGTAGCAGGAAGGTTAGGGTAAAGTAAAGCTTTGAAATCATAAGCTTTAAATCACTAAATAATAATAGAAAGAAAAGTAATTCATAAGCTGTGGATGTACCTGCATGAGATGTGTGAGGACCAGGATTCATCAGGAAAATGTGTGAACTTAATGAAGGAGGATTTTGGTTTTGATGAGGCGTGCTTTACATTATATCTGTCTGCCTGGAAACAAATGAGAGCTTTGAGCCCCAAACCATAACCAAATACTCTTATTCCTGCCTAAAATTCTGCTCATGTGGGGCATTCCTTGCTAGATGATACATATGGGGGAAGTTGAAAGACATGGGCTGCCTGGCCAAATTCCATGGCTATTGTTTAATGTGTCTGAAAGACCCAAAAATGCCTGACATTGGAACTATTGGCAATGTGTTACCACTTGGGCAATTCTTCATTTCTTTTTTTTGAAATTGTGCATTTTGTTTCCTGTGTAGGTATTCCCTGTAAATGATGAGCCACCAGTCCTAAAGGCTGACCTCATAGCCGTTATGCCCTGCCTTGAAGGTGGAGAGGTGGTCATCACCCCTGAATATCTTTGTGCTACTGACATGGACAGTGATGACTTGACACTGGTGTTTATGATTGTTGGAGAACCTCAGCATGGGATGGTGAAGAAGGCTGGAGTGAGAGTGGACAGTTTTTCTCAGGCGGATGTTATCTCAGGGGCAGTGACATACAGACACACAGGTACGTGCAGCATTGTGACTAGTGCTGTTGCCTATATCCCATTGCATAGTTGATGTACCTTGGCTAGAAGAGTGACTGATCTGAGAACTGGAGTGAATTTCAGAGAGTGGAGGAAGAGCAATATGGCCTGCTGAACTGTTGATGCCCCTACATGTTCTTTCTCTTTGCTGGAACCTCCAGGACCCTAATCATCCCATAGTAGGCACTAAGTGTTTATTGGGCGAATGTTGATGATTAAGTATCTTAAGCCATTTTTATATCCATATGTACAAGTGAGAGGCCTCTTAGTTTGGACGCTTCCACAAGTTGAAGACTTACATTTCCTGTTTTTCATTTATTTGGTTGCTCAATGATATAATCTCAACGTGTTTTTTTGGTTGTTGTTTTCTTTTTTAATTTCATTCTTTAATTTTTTATTTTAAAAATTTTATTGTAAAGGTAATGTAATGAGTACATTTCCTTTTGAACAGTGTCACCCCTCATTCTCTCCCATCTCCCCTCCTCCCCAAGTTGTATAGCTCATTTCCAACATAGTGTCTATTGAGTAACACTGTTGAATTGGTTCACCCTTTGTCCTGCCATTTCCATGCTTCCCCATCCCCTCCCCAAATCAGATAAACTTACATATAAGATAAAGGGTACAGAAATCAAATACAGTGACCAAAGGAAATAAACTAAAGAAAAAAGGAAAGAAAAAAAAGAACCACAAACAGTAGAGTAAAGAAACCTCTTGTTTCCATTTCTTGGAGTTCATTTTGATCAGCTTCATTTTATATGGTTATATGTTCAGAGCTACTGAGCCCTTGTGATCCTCTCCTAAGAATGTCCTCCTTTGGTCTCACTGTGTGACTCAATTTTTTGAAACAGGAGAATTATGCTAAACACAATATTTTGCTTAGATTTGGCCAATGTGTTTTTTGAAAAGAGATGACAGTTCTTTGGGCTATCATCTCATGGAAACTCCAGCATTAATTGTTTCCTTCTTCATTTCTTTAAGGTGACATATGAACATGACCAAACACAGTGCAGGGCTTTTCTGTCCTCTGGAGAGTACAGACTCCTTCACTGTGCTGCTAGATAGTAACTAGGAGACTCTTGTTCTTCCTTTAAGTGACAGAGTCCTGTCATTTTCTTCTTTCCATCTCATTGTTTAAGTTGGGACCATTTTAAATCTTATAGAGTAAGATCTAAAAAGTAAGAAGAATCCAAAGTAAATGCCATTTTCCCACACACACTGTTGCTACCTTTAAAAAAATCTTGGTTAATATACAAAAAAGGAAAATTATAAAAGAAATGACCAAAATGTAGATTACCTTCCCCTCCCCCCCCCGCACCTATTCTATGCCCTTTCTATGCCCTCTATTTCTAATAACTGCTATGTGGCTGATGTTTATTTATCTCAGTATTAGTGGAAACAGAAAGACAATTACCAAGTGGACATGGGTACCTGCCTCCTCTCCCCGGGGTTGTTTGTAACACCAAAGGATTAAGAGGGACAAATGAATCCATCCTCTTTCTTATTCATTTGTGAACTGTCAGACCTTTGTTAGCCCTGTTTTGCCCTTCCATATGGTGTTAGATGGATGGCAAGGATTTCACCAGAGGTAACAGATGGACAAACATTTTTACATTATTTTCATGACCATACTTAATTTCATAGTGATAATGCTGATATATATATATATATGTATAATGTATATGTATGTGTATGTGTGTATATAAATATATGTATATGTATGTATATATATGTATATATATATATACACACACACATATCCCATAAGTTCCTTTCCTTGTCATTAGTGCTTGTAGAAGAGCTGTGAGGAGATTTCATCTTGGTATTCTACATTTTTTTTTAATGGTCAGAATTTCACTATCATTGTGTTTTTCAGGTGGTGAGATTGGCCTGGTACCTTGTTTTGACACCATTACATTGGTGGTTTTGGATGGAGAAGCCAGCCCTGTCATCAATGGCTGTTGCTACCACAGGCCTGATCCATCAGCTCTTCAAGAGGCCTTTCCAGTGTATGATCTCAATATCACAGTGCATCCAGTAGACAATCAACCACCTTCCATTGAAATTGGTGACAAAGTTTTTCTATGTTAAAATACTATTGCCTTTCTTACTGTCATGCCTCTGTAGTTCAATGAAATAATATCCTGAATTAGAAAACCATTCTAGAGAATTGTCCTCTAATAATTGCCTCAAGAGAAATCTATAGAGCTGGTGGCTCATGTCTGTAATCCTAGCTACTCAGGAGGCTGAGATCTGAGGATTGCGGTTCAAAGCCAGCCTGGGCAGGAAAGTCCATGAGACTCTTACCTTCAATTAACCACCAGAAAACTAGAAGTGGTGCTGTGGCTCAAGTGGTAGAGAGCTTACCCTGAGCTGAAGAGCTGAGGGACAGTACCCAGGCCCAGATTCAAGACCCACAACAACTGACAAAGAAAGAAAGAAAAAAAAAGAAAGAAAGAAGCGCCTCAAATCTATGGAAAATCATAAGACAAAATGTGTTTAAAATGTTAGGAATTTCTGTATAAGGAGAAAATACAAGTATCTGTGGTCTGTGTGTGGTTGTTGGGAAAAGGACGACACTGGAATCCTCAAATAGTTTGCTTTTATTTCGCATGGGAAAGTATCATTTGCCTGCTGGAGAGAGTAATTTATTTTATCCATAATAATTTCTATTAGAGGAATGAGTATGTAAGTACACCAGAGAGACCTTTTATATACATTTAACCTTATTTGCTTTTTAGAAAGTCATCTCTTCATAGGCATTATGTATATGTTCTGTCTCTCAGAAAAAAAATAGAAGCATATGTATGAATGTTATTGTAATTTGCAAACTATCTCCCAAGCAATGTTCTGGAAAGGAAGCATTATCCCAGCAGAATAATTAAGCACCAAGGCATGAAACAAATGTTCGTTATGAGCAATTCATAATCGCTCTCAGGCAATTAACGCTCTGACAAACAGAGGTAACAACTGATCTTGAAGAGTACATAAACTACATTTAGTGGCTTATCATTAAAACAGTTTGGCAATTCTTATTTTCATTTGTCACTTCTATAGAGACACAAGGGAAATCAGAGTTCCTTGAGAATGACTAAAGGGCTGTAGTAAAACATTTAGTATTTTTCAGTGCTTCATTATCATCTGGCTTGCTTGTGCAAGAAAAAAAATACATAATTCCATAAGTCATATTAAATCCACCCATTACCCCTGAATGTTTTTTCTGCAAAGAGAATTATGCCAAAGGAAATGAACATCTCCCATGGAAGTATATTTGCATATGGGAGGCTTCTCTGAATTGGAATTTCAATTACTCCCTTTTGTCCTCACTATTCAGATGAGGCCATTCCATGCTAAGTCATAACTGTGTGGTTATTTGTATGCAGGTACCATGTTCGTTGTAGATGAAGGCTTCTCTGCAGCCATTACCATTAACCACTTGTCTGTCACTGACCCTGACACTGCTGCAGATGACTTGGAATTTGTTTTGGTTTCTCCTCCTCAATTTGGCTACCTTGAAAACACACTCCCTTCTGCTGGTTTTGAGAAAAGCAACATGGGCATCAGTATATGTAAGTGATGACCAGCAATGACTTGCCTATGTTTATGGATGTGATTGGTCAGATAATGTTTAGTAACTAAGGACTTCAAAAACATTCAAATCACCATATATGTTAAGAGATTTTGTGTACTGTTGTTATTATTATTATTATTATACTGATTCTTAGAATCTTATTTTTCATTTTTTTTTATCATGACATACATGCAAGATGATATCAAAATAAGTGGATAATGCTAGCTACCTGACAGGCTGAGAATAGGAGGATTGCAGTTCCAGGATAGTCTAGGAGGAAAAGTTTGGGAGACCCTTTCTTGTTATAGCTAGGTATAGTGGTATGTGCCTCCATCCCAAGCTGTGTAAGAGGCTCAGATGGGAGAGATCATGTGCCTGGCCACCCCAGGCAGAAAAGTCTGTGAAACTCTTTCTCCATAGAGGAAAGCTAGACATAGCTCACGCCTATGATCTCAATATTAATGGGAAACCCAGAGCAAGTAAATTGCAGTTCAGTTATGTGTCTCATAGGAAGCAGGTAAGACAGCACACCCCCCCCCAAAAAAAATCCAAAACCAACAATAACAAATAAAACAGCACAAACAGTGTAATTCTTTAAAAAGACTCAATGAAAGCCCCCCAAAATAAGTATGAGGAAATGAGTACTTGCAAGAGGGGAGGGGAGAGTCAAGGAGAGATAAGTAGAAGAATAAAGGGGAAAAGTGGGGAGAATACAAGCAAGAACTCATTGTAGATACCACAGAATTGAGAAATATAAGGGAAGAGGTGGGCCAAAGGGGTGGGTGAAGATGTTGAAGCGATGGCACAGATGAAGATGCATTGTACACACAATTTGCTTTGTTAAATTGCCCCCCCCCCAAATCAATACATAACCTACAATTAAGTAAGGGAAGAGGTGGGTTGAGAAAGGGTGGTTGAGAAGGTTGAATAGGGTGACGTTGATCAGGGTGCACTGTATTCAATAAACTGCATTGATGAAGAGCAACTCCTTAGGTCAACTACTTAATGATAATTTCTTTTTTTAAAGAATGAGGAACAGTAACTTATAAGCCATGTTTTTCTTATGTTTGTGTTCTGTTTTGGTATGCTCTAGCTTCATTTCAGTGGAGAGACATGAAGTCTTTGCACATTAACTATGTGCAATCCAAGCATCTGAGGATAGAACCAACGGCCGATCAGTTCGTGGTCTCTGTTACAGACGGGTCACAACGCTCCTCTGAGACATCATTTTACATTCGAATCAACCCCACCAATGATGAGGCCCCTGACTTTGTAGTGCAGAACCTTACCGTAAGAAACACCTCAGAATGTTCTCTTTGTTTCAATTATTGTCTGATATTGAAATTTTATGTATTTATTTTTGTTTTCCCCTACACTTTTACCTCAGTCCCGGGCATGTAACACATTACTTTGATGAGTAAAGAGTAAGACAGGGAGAGGATAGTATCTTTTATTCTGTAACTCAGGCACTTGAACACCATTACTCTCACAGTAATGATAATAATAAGTGCTAATACACACAAATGCAAGGGTGAAATGAGTTGATTGCACGGGAAGAGGATGAAGTACTTACTAGTTGTAGGTTCCAAGGCTTTCACATGCATTCATGCTTAATCATCACAATGGGCTTTTAGAGTGATGACATGATTATTGTCATTTTCAGAACTGAGAAAATGAGGCAAACAAAGAGGTTAACTAAGTAGCCTAAGTAGTTTATACACCTCTAATAATGTGTATGCATACTATGACTTTTCTATATGTTTTTACTTACAAGCTAGCAATTATACCCACTATTCTGCACTTCTGTTTCCATCCCTGTAGGTTTTCTTTCACCAAAGTAGTTTATGAATACAGTGAATTTTGATCAATGTTATCCCTTTCAACATTCTTTTTTTTTCCTTTTTTGTTGTGAGGCTTGAACTCTGGGCCTGGGCGCGTCCCTCAGCTCTTCAGCTCAAGGCCAACACTCTACCGCTTGAGCTACAATGCCACTTCCGGTTTTCTAGTGGTTTTTATTGGAGATAAGAGTTTCACAGACTTTCCTGCCTGGGCTGGCTTTGAACCGAGATCCCCAGATCTCAGCCTCCTGAGTAGCTAGCATTACAGGTGTGAGCCACTGGCACCCAGCTCCCTTTCAACATTCTTAACCATCCCTTCTCAACCCACCTCTTCTCTTACTTAATTGTAGATTATGTATCAAATTTTTGCAGTTTAACAAAGCAGATTATGTATACAATGCATCTTGATCTGTTCTCTGTCATCCTTCAGCATCTTCACATGCACCCCTTTGGTTCACCTCTTCCCTATATTTCTCAATTCTGTGGTATCTACAATGAGTTCTTGCTTGTATTCTCCCCACTTTTCCCCTTCATTCTTCTACCTCTCTCCCTTTGGCCCTCACCTCCCCTCTTGCAAGTATCCATTGCCTCATACTTATTTTGTTGGGCTTTGACTTAGTCTTTTAAAAGAATCATACTATTGTGCTCTCCAAGGAGTTTATTTTACTTTAGTTAGTTCATTTGTAACCCCTTATTACCACCTAGTATGTTTATTTGTAGATTTATAGGTCCATTCTAGCTACCACAAATGAGGGAAGCCATGCAGCCTATGTTTCTCTAGGTCTGGCTTACTTTGCTTAATATATTTTTTTCCCAAGTCTTTCCACTTCCTTATGAATGATACAATATCATTCTTTTGATGGAAGTATGGAATTTGTATATATACCACATTTTCTTGATCCATTCATTCACTCAGGAGTATCTGGGTTTATTCCATATCTTGGCTATGGTAAACAATTCTGCAATGAACATGGTTGTGCTGGTGGCTTTAGTGTGGCCTGGTTTGTGGTCATTTAAGTAAATGCCCAGGATTAGGACTGCTGGATCATAGGGGAGCTCGGTCTGGGTTGGGGCACTGTCCCTGTGCTCTTCAGCTCAAGGTGAATACTCTACCATTTGAGCCACAGTGCCACTTCCAGTTTTCTAGTGGTTTATTGGAGATAAGAGTCTCACGGACTTTCCTGCCCAGGCTGGCTTTGAACCCTGATCCTCAGATCTCAGCCTCCTGAATAACTAGGATTATAGGCATGAGCTACTAGCACCCAGCTTATGTGTGGTCTTTTGAGGAACCTCCACACTGCTTTTCAGAGTGGTTGAACCAGCTTATATTCCCACCAACAATGTGGTAGTGTTCCCTTTTGGCCACATTCCTGCCAGCATCTGTAATTATTAGTTTTCTTGATAATGGCCATTCTGAGGTGAGGTAGGATCTCAATGTTGTTTTGATTTCCATTTCTTTTATGTCCAGAGATGTTGAATTATATAATATTTTCTTAATCCATTTATCACTTTCTAAAACAAAATTACATTAAAATATTTTTATTTTTAATTTTAAGCAAATACATAAGTATGTGTATACATATATGTGTATATATATATATGTGAAAATATATGTACAGAAGGCTATTTAACCCAGACATATGTATTAGCAAATTCTAAAGAAATGGAGTAAGTAGAGGCTTTGGAATTAAAGGGACTCAGGTGTTGCATTTAATAAGTATAGGATGCTTGTTATTTTTCTCTGTGCTTCTGTTTCTTAAACTACAAAATCTGTAAAGAATCTTCATTAAGGGATAGCCATGATGACTCAGATGATTAGGCACAGAGCATAGCCTTAAAAATCAAGTGTAGTCAGTATTATTGTCACTGTAATGTTTGCCTTTTTTCTTCTGATATTGATCAAAGTAATTATTTTTTCTTATTTTTTACTAAAAATAATCAAATTCTGAATGTGAAAGTCTTTATTTGTTTTTAATTTTCTACTGAGTCTTAATGGCACATGAGAGTCATCTCAACATGAAATTTAAGAGCCAGCCTTTCTTCCTGGTTGGCTTGTGGTTTCTCTAGAGAGCACTTCAATAATTATGTGAGACAATTTTTTTTTTTTTTTACAAATCATTCCTACCATACCTACTTCTATTGTCTTGTATCTGTCTAGGGCTTGGACTTCTGAAATAATTAGGCCACTGGGAAGTTGTCTCTTGTTCTTGTCTGAAATAATCATGCTTTTTACCTGTGTCTTCCTAGAGAAGCTGCTATGGAGTGACAAACACAGAGTCCCTTTTATCATTTACAGAGATGATGCTAAGATTTATGGGATAAATTTTTAGATAACTGTATTTGACTTTCTTGTGAGAAAGTGCATTTATTGTATAGATATGCTTCCATCAAGTTGTGCTGCAAACAATTTAATTTATGATAATCCCTTCTAAATGTATCCAGATGTAAAAGGTATTTTTAATGTATATTGATCTACATGTGTGTATGTGTGTGTGTGGGGCTTGAACACAGGGCCTAGGCACTGTCCCTAAACATTTGTGTCCAAAGCTATTCCACCAGTTGAACCACAGCTCCACTCCCACCTTTTTGGTGGTTAACTAGAGACAAGTCTCACAGACTTTCCTGCCTGAGTTGGCTTTGAACTGTGATCCTCACATCTCTGCCTCCTGAGTAACTAGGATTATAGGTATGAGCCATCGGTGACAGGCTTAATCTAAACTTTTTTTTATTGTCATAGTATAAACAAGTCAGTCTCAGAAAAAGAAGCTCACTTTGTTTCAGTGACATTTTCTAGTAATATTGTGCATGAACTTATCATATAATAAGTTGAGAGCAAAGATTTTCATAGTTGAGCTCTATGCAGAAGGTTAATTACAACATTTTTAAAGCTGCTTTATTAAAGTTCCTGGAGAAAAAGGGGAGTTATCATCAAAGATAATTAAATAAGTGTAGCATAAATTAATCTATGATATTACTTTGGTCCTTAATAAGTAAGTCCAGATAAAAGAATGCCATTCGCATTTTAGCTGTAATTTTTTAAAATTTTAATTTTAGTATCAAGATGGTAAGTAATTTTCAATCAATAGAGGGTTGAAAAGAAATATTTTTACAGTTCTCACCCATACGTAGAAATATTCATGTGACACTGTGTATTTCCAAGAATGTGTATAGTATCTGTAAGCTTTTGTTACTTGGATCTTGCTATATTTCAAAATAGGAAGCAAAAATATTTTTTTATTCTCTCTATCTTCATTATAAGAAAAAAGGCCAAGACAGCTAAGTATCATATTGCCAAGTTCTAAATGACTAGCTTGTTCATGGAACAATAAAATTATACTGTCTTTGAGCTTTAAAAATTATGAAATCTGAGCTGAGATGTAGGGAAGGATGGTTCTAAAGAATTAAGAGGTATGAGAATTAGGAGAGGTGGGTGAGGGACCCAGAATTAAAACATGTACTATTTGCTCCCAAAAATATCCTTCTCAATTATTGTTGACTACAATGAAATACAGAAGTTTTTTTCTTTTACCACAATAACGAAAATACAGAGCACCAAATATACCCACTATGTGTGTAGCAGGCATTTGTGCTATTTCTAAAGCAATTAGAGACATAAGAATTGTGGAAATGATGAGATCTGAGAGGTTAAAAAAACAGATTGGAATCTAATTGCGAAGATTCTAGATATAGCTTCACTACTGAATTATTCTGACTTCCAGCAAGTAAGCATCTTTTTGGTGGCTGCCCAACCCCCAACTTGGAATTATTAACATTATACATGTTTTAAATCCTAAGTCTTTGGTCAGACATGAAAATAAAAATTGCTTCAAGATCTTCAGAGAAAAAAATGTGAGGTAGTTTAATAGATACTAAGCCAGCAATTTCTGTTTAGGACTCATTACATGTGGATGTTATTGATAATTTGAGACAAGGTGTTTTCAAAGGAAGTTTTTTTTTTTTTGGCAGTTTGTCAAAAGAAACTAGTAAACAAGTTGCATTTCACACTTAGCTAAATCCCTGGCTTGCTCCTGTCCAGGTGTGCCAGGGTGGAATGGTGGAGCTGGATTCTTCCATCATCAGTGCTGCTGACCTGGACATTCCTAAGGACCACTTACTCTTCAGCATCTCTCAGAAACCACATCATGGTCTCCTCATCCATGGGGGACCCAGTGAAAACACTCCTCCAAATAACCAGCCAGCCAACCCTCACCAGAAACATGAGCTCATTCATAACTTTTCCATGGACCTTCTTAAGACTGGTATGATGTGTTGAAAATTTATATCTTCTTGTTGACTTAATAATTTCACCCATGCTTCCATGTGGACTCTAAGAAAGTTGAACCCATCTAAATAGAGTGATGTAGTGATTACCACAGGTGGGGCATTGTAGGAATGGGAAGATGTTGGCCAAAAGGTATAAAATTTCATTGAGAGGTGAGGAAGAAGCTTAAGGCATCCATTGTACAGCATGGGACATGGTTAATAGTAAGATATACTTGAAAGTTGCTGAGAGTGTTCTCCATACCCAAAAGTTTAAGTATGTTAAGTCAAGTATTAACTTGGTTGAATCATACTATAGGATAAATATGTATTAAAACATCATGTTGCATATCATAAATACATACAAAAATACATTAACCTAGAAAAGATAGTAGTAAATTATAGAAATATAAGTAAAAAACAGCCCCATCTACCTTATTTGTTTATCTCTTGAAGGTTGCTTTTGGGTTGTAGATTAATGTATAGCATGAAGCCCTGGCTAGAAAGAGTAACCTATTGAAAAGATAGTAGTGTATTTTTCCCTTTCCCTCCCTCCCTCCCTCTCTCCCTCCCTCCCTCCCTCCCTCCCTCCCTCTCCCTTCCTTCCTTCCTTCCTTCCTTCCTTCCTTCCTTTCTTTTTGCCTTCTGTGTATATGGTACAGGAGTTTGAACTCAGGGCCTCATATTTGCTTACAGTGCTCTACTACTTGAACCATATCTCCAGCCCTGCTTTTTGCTGGTGATTTGGAGATGAGGTCTAGTGAAATTTTCTACCTAAGCTGTCCTCAAACCACCTCTAGCTCTCAGGCTTCTGAGCAGCTAGGATTACAGGTGAGGGCCACTGGTGCCTTACTAAAAGACAATAATGTATTTTCTTTTTGTTGTAAAGAACCATTAAAATGCTATCTGTGCTGTTCGGGATTTTAGCACACAACTTTTAATGTGATAAAAAAAATCCTTTTTAACTCTATTGAGATCATGCGATTACATTTTAAGAGATTTGCCTGCCAAAAATTCCCACAGTTGAAACAAATATAGAACTGCATATAATAATGACTCATTAGTCTCTCAGCAGATAATTTGCTCTTGAGGGAAATGACACATTGGAATAGCAGCCTAAATGATTTTTTAATTACTCTTTAAAAAAAATGGTCGCATCCCATTTTCCACATACAAAAATACTTTCCAAAATTTGAGCAAAAGTTCAGTTCTAGCATTACTGAAATTCTAGAATTTCTCTCTCTCTCTCTCTCACTCTCACACACAGAGACACAGACACACAGACACAAAGACACACAGACACACACACACACACACACACACACACACACACACACACACACACACTTTTTTTTCATGTGTCTTATCCTGTGTGAGGTGCTTACCCAGGTCCTCTAGCCATTCCTTTGCTTGCTTACTTTGGTTCAGCACTTGCTTGACTTTCCTCCTGCATTCTTCCAGTGAGAGTGCTGGCTTTTCATCCTAGTTTGAAAAGAAAATCCATCTATTTCTCCATTTTTATCAATTGCAAAGAAAATTCTAGAGAATATGACTTACAAAATTCTTAACTGTATGTTGCAATTATAGACTATATTGCTACAATGTATATTTTCACTTCAAGTTTAAGACAAAGGAAAAAAATGGTCCTGATTCAGACTTTAGTTTTGGTTCATCTGTCACTACAATAAAAAGTTAAAATTTTTAGTGTATTCTTATAATCATCTCCACACACAAACATACAGAGCTTAACCAAACTGCTACAATACTATGTAGTCTGTTTTTATACATTATTATAGCCATTCAAGTGTTCATTGACATATAGTTTGGGACAGAGATCTTGTTTCATTGCATGGATGAAATCTATTATAATTTTGTATAATTATTTCTTATTTAAAAATATGTAGATCATTTTCTACTTCTTTGTATTAAAATTCACAGGTCAATAAACATTTGTCATCTTTCTTGGTGGACACCTTTTAGTTTTCTATTGCTAACAGCTACCAAATTATTGGTAGCTATTAGTTTTTTTTTTGTAATATGTGTTAAAATAGAAAGTGTATTGTTTTTGGCTGTGTTCTTTTTTGAGACTGTTTTGATTATTCTGGGCTCTCTCCCTTCCTTCCTTCCTTCCACTCTCTCCTTCCCTCCCCCCTTTCCCCCTTTTTCTCTCTCCCTTTCTTTCTTTCTCTTTCTCTTTTTCACTCTTTATTTCCCTCTCTCCTCTATCTTTCTTTTTTTCTCTTTCTCTTTCTCTCTCTTTCTTTCCCAGTCCTGGGGCTTGAACTCACTGTCCCTTAGCTTCTTTTGCTCAAGGCTAGTGTTCTACTACTTGAGCCACAGTGGGACTTCTGGTTTTTCTCAGTAGTTTATTGGAGATAATATTCTTATAGACTTTCCTGCGTGGGCTGGCTTTGAACTGCCATCCTCAGATCTCAGCCTCCTGTAGGATTACAGACATGAGCCACCAGGGCTCAGCTCTTTTTCATTTTTATACAAATTCTAAGTAGGTTTTAGAATGAGTAATATATGGTTTTGTATTTCAGTTTTGATCCTCTTAGCATTTAGTTTGGTAGCTGACTCAAAGCAAGTCTAATTTTTTACTTTTCCTCAATATTTTTTTTTGTTTTATTTAAACACTTGAACACCTTTGTATAGATGCAATTTACTTACTATGTCCTTTCCATACTGATTTCATATAAAGACCTTTTCAAATACTACATTGCTAAATAATCTTTTAAAAGCTCTGAAGCTATTCCTTTATTTTACAACTCTCTCTTACTTTGCTTGCTGAACTGTTTGGTGAATTCTTGCTGTCACCCATGCCTCAGAATTAAATAAGATTATTTATGGAACACATCCGGGTAGGCCTATCATATGGGAGATTTACTTTCTCTGTGTGTTCTTTCTTGCAGGACTGAAGCTGTCATATGTGCATGATGGCTCAGAGGGCCTAGCTGATGACTTTGCAGTCCAGTTGTCAGATGGGAAACACAAGATAGTTAAAATGATTTCAATAGAGGTCTTTCCAGTTAATGATGAGAAACCAACATTAAGCAAGTAAGCCACTTGAAGAGCACCTCTTCTATATTTCTAGAGGGTTCTATGAAGTCCACAATACTGGGTGCAGAGGGATTGAGCATCCCTTCCGAGAAGCAAGTCTTCCACAGTCCAAGCTTATCACAACTCACCCCACCCACTTAGATATTTGAAACCTTTAGTACAAACACTAGTTAATGTAATCTCTCCTAAAGCATTAGTACCTTAATTATTTGACTTTGTTCTAAATGTCCTAGTTAGATAATGCAGTATATATTGGAACCTTTAGTACAAATACTAGTTAGTGTAATCTCTCCTAAGCCATTACTACCTTAATTATTTGGCTTAGTTCTAAATGTCTTAGATAATGCATCGTGCACATTTTGTTAAATATTTGAACACATTATCTTAGTCAGTTTTACCTTTGCCGTGATGAAACCAGGAAATCTTAAGGAGGGAGGACCTGTTTTGGCTGATAGTTTCAGAAATTTCATTCCATTCTGGTGAAGAGGGTTTGGTAGAACTGAGCAGCTCACATTATGATGGCTGGGCAGGGAAGACAGAAAAGGGAGAAGGGGAGAGCGGAGAGGGGAGAGAGAAAAGAGAGATGAGAGAATATGTCTGAATTGAATACTTTCTCTTTCCCTCTTTTATTCCATCCTATGGGATGGTGCTGCCTATATCAGGGTAAGCCTTCCCCCACTTAATTAGTTCTTACTGGAAACACCTGCAGACGCATCTAGAGGCGTGTTTACCAGTTTCCTGGGCTTCTCAATCCAATCAGTTCACAATCAAGATTAAACACAGACACAGACAGACAGACAGACAGATAGACAGACAGACACAATGCAGATAGTGATCCCAATGGATTTGGTCAAACCTTGATTAGAGGTAATAGAGGGACTAACCAAAGCTGCTGCTTTTATCAGTTCAGTGCTCCTTGGTTCTAGTCTTTTACTATATTGTATATGGATCAGAAACCCACCATTCATGGCTACTTTAGAAAACTGTGTATTATTAATTGCAAACTCCCTCTGTAGCGTCTTAGAGTTTCTTTATAGGACAGAATTTTTGTCAGTTATAGTCTTACAGTTCTGGCCATTCCTTTTAGAACTGGCAACTGTGCAGAGCTGTGCTAAGAACACAGATGATACAGAATTGAGGAAGCCCAGAGGTTGTCCAGGACCATCCATAGGCAAATACCTTGTTCTTTTCTCAATGGCACACCAGCAATAGGTGTCAGTTAGCCTGGGTATTGTTGTTTTTTTTTTTTGTCAGTTGTGAGGCTTGAACTCAGGGCCTGGGTGCTGTCTCTGAGGTTTTTTCTTTTTTTTTTCTCACACTTTACCACTTTGAGCCACAGCACCACTTTTGGTTTTCTGGTGGTTAATTGGAAATAAGAGTCCCACAGACTTTTCTGCCTAGGCTGGCTTTGAACCATGATCCTCAGCTCACAGCCTCCTGAGTAGCTAGGATTATAGGCATGAGCTACCAGCACCAGTGCTTGGCTAGTCTGGGTTTTATCAGGAACTGAACACCTTCCTGAAAACATCTAAATATCTGCAATGTCCTGCACTATGCACACAGGGGACTTAAACAAGAACCCAACAACTTGCTACTGTTCCCTAAGTTCCTTCAAAAGCATTATAGGAAATATACTGGTGATAGTTTTTTGGAAAGTGGCCTCACAGACATCAGTTTGACTAAAAATACCAGAAATTTCTGTATTCTTATTCAGAAGCTGGCATGTCAGATTTGTTTGGTTTTGATGACTAAATATGAAAAATAAGAAGGATTTTTATATTATTACAAAACCTTTTTCTGCTAATCTCACTTTATCTAAGAAGACTGATGACTAGCATGAAGTATTTACCATGTGACAGACATGATGTTAAAGTTCTTTGATACATATTACCTTTATCACTCAAATTGTGACAAGTAGTATTATTGTCCTCACTGAGAAAAATCAGGCCAGAGAGTTAAAACAGCTTACTCTGCCGAGCGCTGGTGGCTCACAACTATAATCCTAGCTACTCAGGAGGCTGGGATCTGTGGCTCAAGTGGTAGAATGCTAGCCTTGAACAAAAGCAGCTCAGGTATAGTCAGGTTCTGAGTTCAAGCCCTAGGACCAGCACAAAATAAAATAAACAACAACAAAAAGCATACTCCAGGAACTCTTCAAGCTTGTCTGACTCCAAAGACCACATCCTTAAAAAAAAAAACCCAAAAACTAATCTTCCTGAAATAGCTATAGCTACCCAACCACCAAATCTCATTCAACCTTGCTTCGAAAGTCTCCCTCCTTACTAATTGTAAGTGTACATGGATGCATAGAACATTTCAATCCATATGTACATATGCAATGGTGAGATCAGGCTTGGCATACCTAAATATCTCTGATATTTAGCAAGTGATTCAAAGTCCCTCCCTTTCCTTTTCCTCTTTCCTTCTCTCTTGTGGAGAAGAAGCCATGTTCCCTCTTTTTCTTCCATGTGTCTTTGAGTAAAACACCTTGATTTCTTTCAGAACATCCTCTCCTGTTTGTCTGTCCTGCATCTCCAGTTTCCTCCTTCTAGTCTTTCTGTTTTAAGACCTAATGATATAGTTAGTAGTTAGGAGAGCGGATGATGGACTCAGACAGGTTTTATTCAGCCACATAACAGTGGAGTGAGCTTGAACTTGCTCTTTCTGCTCTCACCTCTCTGTTAACTGGTCTGTGCATGGGAGTATTCAGGTCATAGATTGTCAATTCAGATGTGTAGAACTGCTTGAAAAGACGAGCTAGTGCATGTTGGGTGATCCTGTTTCATTATTTCCATGAGTTCAGGTAGATATTCTCATTCTAAAAAAAACAGAGATAATCCAGTCCTCTATTCCTTTGCTGCCAAACTTTTTGGAAGAGTAGCTTTCACTAGCTTCTTCCATTATTGCCCACTGTCTCCAACCTTTACCACTTTATTAAGGCTACTCCCACCCAATCTAATGGCTTGTCTCACCATACTGGGCTCTATTAGAGCATTTAATACAATTTCTTTTTTCTCTTTTCTTTTGTGCCAGTCCTGGGATTTGAACTCAGGGCCTAGGCACTGTACCTTAGCTTTTTTGCTCAAGGTTATCACTCTGCCTTGTGAGCCAAAGCTCTACTTTCTGCTTTTGTGGTGCTTAATTGGAGATAAGAGTCTCACGGACTTACCTACCTGGTCTGGCTTCAAATAGCAGTCCTCAGATCTCAGCCTCCTGAGTAGTTATGATTACAGATATGAGCCACTGGTGCCCAGTAGTATACCAATGCCATTTCTTTAATAGTCCTTCTAGGTTCTAGGAGATGCATTTAGTTCTCCAAATTACCATGCTTCCCCCTCCCCACCCAATGTCTGATTATTCTGGCACAGTAAAGGAATATGTCCAAGGCCCTCTGTGAACTTCAGCAGCACATTCAGCTTATGTCTAGGCATAGTAGAGAGAATTCTGGGGGATAGTAGCCCTTAACCTAGGGGGCTGATGGATAGGGCAAGTATCCCAGCTTCCTGTCCTGCAAATATACAAGGTTAGTCACATTCTGCATGGTTCCTCCAAAGATCCCTAGCATCTGGGCTTGGTGTTACATGCATGTAGTCTCAGGAAGGCTAAGTCCAAGAGCATCTCTTCAGCCCAGAGATCAGGTCCATCCTGGGCAATGTAGTGAAATCCTATCTCTTAAAAAAAATAACAGAATACAAAATGAACCTCAAGCAAGACTGGTTCCCAACTGCCCAAAGCAGCCAAACCACTGTCCCCTCCCCTCTCCCTTTTTCACTCCCTCTCTTCTGTTTCCTGTGATCACTTTCCAAATAAAATCCCTTTTAGGGTGACTAAATTAGGATATCTTTGACTTTTCTGACATCTGATTCTGACACTTCCTTCCTACCCAACTCCCTTTCTTCTTCATGTTATTGGCTTCCTGTTCTGATTAATCTATCTCTTTGTATAAATAGCACCACTAATCTCCATTACTAACTCCCAACCAAGAGGCTTAGCCTTCTAGAATACTAGGGTTAACTATTCTGTTAAAAGACAGGGGAAAAATCTACTTCAGGGAAAATGAAATTTCTAGGTTGGCAAGAAGCACTCCCTGGGTGAGAGAGCTTGAAATGGAGGTGATTGGAATTTGGCTTCTTGATAGAGGAGTGGAAGGCTGATGCCAGCTGGTGATTCCCAGTGTCATTGATCTGTATCCCAAGTTTTGCAGCCATCCAGACATTTCTTGAGAAACAAAGCTGTTACGGTGGACAGAAGAAGCATGTGTGAGGATCTACTGTGGAGAGTTAGAAACACTGTTGAGAAAGGTCCATGACTTCCTTGGGTGAGACCAGGAAGAATGGCCATACTGGCTATAGAAGCAGCAGCATCCATGGTAGATGCAGCAGCTGCTCACAGCCCAGCCGGTGCCCTGTGTCTCTCGGCTGTTTGCCATGCCAACTGCTAGCCCAACTCTCTAGCCCTGAGAGAAGATGAATCTCTGTAAGAACACAACCATCAGGACATTACCAGGGGCAGCAAGAACAATTCACAGGGTCACAGATAATCTAAAAACAGCACTGAACTCAGAGAGGGTGTAAATCATTTTCAGGAAGTTTCTGTCTGTAAGATTAGAAGGATTGTTACTGGCCCCTCTATTTGGTGGAGATATTGTTATGAGTACCAAATGAAATATTGGAAATTAAAAAATGATTTTTTTTAACATATCACCAATTAGAAGTATTTAGCGACCTGGTACCCTATTCACAGCCACTGTCTTCTTGTTCAGACTTTTATGTGTTAAGCAAAATGAGCAAGAGCAAACTGAATCCTAGGTCATGTGCCTGACTGATCATTTTGAATTCTTGGGACATTCCTTTATGAGTTGGAAGGTGGGGATTCTAACAGAGTGTCAGTGTACCCTGCTCAGGGAACACCTCCAAGTTTTCTATCAACCTTACCATTCATTTTCCTCTTTCAGGAAGGCTGAAGTTGTGGTGAATGTGGGTGATACTCGTATCCTGTCAAGTGCTGTCCTTTCTGCCATAGATAAAGACTCCCCCAGGGAGAAGATTTACTATTTATTTGAAAAGCTTCCCCAAAATGGACAACTTCAACTTAAGGTGAGGACCCTTTTATCTTTCTTGTTCAAAATGAGCATGGCAGATCAAAATACTTTCAACATACACATTTGTACAATTCTAACTCTTCTCTAATAGTCCTATTTATTGTCCAAGAGTAGAAAATCTGATTTTCCTAGCCTAGGGTTAAACTTAGGCTCTTCTAAAATTTCTTAGTCAGTTCTAGGTAAATTTAATCAATGTTGTTAAGTTTTTTTCACTGCTTCCTTCTCTGGGGGATTGTCGGTGAAGAAGTTACCAGGAAAAGCAAGCTGTCTAGTTTCTGAAGAGAATTGGTAGCTTTTAAGACATCTTTATTTCCCTCAGATTTTTTTTTTGGGGGGGGGGTCCGGTCGTGGGGCCTGAACTCTGGACCTGGGCGCTGTCCCTCAGCTCTTCAGCTCAAGGCTAGTGCTCTACCACTTGAGCCATAGTGCCCCCTCTGGCTTTTTTTCTTTTTTTGCTTATGTGGTGCTGAGGAATCGAACCCAGGGCCTCAGGCATGCAAGGCAAGCCACCTTCCCAGCCCTCACGTTTTTTTTAAGGTTTTCTTTTGTGGGGGGTCCAGTAGTGGGACCTGAACGCTGGACCTGGGCGCTGTCCCTCAGCTCTTCAGTTCAAGGCTAGCGCTCTACCACAGGGCCACTTACGGCTTTTTTTTTTTTTTTTTGCTTATGTGGTGCTGAGGAATCGAACCCAGGGCCTCAGGCATGCAAGGCAAGGGCTCTACCACTGAGCCACCTTCCTAGCCCCTTTCCCTCAGATTTTTAACTATGGATCTACATCACTTTCCTTTTTAGAATCTAGCACCTCAATCATAAAACTCCTTCAAATCTACCAACAATCAATTCCTGTCTGTCTGCTCTCTCTCTCTCCCTCTCTCTCTCTCTCTCTCTCTCTCTCTCTCTCTCTCTCTCTCTCTCTCTCTCTAGGTTTGAATCCCACTTTCAGAAGCATGCAAAAAGTAATCTTTTTTTTTTTTTTTATGATGGTGGGGCCTGTGGCAGCTTCCAGCTCTTTCTCTCTTAACCCAACAATGGTCTCTGCCTGATCTTGCTTTTGTAGTGCAGAGACTGAAGGCATTACCTGGGACACAAGCTCTTTCCCCTTTAGACTCGAAGTCTAAGTATTACCAAGTCTTAATATTACCCGTTCCTGCCTTCTTGATGATTCTCTACAGGGAGAATTCTCACCTCCCTCTAGGGAAGCAACATACTCCACAATGTACACCAAATTGTCTGAATTCCCCTGAGAGAGACTTTAAACCAGAAAGGTTGGGACCTTTATCCACAATCCCATACTCCCTTCCTTAGGTTAAGGTCTGAGTGATCTAAGTCTTGAGCCATGAAGTCCATTGGGGGAGCTTTACATGAGGCCATAACACCCACATTGACATCTATTAGATTTTAACACCTGCCATATTTGAATCCAGTAAACTGCATGATGAAGTAACTTAACATTCCTGGAGTTGCATGTGTTCTGGAAATTACTTTTGCTCTAATGGAAACATCAGAAACATCATACTATGCCCCATGTACCTAAGGTAAGTCACCTGGGTTCCACTGCTGACTTACAACAGCTTGAGTATGGTCTGATCGTATTTCACTTCACTTCTAGAATAGCAAAATTTCAGTCTGATTCAGACTGTGTTAGGGATAACCTACCATTTGTTATAGATCAGTCACTTAAGGAAAGTCATTTCCAATAATCGATCAAAATGTTTATTTGAATAGTGGATTAAGACAAGCAGCAACCACTTGCCATCTCCAATGTGATTATCTGAGCGAATATGTAACTCTTCATGAACATAGACTCAGTCCTAGGAATTCAGGAAGGATTCCTTCTGTGTGTGTGTGGAACAGCTTGATTGTCTTAGTCTGTAGGCACCATAGAGAATCACAGTGAAGAGCAGTCACTGATTTAAATTGAGGTACAGCTGTGCCCTTATTTCATTTCAGGGAGTAATGAAGCAGAAATGCAGTGAACACTCACCCATTTAGGTGGCTTGGGAACTGAACTGCTTTGGATATGTGAAAATCCAGATGGGACCAGGGGCCTGGTAGGGCTCCACCCCATTCTTCCCCAGCCCCCTCAGGGTTCCCCAGGTTGGCTGCCTAAGTCTTCTGAACTCTCTCAAAGGCTCTTGTTTTCTTGTTGGTTTTCCTTGTCTTCTCATTTTTGAGGCAGACTCTTATTTTCCTATTTCAGGCTTTCCTGTCATTCTGTCAAGTCATGTATAACTAAGAAGTTAGATGGAGGTGAAGAGAACAAAAGATTATTACTTCTTTAATTTTTTTGTCAAGATTTACAAAGAGGAAATGTTTAAGCAAATTTCAGGCAGCTTAGTTCAAAATTTCAAAGGAGGGTCCATCTGAAAAGTTCTACTTGCAAATAGATATTATGATGGAAACAAATATTGTGTAGCTGTTAAAATATAATTAACTTGCATCCAATGAGCCCTGGGTTGAACGTCCATCTGCAAGTATCAGATAGGGAGAAATATTAAGGAGGAAGGAACTGTATCAGGCAGAATGACACAGAGAAATGGTACTATACCTGGGTAAAAAAAAGGACAAACATTTCTCTCTAGGAACAGAAAGTCTGTGGGATAACCAAAGGGAAATAAAGAGTAAATGATTGAAATTTCTGTTACTCAGATGGAAAAAAATTCAATATAATCTTGTAATATGTGGCATTATACTTGAATCATACCTGATAACTTTTGAGGAGCTATTGGTAGGGAAAGCTGTGTGTGTCCTAAGAGAATAATACAACAAAGATTTATTTTTTTTACTCGAATACTCTCAATTGTTGGCCAGTCCTTCAGCATGAGAACCACTTGTAATTGAAAATGATTTCTACAATTTCTACATCAAATTCTGTGCAGAATATTTACTTCCTACTGTTGATTGTATTTGGAAGATTCTGATAGTATTGAGAGGTTATATTTTTGCTAACTTAGGATATAAAGGTCAGGAGAGTTGGGGTCCTGATAATTTTCTTTAGGTCTCAGTAGAACTGAAAAATAGCCTGAGGAATAAATGCATTCATTCAATTTCTTCTTTTATCGGCTAAGCCTGGTAACAAACCATTAAAAAAAATAGGTTGGATTAGTTGTATAGTGTTATGATTTTTTTTAAGGGGGGGAAAACACATTTAATTTGTAAAGAAACCATTCTAGCAGGTAAATTAACCACCTGCTCTCATTAATTAGAATATTTAATCATCCATGATTGCATATGATAAATACTTTGGAAATACCATTGCCATTGAATTGTCACATAACGTTGTTAAAAGTCCTTTGGTTAAAGATGATTTCCCCCCTCCCAATGTCTTAAATTATTTTAGCATATTTATTTGAAAGGAAAAATATAATGTAACATGGCAAGATATAGTTTGGAGTTTCTGAGTAGACCCGGGGGCAGCTGACTAATTCCTGGCATCTTTCAGATAGGGAGGGGCTGGGTCCCTCTCTCCCCTGGCATGAAATGCACCCAGATGGACGTGGATCTGAACTTGCTGAGATACACACACACGGGGGCAATTGATTCCCACAATCGAGATAGCTTTACCTTCTACCTCTGGGATGGTGACAACAGATCACCTGCATATGATTGTCACATCATCATTAAGGACATGGGAAAAGGTAAAAGTATGTCTACTAGTGTTTCTTGACACCCACTTCTATAACCAGAAGTGAGCTGTCACATATATATTCAACATTTCTTTCTTTCTCCTTTTTTCCTTTCTTCCTTCCATTATCCATCTATCAAATTCTCTCATTTGTCACTCCGTATTTGGATACCTCACCTGCTCTTTCTGGGATTTGTGGTCTTCTTGAGAGTGGATGATCTTATTTCCTATTAGAAATCTAGCCTTTCCCAGAATGTGGCTACAAAAACCATTTTAATGATTAGGAGTTTACCACAGTGATATATTTCTAATTTTGTCTTCAGGAGGTGAATTACCATTTGAAAATAGTATTTCAACAGAAAAATGTTTGCAATATAAAAATAAGAAAGTGGAATATTTTTAATAAAGAAATAAACAGAAGGAAGTTTGTCATTGAAAGAAGTTGAAAGTCATTACTTTTCACTTTGAAAAGTACTGATGCACACTCTGTAGGGAGAGAAAAAGCACTAAAATATTAAGCTTCACTGTAAGAGAATAAGCTTCACTTTAATTTATTAGGCAGCTCACATACTAATACAAGCCAGCCACTTATAAATGGCAAATGAAGGGGAAAAAAATCTGTGAAACCCACTAGACAATTAAGAGTAGACACTATTGGTGTTGAATTGTCACTACAGCTTGTGTGAAGATAGTATGAATCCTATCTTGTTCATGCTTCTCTGACTTTCTTTCTTTCTCTCTCTTTTTTCTCTCTTTCTTTCTTTCTCTCTCCCTCCTTCCCTCCCTCCCTCCCCCTCCCTCCCCCTCCCTCCCTCCGTTTCTCCTTCCCTCCGTTTCTCCTTCCCTCCCTTCCTCCTTCCCTCCCTCCCTCCCTCCCTCCCTTCCTTCCTTCCTTCCTTCCTTCCTTCCTTCCTTCCTTCCTTCCTTCCTTCCTGTCTCTCCTTCTTTCCTCTCTCCTTCCCTCCTTGCTTCCCTCTTTCTCTTTTCCTTCCTCCCTCTCTTCCTCCTTCTCCCCTCTCTCCAACTCTCTGTCTGTCTGTCTTCTCACTCAAATTTTGACTACCAGGTAACTTGGAAATAAATTGGATGATTAAGTGTGTGGTACTTACAATTTTCTTGAAATAATTTTTTTATAAACTAGTTGAAGTTGACATATTTATTTGTGGTTATATTTTTTTTGCTTATTTTTGTTGTAGGATGAATTTCTAATAAGTGATATACTATAGATGCTATTTTGTACATTAATTTCTCTTGACAAAAAAGTATGTTCATTACATGTTCAGTCAAAAATGCATTGCAAATCATGGGCACAGACAATTAATGTAGAAGGGTGGGCTCTCTTCGTATGCCTTAGCATGGTGGGATCCCAGCAGAGGAGGGAAACTCAGTTCTGTGCAGGTTTTGGGACCTTTTCTATGTGGATCCTCCCTCGCCCTCAATCTCTGAAGGCCTTACACTTACTCAGAAAATGAGATGTTGAGGGAAATGTCATGAGTAGGATTTCATCAACTGGATTTGAAGGTAATGTACTTCCTGTCTAGGGCATGGGTTTGCAAATTCAGGGAAACTAGGTGGTAGAAATGTGAGCCATGAGCCAGAAAGAAAGGAGACCCAAGTACGTCTGCATGTGTTTTCTCTTCCTTTTCTGAAAGGCCTCTCAGTTTGTGCATACATCTTTTATCTATTATGGGTATATAAAGCTTTCTGTGTTTTAGATAGTTTTGATTTGGGCATATTTTGGCCTTTCTTTGTTTTTTACCTTACCTTCAGTGTTAGCTATTTTTAAATGTGGTTACTGACCACAATCTTGTCTTCTACATAGGTGACATCGTCATTCTTACAAAACCACTGGTGGTGTCTAAAGGTGATCGGCGGATCCTGACGACCTCCACGCTCCTGGCTGTGGATGCAACAGACAGGCCTGAGGAACTGGTGTATGTCATCACCTCCCCTCCACAGCATGGCCAGGTGGAATACGTCCGCTATCCTGGAGTTCCCATCACAAGCTTCAGTCAAATGGATGTTGCAGGACAGACAGTTTGCTATGTTCACATGAGCAAGGCAGCAGTTTGCCATGACAGCTTCAGGTGAGCCACTTGGAACCTTTGCTGAATCTCTTCCTCTCATTAATTCTTAGAAAGTGAAAAGCGGGTATGTTCATATGCTATTCTTTGGTAACAATTTGGTAATGTCTCTCTCATAACATTACGTTGTATAGCCTAAGTGTGCATCATAAATTTTATTTTAAGAAGAAAGAAAGGAAAAGAAAAGGTGGGCATGGTAGCTCATGCTTATAATCACATTACATGGGTGGTGGTGACTGGGATGACCATAGTTTGAGGCCAGACTGGGAGAAGAGTTAGCAAGACCCTCATCTCAACCAATAAGTTAGCCAAGGGGGCAGGTACATGTAATCCTAGCTATTCAGGAGACAAATAAGAGGATCCCTATTCAGCGTGTCCTGGGCAAAAACTCAAGGCCCTATTTCCAAAATAAAGCAATAAGACTTGGGAACACAGCTCAAGTAATAGAGCATTTCCCTAGAAAGGGGGAGGCCCTGAGTTCAAACCTCAATGCTGCAAGCTGCAAATGGAAAAAAAGGGAGAGAAATAGGACAGTGTAATTTTGTTGCAGCTGTGTGTTTTAGCTGTATGAAAGATGAATGTGCATAGTTAAAATGATAGTAGCAAGGCAAGAAACTAGGGTCTGTGGGTGGCAAAAAAAATGCAGCTTGCAGGTCTAAAGCAAGCTCTTCTCAGAGATGAGTAAGAGACGCTGAGGGCTCTGGCCAAGGAAAGACACACAAAGTAATTTCCCTCCTCTCTGAGTATGTTTTTCCATCGGAGGGAAAGGCATTTATTAGCATAATAAATTTGGCATAAGCAGACACTGCCTTTTGACTCACAGTGTTCTTGTAAGTGTGTCATAAATCATGTTGTCACAAAGTGGATTCTGTTTCCCCTTAGAAACAATGTTATGATTAGGGACTGTGCACCTGGTCAAGAATTTTGTATCAAATACATCATTGAAGTGAATAACAGTCTGATGAAAAAGGCAAGGATACAGCATTAATAAAAATTTTTGTTCATTTAGAATATGGAAATTAGCTCCACGTCCCATAAAGCAAGAAAAACTCTAGATCTATCATCTCTCCTGGCAGCTCTCAAAGCTGGCTGTACCTAGGTGTGTGGGTAGAGGTTGACAGGCCGGGTGAGGATTAGGGCAGCTTGGACTGGCCCTCCAGGAACCTGATACATAAACCAGCCTTGAGTTTAACCGAATAAGAGCAATGATTTCTCTACCATATACACAGGGCCTCTAGCTCTAGTCAAATTCCCCATGTTTAATACAGCCTCTAAGACAAATGTAGCAAACTCCACATGATTTGTAAATGACAGAGTATTACCAAGGCATCCTTGCTCAAACACCATTCTCCTCTAGCATCCTTTTACCTATCTAAATTCAATATGGCTGCTAAGATTAAACAGAGTTTAAATGTCAGAAAGAGGATTGTTTTTGGTCCACCTTTGGAGCATTTAAAATGATTTCTGAAACATAATCTTGATAGTTCAAGTGTTAAACCAAGAATCTAGGGATGCTTGAACTAATAATACCGTCTTTTTGTTCTTGATGAATATTTTTTTTTTTCAGAAAATAACTTAAAATTTTTATATGGCAAATTTTATAAGCAGGCATTTGAAATATTAATTATATTCAACATTAATACATTTATATGTGACAGGTAAAGGCATGTGTTATGTATTGATACACACAAATGTCCTTGTATTCTAGATGCAGTTATTTTGTGTGAAATCTATACATTATGTAAATTAGATTGATCTAGTATTTCTTTTTGACTAAGCAGGACATGGCTAAATCTATTATGATGATCCTTAATGTGAAAATAGAGCTAACTCTCCAAGGACCATCCTCAGCCGATGAATATTCTTTAAGAAGCAGATACTTTCATTGATCAATGTCTTAGCCAAGTTTAATGTTCATTATATCATCAGAAGTTGGGGGGGGTGGGTGAGAGAAGGGCTCATTTGCTCTTCTTCCAGCTAGTTTGAGACATGGCATGGTGTTGGATTAAGGTACAACCTGTGACTTGTGGCCTTATGGAGTCCCTTGAGTTACACAGCCTTTCTATGGGGCTGCTCCTTTTCTTGCGAGAAATAGGGTGTTGCTCAATGCACCTGTCAAGGTGGATCACTGGGAGGTTGAAGTGAGTTTGTGCATGTAAGGTGCATAAAACAATACCTGGGGCATAGGGCAGAACTAAATAAGCAGTAGCTGACTTTATTATGTTCCTTATACAGTAAATATATTCTTTCCTTGAACTCCTTCTCTTTTTCCATCCTTATCTTGAAGCTTGACCTTGGAAGGGAAAAGAAGTGAGAATGAGGAGCAAACTTGGGATCTTTTGTTCTGTTCACTAATGGAGACCCATGTTTCTTGGCTTAACACATATGTGTCAGATACATTTTAATTTTACACCCAATTTCTGGAACTTCTTGTTTCTCTCTACTCCTGCTTTCCCAAGTCAATATCTACCAGGAAGTCTGCTAAAGTCATTAATGAGCATGTTACTCTGCTGGAAAAGCTAGCAAGCAAATGTTTATGGATGCTGAGAAATGGAGGTTAAGGATTGATGAGCTGATGAGAATAGAAAAGAAAATCTTTGTGTAAGAAAATGATACAGTAAAACCCTCCTAACTAACTCTTACAGTTGAAGGCATCTTAAAATTTAGTTGTCCCAGGAATGTCTCTATGTCTGGATGGGTACAGCCCTGGGCCATTGTCACAGTTTACTTATGGGACTTAGTTTTGTTTTGTTTTTTGACACTGGACTTTTGTTTCTGTTTTTCACACTGGACTTTTGGGTCAGGGATTCTTTAACAAAAAGACTGTTACTCTATTTCCTAAAGCCATTGAGTTGTATCAGTGGTGACAAAGAAATACAAGATGATGTGGGCTGGTATAGGGGCAGGGAATAACCTCATAAAAGGGGAATCAAGAGGATTGCAGTTAAAAGCCAGCTGTGATTCTTATCTCCAGTTAACCACCAAAAAGCCAGAAGTGGAGCTGTGATTCAAGTGGTAGAGCATTAGCTTTGAATACAAACGCTCAGGGATAGCCCATGCTCTGAGTTCAAGCCTTAGGACCGGCACACACACACACACACACACACACACACACACACACACACACACACACACACACACACACACACACACACACGAAGTGTGGCCTAAAGGAATGAAATCTCAGGTTGGTGCCTGTACATCTTTGTGGCTCTGCTCTTTATACTTAGTTTTGACTTTTTAACAAAGAGAATGCAGGCTGCAGGCCCTGATCTTTTGACAGTAATATTCAGCTAGAATTAAAAATATTGTTTTCTTGGGTTTATTTCTGTGTCATTTATGAAATTAAGGTTTTAGTATATAAAATTTATGGTTTCCACTAGTTAAAAAGTTAAAAAAAGTAAATTGATATAGAGCATCTCTCTGTGTGAGAAAAAGAAATACCCTTATTACCGATGTATGCACAAGATAAGCAAAGCTCTAAGGAGCAAAGGAAGATATCTAAATTCACATAACTGAGTAACAATGCTCACTTTGAAGCTCAGAGCTCATTTTCAGTAGAGAGTTTTTCCATAATACCTTGTTGTACCGAAAATTGTTGGGGACTATGCCTCGGTAGGAAGGAACCTCTTCCGTGTGTCATTCTGATTTTTGGCCAGCAGTTTTACATATTTATAATGGAAGAGCCTAGCATCTGCCCAAGATCTGCATTTTAATCTTGTCATTTCACTAACCCAATCACAGACCACTGTGTTGTTTGTCAGGTGGCTCTGAACCAAAGCTGAAAGCCTGTCTTAATGAAAGTGTGATGGGGCGCTTTTTAAAAATTAAATATATGCAACCAATCTAATCACCTAAATTTATGTGGCTTGCTATTAAATTTGGCAAGGAATTTGGCTGGGTAGAAGAGATAAATTCTGTGGTAGAGGAGTCTTCTCTCTCCCTCTTTTTACTGTAAGATATGACAGCATTAATTAAACAGGAGAGTTTAATGGTTGGATTTTTACCTTCTGCAAAAATATTTTGTGAATCATAAATTTCTCCTGCATTGTTTGGTGCTGCTGGCCTGGAAGAGAGATTTGGCAGCTTGTTCTAGGACAGACGATATCAAGTGATTAGCAAGCTGACTTCAGCTGCTGGCAGCCGGGTACTAAAAGAACATGCTAATGCCCTCCATTTTGACAGGCCGGCTGGACTTTTTTTTTTTTTTTCCTTTCTGAGGAGCTAGCGCTATTTATGATTCCATTTTTATCTTTTAAATGCCATGACAGATGGCAGATTCTTCAGCCAACTCTATTGCCAGGAAATGCAGAAAGCCTGAAAGCACCATGGTAATGGTGAAATCAGACCAGGCAAATACCCCAGACAAATCTGAAGTCATTCCCCCAAATTTTATGAAAAGCGTGGTCATCTTAGCTGTGGCTGCTTTAAAAAATTTTTTTTTGCAGGGGTGGGTATGGCAGGAGAAAATAAGCAAAATGCACCCACAGAGGGCACTGCTACCTTTATTTAGCCAGATTTTTACCATAAGATGGTTACCCACATAGCAATGGCACCACTGTTTTAAATCTTGAGAATATATTTGCAGAATTGGTGTGTGTGTGGTGTGTGTGTGTGTGTGTGTGTGTGTGCATGCGTGTGTGTGTGTGTGTTTGAGCATCTTTGGAATATCATCTGGTCCACTTTTGCAGACCTGAGCTGCACTGACCTTGTCTCATTTGCTTTGCTAGCTTCATTTTGCTTGGGAACCCAACCATAACCATTCACTCTGTCCCTTTCTGGTAATGCTGCTCTGCCGGTGAGTTGCAGTGCATTGTTACTCACAAAAGTGGAATGATGTATTTGATCCAGTCATGTTTAGAGATTGTATCCCCTTCCACCCCTGGCTTATTAGCTTTAGGTCAGTGCAGACAGCTGCCTCTGTGTCCCAGCTGGGAACACTGGCCTCAGTAAACATATTTCTTTCACTTCCATGGTCCCTGGCCTGCATGCCCTCGTTCCCATCTGTCTGATGGCAGGCTGCCTATTTCCACTGTGGTCAGATCCCCAGCATCGGGCAGGAGGAGTCTGAGCTAGACAGCCGGATCACGAGACAACGTCAGTGCCCACATGGAGGTCACACACATGTCGAGCAAATGCAGCAGTCCTGACACCACGCTTGGAGGACCTTAGCCTCAAAGGACATCTTCATCATTGTGTCTCTATGGAGGAAAATCAGAGTTAGACATTAAAAATGGCTGCATCAGATGGAGCCTGGTGTTCATTGATCCTCATCTCTCTCCTTGTTTGCCCTTTCTTCTCTTTCCTTCTATGCTGATACCTGACAGGTTTTTAATGGGGCACAGAGCTTTAAAAGTCCCCAATTATTGCTAATACTAAACATCTATGTCCTTTGGCCTACACTGATGCTACATTTTCAATGGCTGATTCAAAACGCTACCGAAGCACATTGGATATTAGGATGAGGCAGGAGATAGAGAGAGAGCCATTTCACTTGTGAAATAGGGTTAAATGGGCAATGAGAAATCTACTTCAGGCGTGATGTAGGTAAAAGAGAGCTTGGAAGTCATATCTCTAAGTTCTTATTTCACCTTGAGTCTAGGGGGAGGGCAGAATATGGAAAAGTAACAGAGAAAGAATAGAATAAAAGCACATTTTCATGAAAGATTTTGCCTGAGAAATACAGCATGATTTTATATCCAGAGTATATATGACTTTCGGGTAGACTCTGCCCAGGTGACTAAAGTAAAATTTGAAATAACATAAAATATCCTCTAGGTATGCTTCTTTTGTGTGTTTTTGTTTAATGCAAAAATAAGTCTTATAACACTTCTTGAGCAACAAAATTGCCTTAGTTGCTTAGAATATACTAATCAAAGATTTAGCTTTACAAAAGGAAAACTGATTTGTTTTAAGAGAAGTGATTTTACCCCATCTGAAAGGAACTTGAGAACCTGAAGAAAATGCTGCTGTTGAATAATAAAGTAACTTACATTCTTTACAAACATAGATATGTGAAATGTCACATTTCACTTTGTATGTGTATCTCATTTAGTCATTTCAGCTTTGAGGGGCATTGGTTCCTTGTTCTGGGTATTACATCACTATCTTGTAGATAGTCTCAGTGACCCTAATTAGAAAACTCAAATCCTTTAGCCTTGCCTTTAAAGCAAAATATATACTCAACAACCCACCTGTCTTCCTATACTTTTTGTGGAATTAGTCTTCTTCCTGGATTCTTTGTCTGGGTCCAGTGTGTTCCCCTTACCTAGTTTCAGGTTTCTTTATGGTTAGATGAAAAGTTCTAACCCCTAAACCTTAAATGACCAGACACAGTCTAGGAGCTGGAGTTTGATGTAAGTGGTAGAGTGCTTAATTCGTAAGTGCAAGGCCCTTGGTTAAATCCCCAATACCATAAAAAATAAAATTAAAATATAAAAACAAAGAAATTATTAGGACTGGAGGTTGACTTGAGCCATACAGTGCCTGGCCCTGAGTTCAAGCCCAGTACTCCTACAAACAAAATAATTTGTTAGTTGAATTTGTTAGACTGCTAAAATAAATATAAGCTTCATCTCTAGTCTAGGAAAAAAAATCTTCAAAGAGAATTTTTCATGCAAGATACCTTACCAGCAAAGTTAGTACTGTTTTTGGAGATGATAACTGTAATCCTCATGGATATTTCTAGCAACTATGTACATGTACAGAAGGAAATGAAGAAGACCTGACTGTGGTTAATCCCCAAATCCCCATTTGGTCTATGGTAGATCATCAATCTCATGTAATAGTAGTGGTTTCTTAACTTTTTGCAGTTTTGATATTGCTTCTTAATTGAATAATTTCATGATTTTCTTAATTTTTTTTAAAAATAAAATGAACATGTTGAAATGTTATAAAGTTCACTTCAATTAGTGTTACCAGGAAAATGATTGCAATGGGTAAACTGGGACTTAGTGATCAATACCATCAAAAGCATGTTGTGGTATCATACACCCAATACAGTAAGAGATGCCTTATGCTTTAGTAGGTATTATTTTACCTATGTCTTCCTCGTGTTCGTGGTGTTCAAGTGTACAACTCTTTTTCAGCAGGTTACTAAACCAGCGCTTATTTACAACTCTTTTAGAGTAGAAGGAATAGGGTCAAAAGGCCCAAGTTCTAGTCCTGACTTAGCATTGTACCTGCCTTATCTTCTCCCATCAAGTTTCTGAATCTTTCTTTCTTTCTTTTTTTTTTTTTAGACAGGGAAGGACTCCTTGTTTAGCACAACTCTAACACCTTAAAAGGAGCAAAGTAAAAGAACATGTAAATGGCTAGAGGTCAGAGTCTTGCAAAGTATTGTAGAGTTGGAACTCAGTGATCACCTGTTCCAGCTCCTTCGTTGGCGTAGAAACAAGGCCCAGAAAGGAGATGTAGCTAAAACGATATCGCTGAGTAATGTGATCTGCCCTTAAGAGATTTGCCAGGGAAACATGTGAATAGACAAATTAATCAAATTCAGCCTTTTTTTGGTACTTCCTCTGTTGGCTCTCTATCAGTCTTCAAAGTTCAGCTTATTATATTCCCATGGAAAAATACAATTGCAAATTTCTTAATATATAAAAATGAGCATATGCTTCTAACTCATACACTAAGTCTAATTGGATGTAAAATTCCTATTTGGGATAAGGAACCACATTGAACAGACAAACCCACTTGCTCCATCAATTCTGAGAAAGGACCTCTTGGACAAAGAGTGTTCCCTTTGTGTGTTACCAGTGGGAGGTTTACTGACAAAGAGACATTCTTCTCAAAGATCTGCCCTTGATTTTTCATTTGAGTCACACCACCACATATCCTTTAGTAAAGGTGTGTATTGTTATCATTTCATTCCAGTAGCTGGTGACACCAGAATCCATGCTGAAGGCTGCCTTGCCTCTCTTTGCCAGATTCATCATCAGTAATGGACTGCAGACAAAGCATGGGGTGTTTGAAATCATACTGGAGACTGTGGACAAAGCCTTGCCTGTGGTGACCAGGAACAAAGGGCTGAGGTTGGCTGAAGGGGCCATGAGTCTGCTCTCCCCTGACCAACTCCAAGTGACTGACCCAGATACCTCTGCAGAAAACCTCACCTTCATCCTGGATCAGCTCCCACAGCATGGCAAGCTCTACCTAAGGGGGTCAGTGCTGATCCAACTCAATTTTACTCAGCAGGATGTGGACAGCAGGAAGGTGGCCTATCAGCACTCAGGAGGTCACTCTCACACAGACTGCTTTACTTTTGTGGTCACAGATAGGACAAACCGTGGCTTTGTTGTGGATGGGAGAGTGCAGGAAGAGCCTGTTTCATTCACCATTCAGGCAAGTATGGGCTTGGGTATCTGTAGCATGGAGGGCACATCAATATGGCTGAAATGTCATGGTACCTGTTCATGGGGTACAGACTGATATTAAGAGTTGGTGGTGGCACATTTTGCATGGGCAGTAGAGTTAAACAGGCCTAGTGTGAATTTCTTTTTGTCATTTGCTAGCTGTGAAACCTCGAGTTATTTAGCATTTTCTAAGTCTACTGTTCTTTCTTTGACAAAGCATGTCTATAACCAGCTTAGGTTGCCGGGTAGTAGCATTTCCTGAAATATATTTGATATCCAATTTCAAGACGATAATAGCTACCTTCTTAGAGTGATGTTTGTTGGTTTGTATTTCCTTTTGGCATTTCATAATTTTCAGCTGAACATGTGAAAGCTTACAGGGCAACATCAGTATGTCCAATATACTAATGATGCAGATAGAAGCAGCAACTTCCATTTTGTGTTGTTGTTAACTAAAGGACGGACCTACTTTCCTTAAACTTCATTGGATTCTCCTGAGAATCTCATGAGATTAGTTTTTATCATCTACATTTTGAAAATGAAGCAACTGAAATTCAGAAGCTACATGATTTGATCACATCCATACAAAGGCCTCGAATCTTTCTGGTTGCAAGTTCTGTATTCCTCCCATGGCATTCCACTGCACATTTGTTGTCTCTTTCGATGATTCTTAGAGGACATAATGTGTTTTTCTTCTTTTAGTCAAAACACATCAAGCATGTTCTGGCTCTCAACATTTTAAATCTACAAATCTCCTCCCCTTGGATGGAGTTCACCCCAGTCTACACACTTCCAACAGCTAAAACATTGGAATTTTGTCTATACTTCAGGATACTCTCCAACTAGTAAAATAATTCTATTTTCACCTTGCTCTTTAGTGTCTGCATTAGGGCTCTGTAGAGAAACAGAAAATAAGTGTGTGTGTGTGTGTGTGTGTGTGTGTGTGTGTATGTGTGAGAGATGTATATAGTATGAATATGTTTGTCTAGATTAGATAAACAAAGAATGGGGGGAAGGGAAAGAGAAGGAGAGGGTTTGGGGGGAGAGAGAGAAAAATGAAGACTTATTTTAAGGAACTGGCACATGCAAATGTAGTGTCTGGCACGTCCATGATGTACAGAGCAAGCCAATAGGCTAAAATCTCCATGGTGTTGATATTACCATTGTGAATCCAAAGGTAGTATGAAGGCAAAGTCCGTTCTTCATTGGAGGCCCATGATCTTTTCTCTTAAGGAACATGGTGGATGGAATGAGTCATGGTGAGAGCTCCTCACTCACTTTAGAGAGAGAAATCCACTTTACTCAAAGTCTATTGATTGAAACAAGAATCACAGCTGGAAATATAACTTCACTAAAGTATCTAGCCTAATGTTTGACCAGCATAGTATTATGACATCATAACCTAGCAATATTGGCTCACAAAATTAGCCTCCAGAGTGTCTATCTAGGGTTGGAAGTCATGATAACAGACTGAGAGTTAGACAAATCTTTGGTACTTGTCCAGAAAATATGGTGAAATGATGATACATTGGCTAAGAAGAGAAACATTACATCATCGATACAAGTGTCACTGATAGGTTATGTTTGACTCAGATTTGTAGAGTTATACATTCTGAGTGAAGACATAGAGCTTCATCCAGCATTCTAGGACAGAAATAGAAGTTGCGATGGCCTTTGTAGAAAGTTCCATAATGTGCAGGAATCCTAACATCATTATGTGTAAAAACCTCACAAGGAAAGCTTAGATGATATCCTGAAATTTCCCTGTACCCCTAGTGTCTCTGTTCAGAGAGATGAAGAGGCCCAGGGAATGGCTGGCCCTGCCAGCAGTATAGTAAAGATAGCATCTTCTGTTTCTTGCTTTTACGAGCTTTTCCTGACAAGACAATCTTAACATTTACTGCTACTGAGTGATGCATTGCTCTGAACAAGTGTACCAAGGATGGAGGAACTGCTTTAATGGTGGGCTGTGGGTCTCCAAGGGCAAAGCTGCTAGAAGTAACGTGAGCAAAACACAGAGATACTGGACTGACTCCAGTGGGTCATAGCCTGACGTTCTTTTGGTAGCAATCTGTAGGGCCTCTGTAAAGGCAACAGAGCTTAAGTGAGGCAGAAAGGACCCTCCCATTGCTTCTATGGGCCTGGCATGTGTGGGAAGCATTTTAGTAAATCTAATAGGAGTAGTCAAAAGATATAGCCCTCCTTAAAAAAAGTTGCACCCCAGTGTTTTAAGATACTTTTGGTATACTGAGAAATGGCTTAGTGCTGAGAGTGTGGATGAACTAATAGAGCTTGCCTAGGCTGTGAGATTTTTTAAGGAAAAAGCTAAAGGGTTAATAAGAGTAGGATATTTTTGACCATGACTATGACCAGAAGCACAGTAGAGGACCAAGCAACTCGAGTTTAGATACTTTTTTTTTAACCAATGACCCCAGCAAGCATTTATTGATTTTATTTATTACCCTCCCTCTTTTATGTCCTCCATCCTTTCCCCATTGCCTTCCCTTCCTCCTACTCCTCCTTCCTTGCTATCTCTCCCTCCTTCTTCCCCAACCCCCTCTTGTTACTGAATTTAACTGAAGGGTCATAAATTGCTTGAGGAACACTCTGCCACTTGAGCCACACCATTGATCCTTTTACTTTTTTTATTTTTTAAACAAAGTCTCCCTCTTTTGCACAGACCAGCATGAGCCTCAGATGGCAATCTTTGTACTCTTACTAAATACGCCTAAGTAGTTAGGATTGCAGATGTAGTAAGGTTGAGAACTAAGAGTTTAGGAGTGACAGAAAGAGAGGGAACTTTCTTGGATCTGTCTTCTGGTACCAGTGATGAATTTGTGCGAATCCATGCAAACCTGCTTTATCTAGAATGACCTATAACAACCATTTGCAAGGTAGGTTGCGTTCCATAGCAATAACTACATGATTACATAAAGATGAAGTCATGTAGGGTCTGAACCTGTCCTCTGTCTTCGCTCTTGGTCAGCTGCCTGTTCTCTGTCCTCACAAGTCTAATCCACATATGGAGTCAGCTGGTCCTCCTCTTCAAGGAAAGAGTATGCAAATCCTGACTGTAATCATATGGGCATTGTTCTGAGGTATTTCCATTTCTTTTTCTGTGCCAGTCTTGGGGCTTGACCTCCAAGGGCCTGGTCACTGTTTCTGAGCTTTTTTGGCTCAAGGCTAGTGCTCTATCATTTGAACCATAGCTCCACTTTTGGTGGTTAATTAAAGAATCTCACAGAATTTCCTGTCTGGGCTGGCTTCGAATGGTGATACTTAGATCTCAGCTCCCTAAGTAGTTAGAATTACAGGTGTGAGCCACCAATGCCTGGAGATATTTCTATACTTAGGGAACACTTCTGTCAGGTGAACAAAGGCCCATGAAAATTTTCTGTTTTTGGAAAGACTTAGAATTCTGTTTCTTAAATCATCGAACACTATAGAATTCTTGGATCAGTATTAGTGAATTTGTTCAACAAATATTCCTGGGAGCTTGCTGTGGTCCAGGCCTTGTATACCACAGCACATGCTCTCAATGAAGCTTACATCTTAAGAGAGAAATGGGGGTCAGGTAGATTCATAGAATTGGGAACAAGGTTAACTAAGGAAATTTGACCTGTTTCAGATAATGTGACATTTGCTGTAAACAAATAAGCATTAACAGAAACAAACAAATAGGGTATTTAAGGAATCTGATGCTTAGGAAAGTTCATCATTATTGAATCATGAAAGCCCACATGAGCTCCATATTGCATGGATGAGAAGCCTTTGGATAACCTTGTATGTGATTATTGACAATTCAGGTAGACCAGTTGGACAAAACAGCCCCCCGGATCACACACTTACATTTCCCTTCTCAAGTGAGCCTCCTAAAAAATGGCTGTTATGGGATTTACATCACTTCCCATGTGCTGAAGGCATCAGACCCTGACACCGAGGATGATGAGATTATCTTTAAGATTTTACGAGGCCCACTATATGGACATCTGGAGAACACAACAACAGGTACTGGCTTTCTTGATCCTTATAATTGTTCATTGTAAACCACCCAGTGGCTAACAGGGCTAGAGATGAATTTAATTATGTGCAGACCCATTGATGAGTGCTCCCTAGGGCTCCTGATGGATGCAGTTTATAAATCAATAGCAGTGCTAAGAAAGGTTGGTAGCCCAGCCTTTCTAAATTCATCTAGACTGGGAGAAAGAACCAAATACTGGTAAACAGCTGTTGATGGTTTACAATTTTTCAATAGCTAGATGGTATTCAGAATATACATTGCCAGAGCCAGGTTCATATTTGTGACTTTTCTTCCACTATAAATTCTAAGTGATGTTGGTTATTTGAAAAAAAATAGTTTTTTTTCCTAATGCTTCCTCTGGAGTTTGTATTATTTCTGCTTTATGAAGACATATATGATAATCTTTACAATAAAATAAAATTTAAAAAAGAAATAATATGATAATGCTATGATAATATATCACTATACAAGATGATACGGAATTATAGAGAATAATTGTTATAACTTTCTACTCCCTTTTTCATATATATATAGATAAAACTCATACATATATGAATTTTATACATATATATGTATACATGTATAACTCATATACATATATATGTATACATATATATGTATAACTCATATATATGAGTTATATATATATACATGAACTAATTATATATATATATAATTTTTTTAGGCAGTACTAGGAATTGAACTCAGGGTCTTTACATTTGCAAGGGGGTGCTCTCCAGTTGATCAGTTAATTTCAAGGTAGGATCTTGCTTTATGCTGGGTTGGCCTGAGCTGAGACTCTTCTACCTGTCCCTGTGTTGGCCAGGCATACTTCACTGTGCCTGGCCATTGCACTTCCTCTGTAGCTGCCACTGTGCCTAAAAATTGGCTGATGTGGAATCTTGAGAACTTTTATACCAGGCTGGTCTTCAGTCTTGATCTTCAAATCTCCACCTCCCAAAGTAGCTAGGATTACAACCTTGAGCCTTCAGTCCCAATTTTTTATTTATGCATTTTTTAAGTCAAGCACTTCTGAACCCAAGTAAATTTAAGGCTTACATTAAATTCATTCCTTAGAATTTCATTTCCTTACCCCCTTTTTAAAATGTATGTTAGCCCAAAACATAGTTAAGTACTTGGTCGTTATGCATTTCCTCTCATTGTCCTGTATAAATAGGAACATGAATCTGGATTTTTTGCCACTCTGCTGAAATATTACCAAACCTAGAACCATGTCTGATTATATTGTACTTACTTTGCAACTCATTAAAAAATGTATAATGTTCTTTAGCTATCCTTTAAAACCATGTCCCAAATTGATAAGCAATTTTACCATCTCTTCTGTAAATGTTTAGCTTGATTACTCATAAAAGCTATGTGTTTCTTTATTTCTGTAGGTGAATTTATCCATGAGAAATTTAGCCAAAAGGATTTGAACAGTAAGACTATTCTTTATATGATAAACCCATCTTTGGAAGTAAATTCAGATTTCATGGAACTTCAAGTCACCGACCCCACAGGGAACTCTGCAACCCCTCAAATGTAAATTCTTTTGATGATTCAAAAGCTCTGCATTTCATGTTCAAAATTCATCTGACTAGGAAAGTTCAGTGATCTTTTTCAAGTAAAACTATCAAGATAAGTTGATAGATCATATCATAATCTCATAGAATTTGTTTTGGAGAAAGACTTTTAGGTTTTAATTGCTCAATAATAGGAAAGCCAGAAGCTTTTTGTTGTTGTTGTTGCTGCTGCTGTTATTTTTTATTTGAAAATGCTAAAAACAGAAGGGTTACATTTCCATAAGTCAGCAGAGTACAAAGAGCTATTAACTTTATATGGAAACATTCAAAGGTTAAGCAAATAGTGTCACACTTTGCACATATGTGCAGAATTTCACAGTCAGGCACAGGACACTAGCAGGAGGCTGAAGCTTGAGGTTTATGTGTAAATCGTGCAGCCAGAGGTCACTCTAAGACCACATTAGTAATCAGACTCCTCTGCAATAGAGCATGGAGAATGAAATAGTCAGCCTAAAACTGCCTTCAGTATAACCTTATCCCAGGCAAGATGAAGATAGCATAAAGTGGAAAACAGATGAGATGGTATTAAGCAATATTTAGAAGCATAATAAAGGTTATGAATCTCAGAATCTCAGAATAACAAATAGTCAAAATCCACAAACAGACCATAGTCATTTCATGAACTGAGTCCCTACTCCAGCCTTGTCTTCAGTGTCAGTGATAAATAATTTTACTTGCTGACAGACGGGCCTACAAAAGTCTATCAGTTCACTTTTCCTTATGCTGTTTTCCCCCAGCTTTTAAAATTTTCATTCCTTTCCCAGACAACTCAAGGAGGAGTTCCTCACTTCTAACTTTTGTAGTCATCATTTCCTAGACACACTAAACAGCATAAATGCGTGTAGCCTTCATTGTTACTATGTTCCTTTATGAACAAATATGAACAAAAGCAAAGCTTGAGCAAGTGTTTTCAGTGCTGTCATTTTGAAGTGTAGCTCAAACATATAGCCAGTAGAGGTCTCTGTAATCACGGTTAGGAAAAATGCACACTCCTATCTGATTTGGGGAAGAGAAGGGAAATCACAGAAACTGTGGGACAAAGGGTGAACCAATTCAGCAGTGATACTCACTAGACATTATGTTGGAAATAAACTTTACAACTTAGGAGGGAAGGCAGCTGAGAGGGGGAAAAAGCGAGAGAAAATGAGGGAGGGGGAAACAAAGTTCGACAAGAAATGTACTCATTTCCTAACTAATCCCTCTGTACATCACCTTTACAATAAAGTTTAAATTAAACAAAAAAAACAACAAAACCCAGAAACCTAACAAAAAGCAAATATTAACTCCACAAACTTTTGTTTCATGGGTGCTATATGTTAGAGACATAGTGCTAGGAATTTTGAAATAGGTGTAAAAAGAACTGTCCTCTGAAAAATATAAAAATATAATTCTAAGATTATAAAACTAAACTCATTTAACTTAAAAGTTTTCCTAAGAGAGATTCTTAGGATCCCAATCTTTAAAGAAAGTATGTCAAATGCTTGAAATTATAGACAGACCTTTCCATTTTCAAGAGAATATTTTTTTTAAATCGGCTTCCAATATAATACAGTGACTTCACGTGGTTTTATGGTGGTTTTTTGCTTTGTTTTCTGTTGTTTTGTTTTTTAAAATATTTTATCTAAAAGACATATAGTATTGAACAGACTTGCCAGTGAGCTAGTGCTGACTTCTAGTAGCCACACATAAACAGAGCAGAAATGACAGAACTCCTACTCAGACCCCAACCATGATACTAGATGTGTGCTACTTCCCCCATATGCCCTTGTCATTCTCTGTCATTACCAAAGTCATGGCTTTTAAAGAATGATGTCTTTAACACTCAAAAGCATGCAAGACTAAGCAAGATATGCTTACTGTAACTATAACTTGGAGGCTATTTTTTAAAGGCTCCTGTCTGTGTTGGGTATGTTTTCATGTATCTACGGTTCTCATTCACTTGGAAATGATTGGAACCCATTGAATAAAAATGCTGAGGCATATGATTTCTCAGGAGCAATGCAAAAGTAACTGATTAGAGTCTCCTGTATAGTAGGTTGTTTAGAGAGAGCAGTAGAAGTTATTCATCACCTACCTTTATCATATCTGGGTAGGGTTGTTATCCCCAGCCTCATTTGTAAGTTGATGTTTCCTGAAATTAATTGCACATTTTTTTCTGATAAGAAAGATGTTCTAAATAGTGTTTTATCTTCTCAAAACAACCAGCATGAGATACTCACACATACAATATAAATGATCAGTTCTTAGGTCTGGGAAGGTGGCTCAGTGGTAGACTGCTTTCCTTGCATGCATGAGGCCATGGGTTTAATTCCTCAACACCACATAAGCAGAAAAAGCCGGAAGTGGCACTGTGGCTCAAGTGGTACGGTGCTAGCCTTGAACTGAAGAGCTGAGAGAAAGCGCCCAGGCCCAGATGTACAGGTCCCATGACCAGCAAAAAATAAAAATAAAAAAATGAAATTATCAACACTTAAAATTTATTAAACTTTGCTCTATATTTCATGCTATTCATTTAATCGTTACGTGAGTTAGGTAATCCAGAACTTACAGATGAAGAAACTGAAGCACCCAGCTGGGATGGGACTTTTCCAGCTAATTAGTGAGGGCGCCCAGATGCATCTCAGAAGGTGTAGCTTTAGAGCACATGGCTGCCCTGTTGCACTAAGCTAGTTCTTGCATCTTTCCCTGTAGATACTGGCTGCCCAAGCACTAAGAAAGGAGCAGTACTTACCTGTGAAGGACCTAAATGTTTTCTTTGGTATTTTTTGAAACTCTTAATCACAAGTATCAGACCAAAACAACAAAAAGCTGGCACTGGTGGTTCATGCCTGTAATCCTAACTACACAGGAGGCTTGGCTACCCAGGAGATGAGATCTGAGGATTGTGGTTTGAAGCCAGCAAGGGCAAGAAAGTCCTTGAGACTCCTATCTACAATTACCTACCAAAAACTGCAAGTGGAGCTGTGCTCAAGTGATAGAGCACTTAGCCTGGAGAACAAAATTCAGGGACAGTGCCTAGGCCCTGAGTTTCTGTCCCAAGACTCACACACACACACACACACACACACACACACACACACACACACACACACACACACACACACACACACACGGACAGTGCCTAGGCCCTGAGTTTCTGTCCCAGGGCTCACACACACACACACACGGACAGTGCCTAGGCCCTGAGTTTCTGTCCCAGGACTCACACACACACACACACACACACACACACACACACACACACACACACACACACACACACACACACACACACACACAAACAGAGTGACCAATATTATAGCCCCCATATAGTGTGGTAAGTAATGAGCTTTTGAACTTGGAGTTGAAAGACTGGTTCAAGCCTTAGCTTTGCCATTCATTTAAGTGATGGTTCAAGACTTAAGTTACCTCATCTGTAAAACGGGGGCAATTGGAAAAACAAATGAGAGAAAACATATGAATGCATCATATGTATTTCAAGTCTGACAAGGAAGACTTTTGCCTGGTGGTTGCTATTGTTAAACACTATGATTATTCATGTTCGTGCAATGGACTATTTAAAGACACATTCAGGAAACATTTGAGGGATTCAAAAGCTCATCAGTTCTGTGATGATTCACAAAGTGAACAATCAATATAATTGTTAATTTTAAAAAGCTAACTGCTGTGTAGTGCTATTGCAGCATTTCTACGCAGGATCTGTCCTGAAGGATCAATAGATACTCCATTTGACAAAATATTGGTGAATATTGGTTGAAGTGAAACTCGAGTCATTTCCCACTGGATAGTTGGTGTCACTTGGCTGTAACATGTCCCAAAATTGTTGAGATATTTACACTCACTGAATATCTGAGAGGAGATCATTACCCTGCGTATCTCACTCCAACTGAACTAAAGAGCCGCCTTTCCTCTTCTCTCCCTAAGCAGCATAGTTTAAAAAATATATTTGGAAGACATTTTTGGTCAGTCCTGGGGTTTGAACTAAGGGCCTGGATGTCATTCCTGAGTGCTAGGCTAGCACTCTACCACTGGAGCCACAGTTCCACTTCCAGCTTTTTGCTGGTTAATTCGAGTTTGCTAATTAATAGAAGTTCTGTGGACTTTCCTCCCTGGGCTGGCTTCGAATCACAAACCTCAGATCTCAGCCTCCTGAGTAGCTAGGATTAGAGGCATGAACCAGCAGTGCATGTTTTATAATACTAAAACCTCTGCAGACCACAGAATGTAGCCAACTTTGACCAGTCAGTTTTCCCAATACATCTTCTATGTGGTCTTCTTTCTTGTACGCACTGGAGAAAAAGACAACATAAAAGAAAAGTTGATCTCTGCAGATGGTTTTGATAACTCTTCAAGCACTCTTTTTCTTGTCTTCCTTTTGGTGATCTCAGCTGAGACATTCTATTAATCATGCTTGACCCTGAAAAGAGAAGAGACAGAAGAAATGTAAAAGAAAGAGGTGGGGGGATTTTTTCTACTGGGGAGCTTTGTGAGGTTTTCACAGCTTTTATGAAACACGTTGTAGGGGAAGAGGTTGAAAGCTTTGGCTCCCGAAGGCTTGCATGCTACCTGCAAGCCAGCAGCCAGTATGTTTACTTAGTCTAGATCTGAGGAAAGCACAGAGGAAGAGAAAGAAAATGACACTTATTAAGTACCCACTGTGTACAGGTGCTTTATCTACATTACCTAATTTTAATTTTCATCATTTGACATGAGTGTAATTCTCTTCACTTTAAGATAATGAAAACTGAGGCACAGAGAGACTACAGCACTGACCGTATTTTGCTCACTAATCGGGGGCTGCAAGGTGTGTTTGACTCCAAAGCTCTATTTTTTTTTTTGTCCTTGCTAAGCTGCCTCTTAGCTCACCACTGTTTTCCCATTATCAGAAGAAAAATGAAAAACGGAGAACAGGTGTTCAAAGACCTAGCTCATGGCGCTTAATTGCACATCTTTGAATTGACAAATCCGAGACTGAACACTTGGAACAATATTTTTTAGCATTTCAGTTTTCTGAAGGCAGATACTGCTTGATTATAAACAAATATTTCAGTATAAAAATAATAATTGCATCACCTTTTCAACTTCTATAAAACCTTTTACTGGGAAGCCCCAAATCATTAAGGCGCAGGTTCATTGAACCCCTTTGAAGTCTGGACTCATTATCATTACACTTGGAGAAATGAGGAAACTGCAGCTAAGCACCTTTTTCAGACTCTTATTAACCTAGATTAATGTCCTGAATCCCAAATTGGCCTTTTAACCCCAAGTGTTCCTTTTAGCTCATTGTTCCTTCATATAAATGAACCAAGTAGTAACAAAATAACTAAAAGAAATAGAGAGCAGAGGGTTTTTGTTTTTCGTTTTTTACAAATTTTATTTTAACTCTAGCACAGAGGCTGGCAACCATAGCACTCCAAGCACTTTGGGAAAAACGTCAAGGGGCAGCGTCTTCTGCATAGCAGGGTGTTGGGGATGGTGGGCAGCTCCCGGGCCTCCATACACTGAATGTGGGTGCAACCCTCCAGCCCGTGACAATTGTCAAGCTGTCCCCAGAGAGTGCCAAATGTTGAGAACTACACACATGCCTGAGAAAATAGCACACTGTTGTGTTAAGAAAAAAGGATGATTTACAATTGAATGCTCTTTGATCAATGTTATCTTTCTCTCTTATGAAGTAAAATAGTGGAGAATCCAGAGTAAGTCAGGTTAAAAAGAACAAACAAGGATCATCCAACATCTTGTCAATGTGGATGAAAAATTACATTAATGGTGGGGGGCATTTTGGTGATCAATTTAGCTTAGGTAACATTGGACCAAATAAGAGCCATTTATTCAATGGACAAACATTTGTTGAACACTTAATATATCCTACAGACTCTCCAAAGGAGAATGCATTAGTGAACCAAGACAGTATTTCCCTGGAGCAGGCAATGTTTCTGAGTAAACTAAATACTGTGCTATACATGATAAATGCTTTGAGAAATGAATGTGTTGGTCAGGGTATGGTGAACTTGAAGGCACTGTGCTTTTGTAAAGCACTTGCATGGTTGAGTTGGGTTTCTAAACAGCTTCTCTTTTGCCTAAATGCTTAGAATTAGTAGATGGCAGAGGGAATAGAAGCCTCGTGGTCTCTTATTCAGTTTTAATGTTTTCCATTCCTCAAAGTGGTTACTGGGAACCAAAATTAAGCCTTCACTCAGAATCAGCTTTTCTATTGTTACAAGTCCCACAAAATAATTTATGGAGGCAATTGTCTACTGGAAGTGACTTTACTCCTAGTGGACATTTGGCAAAGTCAAGAGACAATTTTGATGGTTGCAACTAGAGGAAAATATGCTACTACATCTGATTTGTGGTGTTCAGAGCGGCTGCAAAACATCTTTGTGACCTCCCATTCTAATTATCTGGTCCAAAATGTCAGCAGTGCTGAGCTGGAGAAACCCTGACCTAATGGTTTTGGAAATTTCCATCTTTGGCTAAATGATCTGAAATGATTACCATATGAATTTCACATATAGTGTGTTGGTTTCCTTTATTTTTGACAGTGTCATTACTCAATACTAATACAAAATATTATATAGCATTCCTCAATGGTAATAGGAAAAAAATGGAGGGATTGTCAAAACATGAAGACATGAACTAATTCTTATCCCATTACACCCATTACACTTACACATCCAGAACTTTCCAGATTCTTCTCTGGCATCTAGATACTTACCTGATTGTAAATATAATTTTGTAGGGAGAATTCCAAAGTGTCTGACCACAGCTTTTCTTCTACAAGTCTATATAGTTTAAGCAATCACAGCCCAGAAATATCTTCTCACACACACACACACACACACACACATTCAAAACATATGTTGCACCCATTCTGTCATTATAGAAGGGCTTTTCTATTTAAATATTTCTCTGTAAATCATATATTCTGGCTTAAATTTCATGGCTTTTCAATAGATCTTTATTATGTGTAGTGAGTAGTTTTAAGAAAATCAAATGGGATGTTGTGTAAAGCAACCTTCAGCTATAAGCATTCTGCAGCATTCTGACACTGCAGGGGGAGATGTATGCACAATCCCAAATACTGAGACTCTGTGTGTGGCAGCTGAATAGCCCTCTGCCCTGAATCAGTTCCCTTCTGGATCTAGATCAGCAATCTGATTGTATTTCATTTTAGGCCTTGAGGCCATTTGGATCTGTCGAGAGGTGTTGATGGGTCTATGTTTGTTATGGTTAGCATCAGCAATAGGAGGATTCACAGGTGATTTAGACATTGAAACTCATTTGATCCTTATAAGCGTTAACTGAAACCCATCCTGATTCATCTTTTGTCCTCTTTTCTGCTGCCACCTCTTCCTTCGCACCTGTCTTCTCCCCTAATCCCTCTTGCTGATGTTTGCTTCTTTTCTGTTTACTGGGATGCTTTGGAGACCCTCCACAACATGCTGTTTCTATTGGCAAGTATGATATACTTGCTGCATATTACCTCATAATTCCTTAAGCATAGTTGTTTATTTCTATGTTTCTTGATCTGTTTTGTGATGAATTTAAATATCCATGAAGCTCCTGATGTTTATAATACAAGGATTCTCTTTTCATGTCAAAAGTTATTATAAAGTCCAGCATGCAGTAACAGTGTTTTATGTCTATTGATTGAATAAACATGTATTATGTTTAAATACTCATAGACAGACATGTTATATCTTGTCATGAATCAATGTAGTAATTCCATGCTCTGATGTTATCCTTGACCCTTACCCAGTGTGCCATAATCCTTAGGTATAAACCAGGGTGACTGGGTTTATCTTACTATTAAATTTAATGTATAGGGTGGAATTGGGACACACGATCCATGTAAAGACCCAAAGTAGTTATTTGAGAATAAACTTGCTCTTTAATTTGAATAGCTCTTCAGAGAGCCTGGAAAATGTGGGAACTCATATTCCATACTGGAGGCTCTCACATTTTCTAGTTCTGAAGAACAACTGGTAAAAAGTAAATTTTAAAACTGAGAGGAAACTCTGAATGTGGCTGGAGGTTTGGGATGTAAAAGAAGGCAATAACTACTAAAGTTTTGTTGCTCTGGAATAAAAAGGGAAAAGAATAAAATGAAAACAATGGGAATGTGTCTGACTCTCCCTGGGAAGGCTTGCCTGTATTTTTAATATTGTTATATTTTTGTAAGCTTAAGCAGGGTTAAAAAAAAGTTATAGGGGAACTTGGTAGTGAAACATTTCATTCCACCTCACTAAGTTTCAGGATGAAGGTAGAATTGTATTTCTCTGCTTGGGCTCAAGCACAAACCAGGAGGAATTTTAGTTGGGAAGAAGAGTGAGAGAGGAGGACAAGAAAATTTTATATCGAATTTATGCTTGAATATCATCTCTGCTATATACTAGTACCTTTTGACTTGGAACTTGTTATTTAACACTTCTGAGGCTTGGTTTTCTCTTCTTTTTGAAAAAGTGAGAAAAGAAAATTTCCTTCCAACGTTAGACTCACTGAAAATATTGTAGAAATATTTATAAGGCTTTCCAATTGACTACAGCCCCCTCCCATATCCTAAAGGTTTTACAGATCCAGCCAAGAGCAAACCAAAACTATTGATAAAATTTTTTGTCTGTACTAAGCAGAACAGACTGCTTTTATGTGCTATATTCCCTAAATAAGATAGTATATCAACTATTTACATAACATTTACACACTGTATTAGATGGTCTATGTAATCTACACTTGGTTTAGAGACTACAGGAGGACGTGTAGAGGTTTGATGCTAATAGCACATCATTTTGTATAGGGGTCTTGAGTATCTACTGTCTTCAGTATCAACAATGGGTATTGGACCCATTGTTGATCTTCCATGAGATCTGAGGAGTGACTGTAGTTGCCTTTAAGTGATACCAATCGTTTCTATTATAGGCTCAAAGAAAGAAACAGCAGTTACTAAGCATGCACACACTTTAATTTTTAGGCATATGTGAAAGGATAACTTGCTACTAAATGGAACCCAAGTTCACAGAAGATCTGCGTCTGGAACAGATCTTGTGGTATCAGTGAGGAAACCCAGAATATACTGTCTTTCTACAGTGTGTAATGCCTTGAGCTTTACAGCTGCTGAGCCCTTCCTTAGTTATTGCTGTGTGATACTGCTTAGGTTTTTCACCTTAGTTTCTTCATTTGTAAAACACAATTCTGGTACTTGCTCTATCTACCTCCCAGGGTCATTAAAGGATCCAATGATATGATATGACTAAGTGTTCCCCAAACATAGTGTAAGTTTTTCTTTTTTTGGGGGGGGTCTGGTCGTGGGGCCTGAACTCTGGACCTGGGTATTGTCCCTCAGCTCTTCTGCTCAAGGCTAACACTCTACCACTTGAGCCACAGCGCCACTTCTGGCTTTTTTCTTTTTTCTTATGTGGTGCTGAGGAATCGAACCCAGAGCCTCAGGCATGCAAGGCAAGCGCTCTACCACTGAGCCACCTTCCCAGTCCATGGTATAAGTTTATCAGCCATCTTGGTCATGATGACAGGAAGCACTGGCTCAGTCTCCTACCCAGCCAGCCGTGAATCCCAACAGGCGTTTACTAGAGTTCCACATATTTAATTTTTTTTTAAGATTTTTTTCTTTTCATGCAGTTTGGAGTTGAAGTGGTCTCATATTGAATGGTCACAGTCTGAATATGAAGTCTGTGAAAATGTGGGTATGTTGACCTTGGAAGTTACCAGAAGGGGCTATTCCATGGATTCGGCCTTCGTGAGCATAAAGGTAACAACTCTAAAAATGCAAATTATCAAGCTAAAATTTATGTTGTTGGTTGATGCCATTGATAATAAGTTTTTCTTAGAAAAACTTAAAGGGACCAAGGAAATTTCCTACTGCAGTCTATAATACTGTTCTGAAGATTACAGCTTTACAATGTCCCTGCCCACCCTCCAACCCCTCCCTAGGTTCCTTTACTCCTAAATGCAGTGCTTTTAGAATCCAGTTCCATTCCAGCTTTGAAACCTTGTCTTTTGTTTCTATATACTCTTTAAGTGTTGAAGTTTGAATTCATAGGGTGATATATTCAATTTAGTTAGATAACACATTTGGTGGGTGTTCATAGCAAACTTCAGCTCCCCAACAAATTCACTTTCTATGGTGTCAGTAGGTGAAGCAAAACAGGAGAATAACCTGTCTCTCTCTCTCTCTCTCTCTTTTTTGTGTGAAAATACTGTACAGAGGGGTTACAATTACTTGGGCAAGATAATGAGTGCATTTCTTATCAAGCATTGTTGCCTCCTCCTTTGTTTCCCCTTCCCATCCCTTCCCATCTCCCCCACCCCACCCCTCCCTACTACTCCCCCATCCCTCCACCCTCCCCACCTCCCGCCAAAGGTGTAAAGTTCGTTTTTCCACATAACGATTTGTACATCTCATTGTTGCAATAGGTCCACCTGTATCCCTATTTAAACAATTTGTTTTTGCCCTTCCCCTCCACAAATGATAACATCAAATACAGTGAAAGCAGGGGTTATACAGTGGGGGAGGGACATACAAAGCAACAAAGAAATCATCTTATAAATATGTTAGAAAAAATTGCATGAAAGCAAAAACATTTGAATACTTATCTTGGGATTCATTTCACCTAACATCAACTTATCTGACCTTTTCTGCTTGTCTCAGACATATACTAGTTACCATCCAGGAAGTGGCACTGTGGCTCAAGTGGTAAAGCGCTAGCCTTGAGTCTTGAGCTGAAGGATAGTATCCAGGCCCAGAGTTCAAGCCCCACAACTGACAAAAAAACAAAACAAAACAAAACAAAAAAAACCATCCAGGTCATGTAAAATTAAGAGAGCAGATATAAATGCGAGCACCTGACACATAAGGAATCATCATATAATGACTTTGGATTTAATCAACGTGTTCTTTTTTTTGGGGGGGGGTCCGGTTGTGGGGCCTGAACTCTGGGTCTGGGTGCTGTTCCTCAGCTCTTCAGCTCAAGGCTAGCACTCTACCACTTGAGCCACAGCGCCACTTCCAGCTTTTTTCTTTTTGCTTATATGGTGCTGAGGAATCGAACCCAGGGCCTCAGGCATGCAAGGCAAGTGCTCTACCACTGAGCCACCTTCCCAGCCCAACATGTTTTTTCCCATCAATACTACAATGGAGCACAAGCTATGGCTTCTAGAATTAAAAGGTTGTTTTTAGAAGTTCTTATGACAGCAGTCCTTCAAGAGAATGAGAGCTTACAAGGTGTTTGAGTACCAGTGATGTAGAATGCTTAAAAATGTTTCTCTTCAGTCTGAAAACGATACTGACATTAGCCTTTGGGGAAATAGTGTTATCTGTTAAGTTTCTATTATAATAGTGAATTCAAGTTCTCAGAAACTTGTGTACCTGAAATTTAGTATCCAGATTCAATATGTTTCCTGTGGACCTAGGCACTCCTTTTTCTAGACCTGTTAGTGCTTTGTTGTGAAAGCAGCAGAAAACTTGGTAAGCTTCCTAACTTTCCAGAAGATGCTTATGGAAAAGGAAAGAATCTGCTTGCGTAGCTTTCTAAACTATTCTTTAGAGTTTGGGACCACACTACCCCTTGCCTTGCTGGGTAGAAAGAACTTACATCTATGTAAGCTGAGTACACTCCATACAGCTTCCAACTAGCAGTGCAGAGCTGTGTCAAATACAGTCTCTGAGTCTTTAGGGACAATACCCATGGTATAATCTGCTATCTTATCCAAGGGCTTGTTGGCTATGTGACTAGGCATAGAGAGAAAGGAAGGTCTTTTCTCTGTAGGCTGTTTGCCCTGATTTGAATGGGACATCTTTACCTGACCTTTTCCTCTAAACACCTTTGCCTCAGACATTGTTTTTCTCACGCAGGATTCTGTAAACTCAGCGGTGGTAAATACTAGGTAATTGCATGTGCAAGAAGCATGCAGGGAGATATAGCTTTCAGCATATGGTGGATACAGGTGTACAATGGGCTATGTTTTCTCAAAGAAAAGTGGTTTGGGGGAGCCTTGGCACTGTATACAAAGAACAAATGGAAGCTTAGGAGACAATACCTTAGCATATGTTAGTGTTAGTACCTTTGATTTGGAATGCAGAGATGGAGCCATATGAGGAGAAACACTAGAAAAGAAAGTTTTAAATTATGCTCACTTTATCCTTTTTTTTTGAAGATACAGGAATGTATTCATCTACTTTTCTTGACCATCTTCAACCTCTTAAAAATGTACAAGAATAGCTACTGCTTCTTATGTCTACATAGGAACTCACTTGATGACCTCTTTTTCAAACCCGCCAAGGATATTTTTTTCCTAGTGTGTGTGTTTTTTTTTAATTTTATTTTAAGGGTGAAGTACAGAGAGGTTACAGTTACATAAATAAAGTAATAAGTACATTTCTTTTTTAAACAATGTTTACCACCCCCTCTTATTTCCTCCCACATTTCCCCCTCCCCAAGCTATGAAGTTCATTTCCAACGTAGTGTCTAGTGAATATCATTGTTGCCTGCCAAGGACATTTCTTAACACATATTTAGGCACATTCTGAAGGGAGAGATTTGGGGACCATGAAATTGCCTGTTTGGTTTTTAGTCCTAGGAACAAGGAAGTAGTCAGTAGTCTCTTTAGACTACAACAATTTTTTTCTACCTTTTTACAACTTACTTGATGAGAGCCTCTAAAAAGCTGTGTGTTCTGGGTGTGGATAGCCTTTATGTAGCTGTTCAGCAGATCTGTCAGTCCCACAAAGCCTTCATTCATGTCAATGAAGAGTGATGGTTTCATCCAGACAGGAAAACGGACCAGACTTGTTCGCGTTAATCTGGTCTCAAGGCTGTCAGTACCCTGGAGGAGCTTGCACGATATCAAAGCTGGCTGACAGATCATCATCCGGCTTGCAGGGAGTGTGTGTTTTCTCTTCTCCTGGCGCCTCTCTCTCTCTCTTTTTCTCTCTCTCTCTCTCTTTCTCCCTCCCTCCCTCTCCTTCAAGGCACTGTTTCAAAAACCAAGTTGGAGGAGAGGGAAGGTAGTAAACTAAAAAGTTGTGCTCATAACAAAGAGAAAAATTAAGTTGTAAACTTTATATGGCTCTCTCCAGTGACCCAATCATTTCAAAACGAAAAGCAAAAAGTTGACTTGAAGAAAAATCCAGCCCAGATCTAAAATGGTGTATTGCAATTTTTAAATGCTACTTCATATTAAAAGCAGATTTATGAGCATGAGTTTAGTATGAGGGAGAATGTTTCTCTGGTATAAAATATTTACTTTTATTAAAAAAGAGACCTTTTCTCTCCCCACTTAAGGTCAACCAAGTGTCAGCGACAGTTGGAAAAGATTTCACAGTGACTCCATCCAAACTCATTCAGTTTGATCCAGGTATGTCTTGTGACTGCAGTTTGTTTTATGTTTCTGTAAACAAGTCTGGAGACTGGAAGGGACAAACTACTATACAGCTTCAGGAAACTATATCACCTGAAGTTCTTCTTCCTCTTTATTTATTTTCATTTTTATTTTTTAACTATCTTCAGTTGTACAGAAAAATCTCAACTCTTCATTTTTTAAATTTACTTAAAATAAGAAGGAAAATTGTAACAAATACTAAATATAAAATACCAAAGCAAATGTTGAATATAATCCAGGAAAAATAAGGTAATTTAAAAAAATATTATAAAAACTTAGTTACCTCAAATTCTAATGAAAATTTGCAGAATGTTATACTCACCTGGATTACTGAGATTTTTTAAGTCATTATGACAGGTTGCTATGATATGATAGCAAGAGAAAGAATTATCCAATATTGTAGAACTTTGTTTTAAATGTGTGGAAAAGTTTTATTAGGTGAAAAAAAGGGGTGCAAAAACTGGTGCTTTCTTTTAAAATGTTCTATTGTAGCCAGGAGTGATGCCTCAAGCTTGAAACCCTAGCTTCTTAGAAGATGGAGATGAGGGATCGCAGTCTGAGGCCAACCACTGGCAAAAATAAAGCTTTTGAGACTCCATCTGAACCATTGGCTAGGAATCTGGGTGCTACCTGTTATCCCAGAGTCTCAGGGAAGCACAAATAGGAAGATCAAAATCCAGGTCGGCCTGAAAATTAAGCTAGTCCTATCTCAAAAATAACCAGTGCAAAAATAGGGGCTGGAGGTGTGACTCAAAAGGAAGACCAATTACCTAGCAACCCTGAAGCCCTTCATAGAAATCCCAATACTGAAAAGAAAAAAGATATGGGACACAGATCTGAAGATATTCATAGTAGTTCATTTGACTTGAGATGTGTGAGCCACTGTTCTAACTGAAGGTAAATTGTGGAAGGCATCCCAAGGAAGGCAGTATATATGGTAGCAGGCAGAAGGAGATGGGAATGCCACACTGCAGGTTTGACACAAAAGCACTGATACAACCTCTGGGGACATGGGCCTCAAACCTGACTGAACACCAGCCTCTCTTCCTGCCTTCTATGATGGGGCAAGCAGCTTACCTCTATACAGTATGGGCTCTCTACCCCGCCCCCCCTTCTCCCCTGTGGGCTGGAAAAAAAGCTGGGTCATCCATCTGTTTAAGAGCAGTGGATAAGTCCTGGGGAAGTCAACAAAACGTCTAACTTCGTGCTTTCCTACAGAGACATTCTGTGCTCAGAAAATTTTGTTCACCACTTAATGCATACAGTTTTGGGCAAAGGCAAAAGAAAGGGCCTAAATAACATCACCACTCCAAAATAGAAAATGTTAATACAAAACTGTGGTTCACAAGGAGTAATGACACTGGATGATTCTATTAATTTCCCAGAACTGCTATAATAACATGTCACAAACTGAGTGGCTTAAAACAGGCATTTATCACTGCACAGTTCTAGAGGCTGCAAGTCCTGCAAGGTGAAGATGTCACAGCATTTATTCCTTCTGGGGCTTTATGTAAAGGAGCATGTATGCTAGCCCACTGCAATGTATCAATGGATTGAGACAATCATTGCTGATTCTTAGCTTTTGCCAGGTATCCCCAGTCTACCTTCATCTTCATGTGTATGCTTTTTGTATTTGTATCTGTGGAAAAATTTTCCTTTTGTATAACAACAAGTGATAATGGATTAAGGAGACAACTCTATTCTTAGGATGACCTTATATTAATTCATTACATCTGCAATATCTTGGTTCCAAATGAGGTCATGTCTGAGGACCTAGGATCACTTAGAAATTCTTGAGGGCTACAACTCAACATATAACAATGAACTTTCAATTTGATATGTCAATATTGTTGATATCTCCAGTATTGTTACTGGATTTTTGTGTGTGTGAACATTCTAACCTGGGTCGGTTGATATCTCTAGCTGACTACACTTTGTTGAAAGAGTTATTCCTATTGCATGTTTGATATCACCAAGGCTTCTGTAGGTTCTTCTGGTCCATGCTACCATGAAAAGATCTGATACACTGACGCTTTGCCATTTTGTAACTTCACGTGAAAACTCTCCACTGTTGGAAGTCTCTTTTTTGTGTCCTTCTAATGATTGATGTTTGTTTGTACAAGATCAGGGGTGATTTTGTTTTGAGAAGCTCACCAGGTGCTCTGGACTGTTAGGAACTTGCAGCTATTGCACTAAGGGGAGACTCTGAGATCTACCTCTTAGAATTCCACTGGATAAGATAAATGCTCGTCTGTCTACATGAATTTATTTGCTGTTTTGAGTAGATACTAATGACTTCTGGGGAGTTGAAACCATCATGATTTTAGAGATAATTTAGGAATTTAGAAAACAATAGAAACTTACCTTGTAAATAATAAAACAATCACTCATATGCTTGGTTTTTTGTTGATTTGGAATTTTTAAAAATCAAACAGCTTCATAATGGGAAATTTTATTTAGGGAATTTTAAACTTTCCCACATCCTCAGGTACAGTGAGTGCTTATGTTCTTCCTTATTTTCAGTCCTTGTCTCTTTAGGGTCTGATTGTCTTCAAGACACATCCCTTTTGCACACTGCAATCTTTTTATTTCTCTAAAAACAGCAGCTTTTACAATCCTGAAGAAACAGAGATTGAGTGACCTAATAGGATGATGGGAGGTTGGAGAACTTTGGATCTATAGGAAGGTCTGCCTTATAACTGTACCAAACAGAACCACAGATTCTAACTTCTCTTCATTGAGCTGTGGTAACTAATGGTGACTAGTGGATGTGGAAATATTCCTAAATGATTGCATTCCTTTTTAAAAATATATGTTCTTGAAAGGTTTTCTGTAATCTTAATTGAAACTTTATCATTCCTAAGAGTCAAATGTATTCCAAAGGAACAGATCTCTAATGTGACATTTAGTTAAACAATACTGAAAAATACTTTTCAATAGAGAAATCTGCTTTGCAGGGAAAATATGTAAGGAATTCACCTACAGTGTGTGTAAACATAGTCTGTAGGTCAACACAGTATCTCTCTGACTTTGTAGAAACAGGGAGAGGGGCAAATTGAAGCCTCCGGAAAAATGCAGGTATATCCCAGGGACTTAACAAATACTTTGCACCTTGAAAGTGAAAGAGGAAAAGGGGGAAAAACAACAGCAGTGAAGTTCTGACTTTCAATCTCATTAACCTAGAAAGAGGGTTATGCACACATCTAGTAGGTATAGGAACAAAGTTGAAATGCCGACAAACAAATCTGAAACACATCAGTGAAACACAGCATAGATTTGGCCTAACCATCTGGTTTTCCTCCATAAGGCCCATCGCAAAGATCTAGGGCGGTCTCTCTCTCCTTTCCCCACCCCTGCCCCTGAAGACAGAAGATACTATATTTTATAAAATGATTCTTAAAATAAGAGGCAATGGTTGAGGCTTGAAAATATATTTGAGTCTATTGGATTTTCATTTAAATAATGCTTAACTTCATGGCGTTTAAGGATCAAAACAGCTCTGTGAATATTGACAGTTTTAGTATTTATATACTTTCTTCACTGGCAACCTTTTATCTTTTCAAACCAGTTTTATAGCAACTGCTGCCTCTAACGTCTCTCAATGTCTGGCATCTCTGCCTCTCTGCCTGGATGCTCAGACCTATGCACAGTTCATTTTGTGGAAGCATCTGCTTTCAGAACATCACTTCCAGTTTGAAAGCCTTCCCTCACCCATGGTTTAAATCTGACTATGGTGACTAGTACCCAAAGATCTCTGTAGTCTAGCTACAGAATATCTCTGCAGCTATATTGCCTTTTGTCTATAGATGTGACCTTTCAACTTCAACCAGCTAATGTACTCACACTTTTCTATCTAAGCCCTACCTTTCTAAGTTCCTTCATTTGTTTGTCATGTCTTTTTACTTCCTCCTTCTGAAACTCTGGATCCCACATACATATACTGTATGTCATCTATCTCTGTCTTTGGCAGCTATTGACACATAGCTTTGAATGGTAAGTGAGTATTTTTGGTACAGTTGTTCCTCTGTATCCAGGGGTTCTGTGTCCACCGATTCAACAAAGCACAGATGAAAATAATTGAAAAAGAAACAAAATGCTGTTTCTGTATTAAACATGTCTAGGCTTCAAAGCTTCTTGTCATTAGTTCCTATAGTAAGACAAAATTTACACTGTACTAGGTAATTATGAGAAATGATAGGAAGATACACATAGGATATCTCTATCTCCTCTGAGAACTTGTAAACTCCTTTAGGTCAGAGTATGGCTTCTGTTATACTTCTAATACTCGCCTTCAAGAAGGCAGCGCTTGTGTAGACGGCACATTTGAGAGGTATAAATCTGCAGAAGGTAATCAGCAAGTAAGAGTCGTATTTTCAGAAGGGAAGGGGAAAAAAAGTTTATAGAGGCAGATTTATGAGCGTAAAAGCACTTAAATCGCCAATAAGTAAATGGCAGGAAAGCTTTACAAACTTATCCCTACAAAGTTAAGCTGTAAATTTAACATCTCTTTCCCCCTCTTAAACTTGAGCCTTCTTTCACCACTAAACAACATCCTCTACTTCCTGCCTCCACTTTCTCTGCTAAATAAACTCAAGAAGATGGCCTGAAATGTACATCGTGGAAACTGGCTTAGACCATTTCAGAAGTTGCTTCCAGTTTTGTGTTTCTGAGGTTGCTTTGCCTCCAATCCTGGTGGCGACAGTATGGCTGGAAATTGGTTGTTTAAAATCAGAACTACCTTGTGTCATGTTCAGAAAGTTACTCTGAGCCAAACTTCATTATAACTCCATGAATAGAGGCAGACAGAAAGTAGGCAATACTGTCTCAGGGGAGATGGGCAAGGCCATTTCTAGAAGCAACCCCTGGCCCCCAGTCCATAAATTCTCTCTAGAAGGATGTCTAACTGCAGAGTGGTATATGATCAGAAAAAACATTGAAGCCTAGAAGGATCTCAGGAAGCAGGGCAATGATGCAGACAGCTGTCTTTAGAAATCAATCATTTCAAGAGTTCCCTAAATAGCATCAAGTGCCATCCAATAATCACGTTTGTCTGCAGGAACCATTTAAGAATTTTTAAGTCTTCAGATTTTCAGGTTGTAGTAGCTGTTTATTCTTAACACAAGAAGGGGCAGGTTGAGGCAAAAAAAAATTACATTTCGGATCTCATCTGGTAAGCATTGGTTTTCATCCCTTGTATAAAGCAGCTTGCTTTTTTTTTTTTTTGGTTACAGTGTTTGCATTGAAATGGAATCATCATTGTCCAGGAACCAATGTGGTCTTTTCATATTATTGGGGAGAACAGCGGGGCTTCAGTGAGTTGGTGGCAGTACAATAGCTCACTCAGGCTACTGCAGTCTAGCTGTAGACATGTTAATTAATATATTTCTCTGACACCTAGGTGATTGAAATAGCAATTAAAGAGTAATTAAAATGTTTACTTCTTGTAGGAATGTCAACTAAGATGTGGAATATAGCAATTACCTATGACGGATTAGAGGAAGATGATGAGGTCTTTGAAGTAATTCTGAACTCCCCTGTGAATGCAGTTCTTGGCACGAAGACAAAAGCTGCAGTGAAAATTTTGGACTCAAAAGGAGGTATTCTTTTGATCCTCATCTTGAAATCAGGAGCAGTCCTGGCGCCATGGCTGCTGGCTTTCAACAGCTAACATGCTTGATAACACCTTCAAATCAAAATGCTTAATTTCTTGTCAAGAAAGCAACCTCCACCATGATGTAGGCCCTTTATTCTACTTTCTGCTTCATGTGGTTTTTCCTCCTGCTAGGAACTATCGCTGGAGAAAAGCAACAAGTCAGTGCCGTAGTTGTTTTTCTCCTAACCGTTTGTTGTTCTCACCAAGGGGGAAACAATGTTGGTGAGAATCTATGGACAATTATTTTCCCCAGAGTTTGCAGGGCTGTAATTATCTTCCTCTGTTAAAGAAAGCTCTCAATGCCTAAAACTGAGCTCCCACTGTAGTGTGACCAGGAAAATTCTAAGAGAAGGAATTGAAAGAAAAAAAATATAGATATAGATATAGATGTGAAGATGCAGCTTGCCCACAGGGATTTAGGAGCAGCTGGAGAATATTAATGAATGATGTTGGTTGCAGAGCCAAACAGATCCCGGGGTAGTATATGCTAAAGAACAACCTGTGAAAAGTTGTTGGATAAGAACTAAAGTCTTCTGATGCTCTGATTTTTATTCTCTGCCAATTTCCATCTAGTTCCTTGTTTAGTTAGCCCTTGATATGTCCAGTGCAGTGTCCATCTTGTGTCCTTGTGTTTATGCTGGTTGTCCCCTGTGATCCATATTTTTCTTTACTTGGACTCTATTGTCTCTTTTCTTTCTCACCCTATAATAAAAATGGAAACCATTCTGTGTTTCTTATAATCTCTTTTTATAAGTTTACATCTTTCCTCTCTGCCTTTTTCCTCATCACATTTATTTATATTCCAGTGCAGTCGAATTTTCTGGTTACATTAAGGATGCAAACTATATGAAATATGAACTCTATATGAAATGTAAAATATCAGGTGCTAGAGATATAGCTCAACAGTAGAGCCCTTGCCTATTTGGCTTGCCAGTGTAAGGCCCTAAGTTGGATCCACAACATTACAAAAAAAAGAAAGAAAAAAAGAAAGAAAAGACCCAGACAAAGGTTCTCACGTTAGGTTTTTGTCTTTTTTATTTATGCTTTCCCAGAAATTGGTAACGTTTCCAGTTGAAGCAGCTCTGTTAAGATTTATTGTATTTTTGTTCTGCAACAGTTGACTGCAAATTTTTATAACTGTTACTTGATTCTATGACATCTTTAAATGATTCCAGTTTCTACCTAGAGAAGATCAGGAGAAAGGGAATGCTGGCGAAGCACTTGTGGTCAGTCAGTGGATGAATCTAGTAGTCCCAACAGGATTGGAGTAGGAAGGGATGCGAGGCTGTTGTCCAAGTGCATGCATGATTATAAAATCATGACAATGATTTGCATGTATGGTTTGTGAAATCAATTTCATGACTTTATAATCCATCACCCTTTGAATGTCAGGAATGGCATCAGTCTTCTGGAAGAAAACCCATGAAGAGTTAAAGGAGTTTCTGGCAAATGGCACAAAGGCAACATCTGGTGGGAAGTTCATTCATCTAAGTTTTATGACAAGCTTCTCCAGGACAGAGTCCCTGTGATTCCCGACTTGTTAGTGTGAAATGTACTGACTGTCTGCCTCCTTGCTTGCCTCCAGGACAGTGCCTGACTTCCTATTCCTCCAACCACAGCCAGCACAAGGCATGGGAAAAGGGTGTTTGGCCCTTGTTGCCCTCTGGCTCCTCCTCATCCATTTCTGGTGGTTTCCCTCATCTGGAAAGAAGATACCCTTCATCTTCTCAGCAGCTAGTGGTCACCAAGGGGAGCACCCTGCGGAGCTTTGATGCTGCAGTTCTTTCTCAAAGGAAGCTCAGGACCCATGGGAACGGCAAGGCAGTAAGGGTGATGGGAACCTTTGGGGAATGGGAGTGTGAATGCATATTAATAAGGACTCCAAGACACCAAAGGAATGGTGGATTCTCATGCTTCATTGCAGGATCATGCAATGGCTTTTGTATTCAAAGATCACAATGCTGCCCTGCTACATTAATTATTCTAAAGGAGGTGATAGATATATTGATTCATCCATATGATTTCTATTTTGGTTCTTTTGTGATCCAGACAGATAAGGAATAATCAGTGACCCTAGAACAGCAAGAAATTAAGTGCCCCACTGGAGTGTGGGAGCCAACACTTTGACTTACTAAGTACGGCATTCTAACAGGCACTTTTCAAGTATATATGTGAGTGTGTTCTTGAGCCTTTGTGTACTATAGATGTGCTAAATAACAACAACAAATAATTACAAAGGTATCTTTTCCCTTTAATTGGGATTTCATATCCCCAAATACACACTACAATCATAACTTGTGTTTTAAAAAATTCCAATGATTTGGGCATGAAATATCTCAAGAAATGTTTTTGAAGCTAAGCACTGGTGGCTCACACCTTTAATCCTAGCTACTCAGGAGGCTGAGATCTGAGGATTGTGGTTCAAAGCCAGCCCTAAACCACTCAGAAAACCGGAAGAGGCACTGTGGCTCAAGCGGTAGAGGTAGAGCGCTAGCCTTGAGCTGAAGAGCTGAGGGATGGCACCCAGGCCCAAAGTTCAAGCCCCGCAACTGACAAAAAATAAATGTTTTTGCTAATTTTCAAATATGAATAAGATCTTACTGGAAGTATTTTATTCTATTGCTAGTTATTATTCAGCCCATAGATCTCATATGTTGTCTCTCTTGATTTTAGGTTTTACCATCCTCTGTTTATAAAAATGGAACAGACATCATCTATAATGTAAGCATGCGTCAGAGAATTGCTAAATTTCTTATACTTATGGTTAAAAAATACTTAGCAAGTCTATTATATCTTTTGAAATTACGTACCTGAAAATTTTCTTTTGAAATGTGAGAATTTGGGGGTCAGAAAAAGCCCTTTCATCTTTTTCATCCGGTCATGGAGCCTGAACTCTGGGCGCTGTCTGTCAGCTCTTCAGCTCAAGGCTAGCGCTCTACCACTTGAGCCACAGCGCCACTTCCGGCTTTTTCTTTTTGCTTATGTGGTGCTGAGGAATCGAACCCAGGGCCTCAGGCATGCAAGGCAAGCGCTCTACCACTGAGCCACCTTCCCAGCCCCCCTTTCATCTTTTTGTATTGATACAATTTTAAAAGCGTACATTGATGTTTGTTTCTCCCTCCCCTTATTGTTGTGTTTGTTGGCTTCCTCAAGTACCATGGGGTGGTTTCTTTGAGACTGGAAGATGACAGTTTTCCCACTCACAAAAGGAAGGCTACCGTATCCATCCTGAGTCAGCCACACAGGACAGTCAAAGCAGCAGAGCTGCCTCTGGCAGAGACAGAATCCACAAGTGCCTCACACTTTCCCAGACAGGTAGGCCAATCTTTTGTCTTTCCTATTTACCTCGGAACAATCTGTTGGCTGGGCCATAAACACTCTTAATTCACAAAATAGCCTCCAAGCTTGGGAGTAGATTACTCAACCCAGATGTTTTCCAACAAGTGTAGACTCAGAAGAGATAAGTTATGTTATCAACTTACATTAAATCGATTTTAAATTGCCTTTTCTCCCTGTAGAACCAGTTGCCATCATTCCCAAAGAATTGCACGGTGGAGATAAAGGGACTCCTCCATTTTGAAGAAAGTAACCAAAAACTGTATCAATGCAATGGAATTGCCTGGAAAATCTGGAGTCCCCAAACCAAGGTAGGGACCCAGGCTAAGCAGCTGAGCACCGCTGAGCTGATAGAGTGCAGTGATCTGGTGGGTGGCTGTCAATTTACACTGTCTGTTTATCCTTCTCTCACCCAGAATGCCAAGAGCAAAACATAATCCAAAGTGTTTTCAAAATCACAAAATATTATTTTATCTATTCCATTTACAAAAGATGTTGACTTATTTTGTTTACCACTTATCAAAGGTTTAACATTGGAACATGTCTGACTGTGATTGTATTTGCTGTATAAAGCCACTGCATTTCTCAAGATGCAGAACTCTTTTTTCCAGGAGGTGGAAGACAAATCCTGCCCAGCTGGATGGCACCTGCACTCAGGCTACTGCCATACCTTGATCACAGAACAGAAGAGCACCTGGGCCCTGGCCATGCAAGCTTGCAGGGAACAGTAAGGAACGCCATGTCACACTGGATTGGTTTTTTTTTTTTTCCTTTTTCTCCCACCATTTCTTTATTTTCTCATGGATCTATAGGTCTATTTCATTCATTCAACAAATATTGAGTGTCTACCTGGCTTTGTTTTTAGAGCCCCAATGGGTTACAGGTTATCAAGGACAGTTGCAAATCAGTTTGGATAAGGTATTTTGACTGAGCTTTTATCTGTTAAAGCTGTGTGGTAGCAAACCTTCCCCCCCTCCCCTACTTTTACAAATCCTATCTGGGTCTTTTTGAGAAGGGGCTTTTCTGAGTCAGTAACACTGCAGGTGGTATAGTTTCCTTTTTTTTATTTTTAATATATAGAAACTCCTGACCATTAATTGAAGAATATATAGTCATGAAAGGCCTTATGGCATCCTACCTCTACCAATATAAAGGCTCTGTTGCTTATAAAGCTAGACAAGTAGGACAAAGGCACAGTGGATAATAGTACATTTAGTGACAGATGACTTGGGTCAGATAATGGCAACTAAATTTATCTAGTCCAGAAGGATTTTAAAAATGAATAAGTAGCCAGGCCTGGTGGCTCACACCTATAATCCTAGCTACTCAGGAGGCTGAAATCTAAGGATTGTGGTTTGAAGGCAACCCGGGAAGGAAAGCCCATGAGACTCTTACCTCCAATAAACCACTAGAAAACTGGAAGTAGCACTGTGGCTCAAGTGGTAGAACACTTGCCTTGAGCTGAAGAGCTGAGGGACAGTGCCCAGGCTCAGAGTTCAAGCCCCACAACCACCACCACCAACAACAAAGAATAAGCAGCTATCTGTGCCTTTCCTTTTTAATTTACCAACCTGGATAGTATCCAAACAATACAATTAACTAATATACTGTGTGACTAGAAATGGAGACTAGAGAAATATCTAGTTCATTTCTGTGAGAGTTTGTACTTCATCACATTTTTTAAAAGTTATGCTCATTTAAAGATACTAGTTAGGCCGGGTGCCGGTGGCTCATACCTGTAATCCTAGCTACTCAGGAGGCTGAGATCTGAGGATGGTGGTTCAAAGCCAGCCCGGGCAGGAAAGTCCAAGAAACTCTTATCTCCAATAAACCACTAGAAAACTGGCAGTGGCGCTGTAGCTCAAGTGGTAGAGTGCTAGTCTTGAGCTGAAGAGCTAGGGACAGCACTCAGGCCCAGAGTTCAAGCCCCACGACCAACCAAAAAAAAAAAAAAGATACTAGTGAGAAAATGAAAGGGCAAACCACATGCAGGAAATTTATTACCGAAGTGTATATATGATAAAGGTCATGAAGACAAAAAATACAAAAGTAACTACAAAAAAATCATTAGATATCTCATGGACTGGGAAGTTGGCTCAGTGCTAGAGTGCTTGCCTCGCATGCATGAGGCCCTGGGTTCAATTTCTCAGTACCACCATAGGTAGAAAAAAGCCCGTGGCGCTGTAGCTCAAGTGGTAGGGCGCTAGCCTTGAGCTGAAGAGCTGAGGAACAGCACCCAGGCCCAGAGTTCAGCCCCCACAACCGACAAAAAAAAAACAAAAAAGGTATCTCATAAACTAAAAGTAACTTTATGTTCTCCCAAGAGGAAATAGAGTTGCTTCATGAATATACCAAAACATCCTCAATATCAATAGGTATCAGGTAAATGAAAATTAAAACTCCAGTGTAATACCACTTCACACTAAAATAATGAAGATCACAAATTCGACAACACCAAATGTTGACAAAGGCACAGATAAGTAGAATCCTATGTGTTCCTGATGGAAGCAGACAATGTTATGACTTTGTAGAATGTATAAAGGTATGCACCTTGTGACCTAAGGAAAAATACAAATGCATGCTAAAAACACAAATTTCATAACTTTATTCACAGTAATAATTTGTCCATGTGTCTTTTTATTAGTAATTTTTATTATTAATTAATTTGTAGGAGTACTTAATATTTTCTCCATCAATAAGACAATACTTTTTTGGGGGTGGGGGGTTGTGGGGCCTGAACTCTGGTCCTGGGTGTTGTCCCACAGCTCTTCAGCTCAAGGCTAGCGCTCTACCACTTGAGCCACAGAGCCACTTCTGGCTTTTTCTGCTTCTGTGGTGCTGAGTAATCAAACCCAGGGCCTCATGCATGCAAGGCAAGCACTCTACCACTGAGCCACCTTCCCAGCCCCAGAGAACACATTTTTATATAAACTTTTATAAACAATGAAATAGAATGACTACAACAATGTAAGTGAATTGTGGGTAAATCATTTACAGAATATATAGAAAAGTCAGCCTTATGTAATAGAATACATATTTTATGATTCTATTTGAATAGGAAAATCTATTATGAATCTAATACAAATAATAATGATAATCTCTGGCAAGGATTGTGAGAGACTAGAAAATATTACCAACTAATGTTCTAGAGTAATAGAAAGGTCATAGTCTGTGTAATTGTTTTATAAACATAAGTACAGTTGTCAAACTCCTCAAATTGAATACATAAAGAAATTTTGTTGTATATAAATTATACCTATAGTTTAGGGTATTTTTTTAGATAGGAGCTCACTGTGTTGTGCTGTGTTGTCCAGACTGGCCTCAAATTGTTGGGCTCAGACAATCCTTCGGCCTCAGCCTCTTCAGAGACTACAGAAGTGTGTCACCATGTCCAGGTTTATGTCTAGATTTGATAAAAAAAGGCTAATAAAATACTTAAACACTGGAAAAATTAACCACTTTTTCATCACTGGTGTATTTCAAATCCTAACTACAAGTAGAGTTATAATAGAAGTTATACTCAGTGACTTTCAGGGTTTTATTTTGTTCATAAGCTAGTGACAGAAAATAAGACCAAATACTTGAAGAACTTAAAAGCTATGTGATTACAAAAATCACAAGAGATTCTTTAAGAAAAAATTATCAATTACCCTACTTTTATTTAAAGCTTGTCCTGGTGCATTGAAAACTTTGATAGCGATGTGGCTTAAACAGTAGAGCTCCTGCCAAGTGCAAGGCCCTGAGATCAAATATCATAAACACACACACACACACACACACACACACACATCAAAAAAAGAGAAAAGAGTTTAGTAGGAGTATTATGGATGATCTCTTTTCTTCCTTCAGGAAAGATATCTGACACAGAATCAAAAACTTTCTGAACCAGCAAGGAGAGAATAGCAGTATGCTACCAAATGGTTTCTTTGCTGACTAAAACAAGGGCCAGTGCAGTTACTTAAACTCCAGGCTAAGTTACCAAGATGAAATCATTATTGGGATTATTGATAAAATATAGACTGAAGAAGAAAGCCCTCCAACTTCAAGTCTGAAATCAGATTTATTGTTGATCTTCCAATGATTTCACAGCACAATCTAAAGAAGTATGTTGGCTGTTATGAAGCTGTCAATATTTCTTTATAACATCCACAGTGCTGGGGATGAACTCAGAGCTTTAAGCATGTTAGGCAAGTGCTCTCCCACTGAGCCATACCCCAGCCTCTCATTGTTTTTCAATTATGAGAAAATAAGGACTATGTACTGAGAGATTTCCTTTTGCCCATTCATAAGTGTTAGTTTGAGGTTACCAAGTATCTCTAGTTAGAACAACTATTCTTTATTCTTTTACCACTAGATTCCTAGTGGTAAAAATCAGTTTTATATAAAACTCTCAGTTGACAGTAAAATTGTTGATGCTTTCTGGCAGAAAGATGCAAATTAGCCTCCCAATATGTTTTATTTTATTGATCCAGCTAATCATAGCTTACTAGACCAGATCTACTAATATTGCACAACTCAATCATCCTACTATTAAATGTAAGGCCCAAATTACTTTTAAAGCTATTTCTTTTTGTGCTTGACCTAAGACTTCATGGGCATCTTGCTTTGAAGCATCATAACCCATGACCTAAACTGACCTAGTTTATCCACCTCCTTGCCAATAATAGATACCTTGCTTTTATATTGTACTTTGTAATTTACAGAATCCTTTCACAAGTTAGCTTATTTGATCTTCCATCACTACTGTGAGGAAAGCAGGTATTATTATCTTTAAATCTTTAGGTCTAAAAAATGTTGAAGAAGCCTAACCACTTGCTTGTTTTCATATAACTAAGTAGATGAGAGAGAGAGAGAGAGAGAGAGAGAGAGAAAGAGAGAGAGAGAGGACTTAATTTTTGCATTATGCTAAAACAGCTCTGTCAATATGGGGACCTTATTACAGATATATCAAAAAGCATGTCTATTTTAACTTTTAACTTTGGTTGGGCTAATCAATAGTTTTCAAAATTATTTGTTCAAAATTCCTTATTTTGGGGGCTAGAAGGTGGCTCCGTGGTAAAGCGCTTGCCTTGCATGCCTGAGGCCTTGGGTTCGATTCCTCAGCACCACATAAGCAAAAAGAAAAAAGCCGGAAGTGGTGCTGTGGCTCAAGTGGTAGAGTGCTAGCCTCGAGCTGAAGAGCTGAGGGACAGTGCCCAGGCCCAGAGTTCAGGCCCACAACCGGACCCCCCAAAAAAATTCTTATTTTTCATGCAGTAAAGAAATAATAAGATTTTTGTTATTATAGATGCTAAGTTTCCTTGGATTTGAATCAAGCTAACCTTTCTGACTAAACCTGAAGTGTAGTCAGGTTCTGAGTTCATAAATTTGTTTATTAACAGATATTTGGAATACCTATTACGCTAGAAATGTCTATAGCAGACTATACTTTTAAAATTTTGTTCTCTAGTGTTAGCTCCACAACTCAATAACTGAAATCTTTCTCACTCATTCAGAAAACAGATCCCCAAGTTCCCCTGATCCAACTGTCCTGTAGGAAAAGTCCTCAATGTTACATGTCATATCAGTAATAATATACAACCTGGATAATTCCTTTCCCATACTCCCTCTCCAAAATGCTTGTTAAGAATGTGAAAGTTACTGAATGTAAATGACAAGATTAGTATTTATTGAGTTGATGGTGCCATGCTGTAGATATAATTAAGAAGTTCCCTAGAAAGGAGGTAT